TTAGGCAACTTCGTCAAAAGTTCAAAGTTTCAAACTTTTGATTTTTTTTATTTTTTCCAAGTATCTTCGAAAATGACCTAAAGCCAATTTTGGCAACGTTTATTTGAAAACTCTAGGCACATTTTCAGAATCACCAAATAAAATTGATTATTTTTGGTTTATTCTAAGAAGTTTAATTGAAAACCGAGAATTTTTGAATTAGCTCGTCGGTATCAGCATCTCAAAATTTTTTGTGTATTTTTATGCGACTTTGCCAAAAGTTAAAATTTTCAAACTTTCGAAATTTTTGGTATTTTCCAAGCATCTTCGAAAATTACCAAAAGTCAATTTTGGCAACGTTTGTTCGAAAACTCCAGACACATTTTCAGAACCACCAAAATAAACCAGATTATTTTTGGTTTATTCTAAAAAGTTCAACTAAAAACCGAAAATTTCGAAAATATTGGTTTGGGACCATCAATAGACTATTTTTTGAGTTGAGCTCGTCGATATTTGCAGTTCAATTTTTTTTGTGAATTTTTAGACAACTTTGCCAAAAGTTCAAATTTTCAAACTTTTGAATTTTTTTATTTTTTCCAAACACCTTCGAAAATTACCTAAAGCCATTTTTAGCAACACTTTCCCGGAAACTCCAAACACTTTTTCAGAATCACCAAACTAAAATAGACCCTTTTTGGTTTATTTTAAGAAGTTTAATTGAAAACCCAAACCTTCGAAAATATTGGTCTGGGACCATCAGTAGACTATTTTTTAAGTTGAGCTCGTCAATATTTGCATCTCAAAATTTTTTTGGGAATTTTTAATCAACTTTGCCAAAAGTTCAAATTTTCAAACTTTTGAATTTTTTATTTTTTCCAAGCCTCTTAGAAAATTTCCTAAAGCCAATTTTGGCAACGTTTATTTGAAAACTCCAAACATATTTTCGGAATCACCAAAGTAAAATAGATCCTTCTTAGTTTATTCTAAGAAGTTTAATTGAAAACCGAAAATTTCGAAAATATTGGTTTGGAATCATCAATAGACTATTTTTTGAATTAGCTCCTCGGTATCAGCATATCAAAATTTTTGTGCATTTTTATGCAACTTTGCCAAAAGTTAAAATTTTCAAACTTTCGAAATTTTTGAAATTTTCCAAGCATTTTCGAAAATTACCTAAAGCTATTTTTAGCAACGTTTGTTTGAAAACTCCAGGCACATTTTCAGAATCACCAAAATTAAAAAAATATTTTTGATTTATTCTAAAATGTTTAATTAAAAACCGAAAATTTCTAAAATATTAGTCTGGGACCATTAGTAGACTATTTTTTGAGTTGAGCTCGTCGATATTTACATCTCAATTTTTTTTGCGAATTTTTAGGCAACTTTGCCAAAAGTTCAAATTTTCAAACTTTTGATTTTTTTTATTTTTTCCAAGCATCTTCGAAAATAACCTAAAGCCATTTTTAGCAACATTTATCCGAAAAATCCAAACACATTTTCAGAATCACCAAACTAAAATATACCCTTCTTGGTTTATTCTAAGAAGTTTAATTGAAAACCGAAAATTTCGAAAATATTGGTCTGAGACCATCAATAGACTATTTTTTGAATTAGCTCGTCGGTATCAGCATCTCAAAATTTTTTGTGTATTTTTTTGCAACTTTGCCAAAAGTTAAAATTTTCAAACTTTCGAAATTTTTGATATTTTCCAAGCATCTTCGAAAATTACCTAAAGCCAATTTTGGCAACGTTTGTTTGAAGACTCCAGGTCATTTTCAGTGATCAAAATAAAACAGACTATTTTTGGTTTATTTTAAAAAGTTTAATTAAAAACCGAAAATTTCGAAAATATTGGCCTGGAGCATCAAGAGACAATTTTTTTAATTAGCTCATCAATATATGCATCTCAAAATTTTTTTATGGATTTTTAGGCAGCTTCACCAAAAGTTCAAATGTTCAAACTTTTGAAATTTTTGCTCTTTTCCAGGCACCTTCGAAAATTACTAAAGTCATTTTTGGACACATTTTCAGAATCATCAAAATGAATAGACTATTTTTGAGATATTCTAAAAAGTTTAATTGAAACCCCACAATTTCGAAAATATTGGTCTGGGACCATCAATAGACTAAGAATATAAAGGGAGGGTGGCTGGGGCCAGTACTTGCTAAGATAAGACTGATTTTGACGGGTGTATATGAGTTGCGCCAATTACCTGCTAGCTTCTTCAAGGGGGATTATGAATTGGGGTAGAAGTTTGAATTATGAATCCGGCTGATTGCCTACTACCCCTTTAATCCGAAGTTAATGGTTGCCAAGTACCATCCCCAAATTCCTGCAAATGGATTTCAATTTTTTTTGTTGATTTTCAGACAACTTCGCCAAAAGTTCAAATTTTCAAACTTTTGAAATTTTTTATATTTTTCAAGCACCTTCAAAAATTACCCAAAGTCATTCTTGGCAACGTTTGTTGCCAAACTCCAGCCACATTTTTAGAATCACCAAAATAAAATAGACCATTTTTGGAGGGTATATCATATGCCAAAATCAGTCTTATCTTAGCAAGATCACTAGCCCAGCCCACCCGCCCTCAATTTTTTTAGAAGGTATATCATTTGCCAAAATCGGTCTTATCTTACCTAATTCTTGCTGAGATAAGACTGATTTTGGCAAATGATATACCTTCTAAAAAAATTGCGGGCGGGTGTGCGGGGCTAGTACTAAATTTTCGTACAAGATTGTTCGCCCCCTTTTAAATTCCAAATGTTTTTGCGAATCAGCCAAAAGTGTAATGTTATGTTGTAACGTATTCATTTTTTTCGTTGTATTGTCAAATTAGTGGGTGCAGGTTTTTTCTAAATATGTATATAATTTGAAAAGTGTCAGTGGCTTTTTGCTTGCCACAAGCCGAAATTTTCAAATTTTCGTCGATAGTAGCGACAATTTACTCTGCAGTTGCGCGAATTCTTAGACAACTTTGCAAACGTTCAAATTTTCAAATTTTTGAAATTTTTTACCTTTTCCAATCATCTTTCGGCAACGCTTATTCGAAAATTCCAGCCACATTTTCGGAATCACCAAAATTAAATATAACCATTTTTGGTTTGTTCTAAAAAATTTAATTCGAAACCGAACATTTCTAAAGTATTCTCTTGGTCCATCAATAGACAGTTTTTTTAATTAGTACGTCAATATCTGTATCTCAAAGTTTTTTTATATAATCCAAGTCCAAGCCCTTCGAAAATTACCTAAAGTAATTTTTGGCAACGTTTGTTCGAAAACTCCAGCCACATTTTTAGAATGTCCAAAATGAAATATGACCATTTTTGGTTTGTTCTAAAGAGTTTAATTAAAAACTGACACTTTCAAAAATATTAGTCTGGGATCATTAATAGACTATTTTTTTAATTAACTCGTCGATATTTAGGAATTTTGCCAAAAGTTCAAATTTTCGAACTTTTGAAGTTTTGATATTTTCCAACCACCTTCGAAAGCTGCCTAAAATTATTTTTGGCAACGTTTGTTCGGAAATTTCAGCCACATTTTCAGGATCACTAAAACAAAATAGAACATATTTGGGATACTCTAAAAAGAATTAAAAACCAAAAATTTCGAAAATATTAGTCTGGGACCATGAATAGACTATTTTTTAATTAGCTCGTCAATATCTGCATCTCAAAATTTGTTGTGGATTTTTAGGCAACTTTGGGAAAATTTCAAATTTTCAAATTTTTGAAAATTTTGATATTTTCCAAACATCTTCGAAAATTGCCTAAAGTCATTTTGGGAACGTTTGTTTGAAAACTCCAGCCACATTTTCAGAATCACCGAAATAAAATAGACCAATTTTGGGATATTCTAAAAAGTTTAATTAAAAACCGAAAATTTCGAAAATATTGGTCTGGGACCATCAACAGACTATTTTTTGACACTTGTTACATTTTTTCAGGCATGCGCAAATCTCCTGACTCGTTTTTGCACTTAGAAATCAGTTTCTAATTCACTGACTTGGTGTGGTATACGACAATAGTTGAATGAACTAAATTTCAATATTAGTAATTTTTTTTCAACTCATTTGCTGAGTAGTCACTTAGACTATGTTGTTGCCGCATCTAACGAGCCGCCACTGGACTCCCAACAACCAGCTCCTGCCGGCAACGACTCCCATACCCTATTAGGGAAACCCTGCAACATTTCCAATACAACCGCTTTTTCCTCACTCTCTAAATATGGACCGAATCTTCCTCTCTAATGAACCTTGAACCATCACTTCTCCGTTCCCAGCGCGTACCGGCAAACGAAAAAGGCGATCCCACACACGGCATAAAAAGATTTGGTGTCAATTACGCGAAAAGCGCTTACCTCAACCGGCAATAATTAGACAAATTAATAACATTCCGCAATGTTGAACCGAACGGCAATTCGGGCCGCCTCCCTTGACACCCTGAAACGCTTTGTTGTGTCGGCGCGCCACATTTTCGCCTTTGTTTGTCCGTATTATGCGGCAAAATATTTGGTTATTATATTAATAAAAGCGGCTCCGGTTTATATTTATTTTTGTCGCTAATGGTTGCTTGGTCGTGTTTACGGCGCGACTAGCTATTGCAAACACATTTTTTGTGGGCGAAATTGTAAATAAACTGGATATTGCGTGCGAAAACAGTACAGTTTTTGTGTGCTGGGTTATTAGTTTTTTATTGAATTGTTTAGGTAACAATGTTTCACTAGCGCAAAAAATTGAAATTATATACTGGGTGATTCGTAACCGCAACCCAAAATACATTTTGAGAGGTTTCGTGGACCCTATATTTTTCAAACCTTTAAGTTTTGTCTATCCTGTTGATTTCACGGCTCGTAGAATATGGAAATGTAAGTTTTCTGTTCCTATCCACCTCTCCGTGGATCGAATTCTCACAATGGTAAAACACTAACCGAAACTCTCTGTTTATCTCCTGTGAAAAAATGATGACGTCATGCTATAACAAATTTTTTCGATATAAATTCATTTTGTTGTTTTTTGCAGCTGTGTGTTCACCCCCATGTATGAATGGCGGCAAATGTGTGAAGCCGAATGTTTGCAGCTGCCCCCAGGGGGCTGCTGGTAGGTTTTGTGAAACGAAAACCAGCGTGTACGCCCCAAGTAAGTATTACTGTAATATTAAATTATGAAGAACTTTTTATACACTTTAACACCTCCTGTCTTTATTTATTTAAAATAAAACTTCCATTACATAAGATATAGAGTATAACCTCGATAATCCGAATTAATTGGGGAAAGCGATTTGTTCGGATCAGCGAATTTCCCAAAAAGCTGAAAAGGAATTGAACAACTACTGAAAACAAATTTCAAGAAATAAACCTTAATTTTCTTCAGAAATAAAGTATTCTTAACATTGGAAAAAATATTACTCCGTGACCATAACCACGCTATATTTTTGGAATCAACACGTCAGGATCTATATCCCTGAATTTAAGCAGAATTTTTAGATGACTTTTTAAAAAATCAAATTTCCCATTATGTATTCGTATTATTTCCCTTATGCAAATTTCGACCCATTCTCGACGATTTTCGAAATCTAACTACATACTTCTGGCTTCATTTTTCGATAAATTATACCGTTTTTCCAGAATCGTCCATTGAAATATCATAATTTTCAAAAATTTCAAAAAATTCGAATTTCACACCGAATTTTCCGAAAATATTGCTCCGTTACCATAAACATGCTATATTTTTGGAATCAGCACGTCGGGATATATATCTCTGAATTTTTTCAGAATTTTTAGACAACTTTTTCAAAAATGAAATTTTACACTATGTAGTACTTGCCAAATAACTTACCCTCTAAGAAAATAAAAGGCGGGTGGGCCAGGCTAGTATTTGCCAAAATAAGACCCATTTTGACAAATGACCTACTCTTCTAAGGAAAGATACTAGCCCCGCCCACCCACCCTTTATTTTCTTAGAGCAAGTATGAGACTGATTTTTGCAGATGACAGATCCTCTAAGAAAATAAGGGTGGGTGGGCGGGGCTAGTACTTGTCAAGATAAGACTGATTTTGGCAGATGACCCACTCTTCTAAGAAAATAAAGGGTGGGCGGGCTAGTCTAGTACTTGCCAAGATAAGACTGATATTTGGCAGATAACATATTCTTTATTTTCTTAGAAGGATAGGCCAAAATAAGTCTTATTTTGGCAAATACTAGCCCGGCCCACCCGCCTTTTATTTTCTTAGAGGGTAGGTTATTTGGCACGTGCTAGCCCCACCCACCCGCCCTTTGTTTTCTTAGAGAGTAGATCATTTTTCGATTTCTGAATTTTCGAATTTTTTTATTTCTCGTTTTTTAAATTTTCAATGTTTTGAACTATCTTTCGATTTTTGATTTCTCTGGGCAACTGAAAAAACTTTGGATTTTTTAATTTTACAATTGTGGCAGTTTTCCGATTTCTCAATTATTTGATTTTTAAAAATATCCAGAAAACATATACATGTATATATTTTTTAATTTTCGATTTTTGTTTTTTGTCACCGAGTTTTTGGGAGGGAGTAAAAAGTAATTTTGACCAGCGATTGCCACTCTACCGTAACTTTAAAACATCTGAAAATTTTGTTTCTAATTTTCAATTTTTGGATTTTTCGATTTTTCAAAATTTCGGTTCGAATAAATTGTTCTTTTAGTAAAAAATCGAAAAATGACAAATCGTGAAAAGGAAAAATTCCAAAATTGTAAAGTTAAAACTTGAAAAATCAAAAGATTGCAATTAAAAACTGCAAAATTACCAAAAAAATGATCAAATGAAATATTCAAAAGTTGAAAAATCTAAAAACCAAAAAAAAAATGAAAACAGGAATTTCGAATTCAATTTTATAAGATTTGTTTTATTTTTCAATTTGCCATTTTTTGATTTTTTAATTTTTAGCAAGTACTAGCCCCACCCACTCAGCCTTTATTTTGTTAGAAGGATAAGTCATCTGCCAAAATCAGTCTTATCTTGACAAGTACTAGCCCCGCCCACCCACCCTTATTTTCTTAGAGGATCTGTCATTTGCAAAAATCAGTCTCATACCTGCCAAGATAAAACTGATTTTGGCAGACGACTTACTCTAATAAAATAAAGGGTGGGTGGGCGGGGCTAGTACTTACCAAGATAAGACTGATTTTGGAAGATGACTTATTCTTCTAAGAAAATAAAGGCTGGGTGGGTGAGGCTAGTACTTGCTAAAAATTAAAAAATTAAAAAATCAAAAAATGACAAATTGAAAAATCAGATAAATGAGAAATCGGATACACTATATAATCGGAAAATCAAAAACTAAAATATCGAAAAATAAAAAAAAAACAAGTATAAAATTGAATTCGAAATTTTTGTTTTCATTTTTTTTTTAGTTTTTAGATTTTTCAACTTTTGAATATTTCATTTGATCATTTTTTTGACAATGTTGCGGTTTTTAATTGCAATCTTTTGATTTTTCAAGTTTTAGCTTAACAATTTTGGAATTTTTCCTTTTCACGATTTGTTATTTTTCGATTTTTTCCTAAAAGAACAAATTTATTCGAACCGAAATTTTGAAAAATCGAAAAATCCAAAAATTGAAAATCAGAAACAAAATTGTCAGATGTTTTAAAGTTACGGTGAACGTGGTAATCGATGGTCAAAATTACTTTTCACTCCTTCCCAAAACTTCGGTGACAAAAAATCAAAAATCGAAAATTTTAAAAATATGCATCTATATAATCTCTCGATATTTTTAAATAGCAAATAATTGAGAAATCGGAAGAAAACTGCCACAATTATAAAATTAAAAAATCGAAAGTTTTTTTCAGTTGCCCAGACAAATCCAAAATCGAAAGACAGATCCAAAAATTGAAAATTTAAAAAGCGATAAATAAAAAAATTCGAAAACTGAAAAATCGAAAAATGATCTACTCTCTAAAAAAACAAAGGGCGGTTGGGTGGCTCTAGCACTTGCCAAATAACCTACCCTCTAAGAAAATAAAAGGCGGGTGGGCCGGGCTAGTATTTGCCAAAATAAGACTCATTTTGGCCTACTCTTCTAAGAAAATAAAGAATAGGTCATCTGCCAAATATCAGTCTTATCTTGGTAAGTATGAGACTGATTTTTGCAAATTACATATCTTTTAAGAAAATAAGGGTGGGTGGGCGGGGCTTGTACCTTTTAAAATAAGACTGATTTTGGCAGATGACCCACTCTTCTAAGAAAGCAAAGGGTGGGTGGGCGGGGCTAGTATTTTTTCTGAGATGAGTAGGTCATTTGCCAAAATGAGTCTTATTGTGGCAAATACTAGCCTGGTCCACCCGCCTTTTATTTTTTTAGAGGATAGGTTATTTGGCAAGTACTAGCAAATTTCGACCCATTTTCGACGATTTTCGAAATTTAATTAAATATTTTTTCTTGTAGATTTCCGGCCTCATTTCTTCGATAACTTCAATCTTTTTTCCAGAATTAGTTAATTAATGCAGTGCATTGAAATACCACAATTTTTAATTTCAAAAAATTCAATACAACACGTCCAGAAAGATGTTCGGATAATCGTGGGTTCGGATTATAGAGGTTATACTGTACTCCTATATTTTTTGCTTAGTTAACAAGTAGTTGTATAGTGTTAGAAATGTATTAAAACTAAACATGTATTCCAAGCTTAACGCAAAAAATCAAAGAAAAGGAAGATAGGTCTCTCATTTCCGTCTGTCTGTCCAGCTGTTTGTCGTCTGTGTCGATTTTAGATGTATGTTGGGAATATCGTGTAGATGCTAAAACGTTAATCAAAATTTGTGTCGTCATTTCCTCCGTACTCCTGTACTTGTGGTTTATGAATCCTCCTTGGATTTTTACTCTAGGCATCTAGATTTTCACAAAATTGTACCAAGGTCCACTAAAGTGCTCTAACGAGACCCTTCAACTATCCAATCACGGTCGAGTTTTCTACAAATGTTACATTCCATAGGTACTTAGGACTTCCTTCTGTTTAAAATTAATAATAATATATTAGCACTAAATACAATATCTATATCCCAGAATTGTTTGTAGATTTGGACCCTCAGCAGTTACTTTTGGCCTCATTTTTTCGATAAAGCTTTACATTTTTCAGAATCGCCCCATGAATATTAGGACAATTTTTACATTTTTTTTTTAAGTGAATTTAATATCGAATATTTCTATAACTTTTTGACACTCCTGAATCACAAACACACGCTATATTTTTCGAATCAGCAGGCAGACATGTATAGCTCATACTTTTTGTGGACACATTAATTTTTATTGGCGATTTTGAAAAAAATTGTAGTAAATTTCGAAAAAATGAAACTGACAAAGACTTTTGGATGTCGAAATATACAAAAGGATCTTTTTTATCGCTTAAAAATCTACAAAAAAAAATCTGAAATAGAGCTGAATCGAAAATATAGCGCAGTAATATTGCAGAACCAAATTTTTTGAATATTCAGTTTGAAAGTCAAATTTTAAAATTTCCATAATTTTCATTTCGGAAATTTTGACAAAATGGTGAGAATTTTTCAAGAAATTAACCAAAAACGACTTTAGACGTCGAAATCAATAAAAGAATCTCTTCAGAGAATTTTAGAAGGTGCTCAATAAAAGTCAAAATTTTGGCGAAGTTGTTCAAAGATCTAACAAAAATTATGAGATAGATTTCGACAGTTGACTCGGAAAACGTAACGTGTGGATCATCCCGACCAAGGTTACACGCAAATATGGAAAATGTCAGAAAAATCGCAACATTTTTGATAAAGACTTCTTTAGAACAATTCCGAAAAAACTGAATGTCCAAAAATAATGAAAAAAAGAAAGCGTTTGCTCAAAAATGACGTATCTATCAGGGGAAAATTCTCTCAAGACAATTTAATGACCGGTTTTCGAAATAATCGAGTTCAAAATTAAATTTTTAAAATATTCCAAAAATTGACATAATTACAATCATTATTGTGTTTATGAAAAAAAGGTAAAAATTGTCACTTATAATATCTCTAGTGCGTTGATTATTTCCGGAAATTTTTTCGAATGCATTTCAAAAACATACTCATTGTCTAGATCTACGCCCCTGAATTTTTTCAGAATTTTTAGAAAACTTTTGTAAAAGTGAAATTTTTTTCAAATTTATGCCAATTTTTGACATTTTCGTAACTTAACTAAACACATTTTCTTGTAGATTTCGAGCTCTAGAACATACTTCCGGCCTGGTTTCTTTGATAATTGCAACCGTTTTTACAGTATCGTCCGTTGAAATATCGAAATTTTTAGAAATTTTCAAAAACTCGCACTTCGTACCGATCTTTTCAAAAATGTTGCTCGGTGACCATCAACACGCTATATTTTTGGAATCAGCACATCGAGATCTCCGTCCCTGAATTTTTTCAGAATTTTTAGACAACTTTTTTAAAAGTGAAAATTTTCCAATGGTCCCCCCTTCTTCAATTTCGGCAAAATTTTTACATTTTCGAAACTAAACTAAAAGCAGTTTCTTGTAGTTTTCGAGCTCTAGAACTCACTTTCGGCCTCGTTTCTTTAATACCTCCAACCGTTTTTCCGGAACCGGCCGTTGAAATATCGAAATTTTTAAAAATTTTCAAAAATTCGCAGTTCGTTCTAATTCTTTGAAAAATATTGCTCCGTGACCGCCAACACTATATATTTTTGGACTCAGCATGTCGAGATCTACGTCCCTGAATTTTTTCAGAATTTTTAGACAACTTTTTTAAAAGTGAACATTTTCCAATGGTCCCCCCTTCTTCAAATTTCGGCAAAATTTTGATATTTTCGAAACTAAACTAAAAGCAGAGTCTTGTAGTTTTCGAGCTCTAGAACTCACTTTCGGCCTCGTTTCTTTAATACCTCCAACCGTTTTTCCGGAATCGTCCGTTGAAATATCGAAATTTTTAGAAATTTTCAAAAATTCTCATTTCATACCGATTCTTTCGAAAATGTTGCTCCGTAACCGCCAACACCATATATTTTTGGACTCAGCATGTCGAAATTTACGTCCCTGAATTTTTTTAGAATTTTTTGACAACTTTTTTGAAAGTGAAAATTTTCCAATGGTCCCCATTCTTCAAATTTCGGCAAAATTTTGACAATTTCGAAACTAAACTAAAAGCAGTTTCTTGTAGTTTTCGAGCTCTAGAACTCACTTTCGGCCTCGTTTCTTTAATACCTCCAACCGTTTTTCCGGAATCGGCAGCTGAAATATCGAAATTTTTAGAAATTTTCAAAAATTCGCATTTCGCACCGATTCATTCGAAAATGTTGGTCCTTGACCGCCAACACCACATATTTTTGGAATCAGCATGTCGAGATTTACGTCTCTGAATTTTTTAGAATTTTTTGACAACTTTTTTGAAAGTGAAAATTTTCCAATGGTCCCCCCTTCTTCAAATTTCGGCCAAATTTTGACATTTTGGAAACTAAACTGAAAGCAGTTTCTTGTAGTTTTCGAGCTCTAGAACTCACTTTCGGCCTCGTTTCTTTAATACCTCCAACCGTTTTTCCGGAATCGTCCGTTGAAATATCAAAATTTTTAGAAATTTTCAAAAATTCGCATTTCGCATCGATTCATTCAAGAATGTTGCTCCGGAACCGCCAACACCACATATTTTTGGAATCAGCATGTCGAGATTTACGTCTCTGAATTTTTTTAGAATTTTTTGACAACTTTTTTGAAAGTGAAAATTTTCCAATGGTCCCCATTCTTCAAATTTCGGCAAAATTTTGACAATTTCGAAACTAAACTAAAAGCAGTTTCTTGTAGTTTTCGAGCTCTAGAACTCACTTTCGGCCTCGTTTCTTTAATACCTCCAACCGTTTTTCCGGAATCGGCAGCTGAAATATCGAAATTTTTAGAAATTTTCAAAAATTCGCATTTCGCACCGATTCATTCGAAAATGTTGGTCCTTGACCGCCAACACCACATATCTTTGGAATCAGCATGTCGAGATTTACGTCTCTGAATTTTTTAGAATTTTTTGACAACTTTTTTGAAAGTGAAAATTTTCCAATGGTCCCCCCTTCTTCAAATTTCGGCCAAATTTTGACATTTTGGAAACTAAACTGAAAGCAGTTTCTTGTAGTTTTCGAGCTCTAGAACTCACTTTCGGCTTCGTTTCTTTAATACCTCCAACCGTTTTTCCGGAATCGTCCGTTGAAATATCAAAATTTTTAGAAATTTTCAAAAATTCGCATTTCGCATCGATTCATTCAAGAATGTTGCTCCGGAACCGCCAACACCACATATTTTTGGAATCAGCATGTCGAGATTTACGTCTCTGAATTTTTTTAGAATTTTTTGACAACTTTTTTGAAAGTGAAAATTTTCCAATGGTCCCCCCTTCTTCAAATTTCGGCCAAATTTTGACATTTTGGAAACTAAACTAAAAGCAGTTTCTTGTAGTTTTCGAGCTCTAGAACTCACTTTCGGCCTCGTTTCTTTAATATCTCCAATCGTTTTTCCAGAATCGGCCGTTGAAATATTGAAATTTTTAGAAATTTTCAAAAATTCGCATTTCGCACCGATTCATTCGAAAATGTTGCTCCGTGACCGCCAACACCATATATTTTTGAAATCAGCATGTCGAGATTTACGTCCCTGATTTTTTTTAGAATTTTTTGACAACTTTTATAAAAGTGAAAATTTTCCAATGGTCCCCCCTTCTTCAAATTTCGGTAAAATTTTGACAATTTCGAAACTAAACTAAAAGCAGTTTCTTGTAGCTTTCGAGCTCTAGAACTCACTTCCGGCCTTGTTTCTTTAACATCTCCAACCGTTTTTCCGGAATCGGCCGTTGAAATATCGAAATTTTTAGAAATTTTCAAAAATTCGCACTTCGTTCCGATTCTTTCGAAAATGTTGCTCGGTGACCATCAACACGCTATATTTTTGGAATCAGCATGTCGACATCTACGTAGTGGAACGAGGGGCTTGTTGTAACAGTTTTTAGGAAAACGAATATAATTTGGTATCTATTAGCTGTTTGACCATTATAAAAGCATCTATCGGTAGTCTAACTATTCCCCTATTGGACTGAACAGGCAAAAGGTCAAAATTGTTCATCTTCACTTCACACCAGGCATTTTCTTAAAAAAAGTGCATTGTTACAACTTGCCCCGTGGTTGGGGCTAGTTGTAACAGCCATCATACAGGTAGTACCAGTAAAAATAAAGTTGATGTTGATACATATTTAGATTTTATTTTTGAAAAATCAACACAACACTTCATTATATACAATTTTTTTTCAGTAAAACTGAAATAAACTTTTAGAAAAAGAGTTAACATTAAAAATTTGAGTGTTGTCTTCCTTTTTCTTAATATATCTGGAAAGCGATATATGGCATAGGTCAAAATTTTGGCTCGCTTTTCGTATGCTAGGTATGAGATTTGTAGAAGTGAATTTGGGATAAGTTGTAACATGTTACAACTTGCATCAAAGCTATTGTTACAACATGCCCCGTAGCACAATTTTCTACATTTAATTACATTTCGTCAAAATTATGTGGCTTAGCGTCAAAATGTGTAAGGAATATCAAAGCTGAGTAATTTTTGAGCTACATGCAAAACTAAAAGTTTTAAATTAATTAATAACTGATACGAAAAACCAAATTTTACTAAAGCAATATTTTACATTACTTGGCCAAAACGGGACACGTGCACACATCCACTTACTGCGCTGGCTCAAGGAACAGTGGTTGTGATGACATGATGTCTTATGGTGCAAGAATTAAATTCAGTAAAATACCTGACGTTAAAGAGTTTAAATTGTGGGTAAAAATTTAGTGTTACAACTTACCCCTGTTACAACAAGCCCCTAGTTCCCCTACCTAAATTTTTTCAGAATTTTTATACATATGTATATAACCCTTTCAACGAATTATGCGTTAATCTTGGAAAATTTGATACATTTTTAAAGCTTCTTTCAAATTTTTCAAAAAAAAGTACTTAAAGAACACTTTAAACACGCTGAAAATTTCCCACTTATTGAGTACCTTCATAATTTTGTTGATTCTATTCTTATCCTCGGCAATAATAATCCGAGACACTTAATAATTTTTTAACCTTGAGCAGTGATGGGTTTTAGATAACGATAATAAAAACAAATAGGTTGTCTGCATGTTAAGTAAGTATCTACTGTAAATTTTGAACGCCCTTTCGTAAACGAGAGAGAAAAAAATTGTAATCGAATCATGTTTGAAAATGTTTTAATCGGTGATTAAACCACACTGATAAAGGTCAAAAAATGACAATAACGTGAAAAAAGTATTTTTTTTTCTTAAAACTATTAACAAGTATTCAAGGAGAAAATAACAAAAAGCGAATTTTTCCAAAAATCTGACGGTACCTCACTTCAGTTTTACCACTCAAACCCCTAACACAAGTTTATTTTTCGTCCTTTTTAGATGGTTGCGGCAATTGCATGGCCCCCTGTGACGTTGGTGTACAATCTATCTGTCCCCAATGTCTCAGTATTTATAACCCATCGTATCCCCATACCTGTAGTCCTTGTCCTGGAGTGGATGTGCGTCAACCTTGTACCGCTACTCCTCCTTCTACCCCTTGTCCCCCGACGTCTCCCCCGGGATGTCTTCCCAACTGTCTCCCCACGTGTCTCCCTACCTGTATCATCACCACGTGTCCTTCCACGTGTCCTTCTGAGTGCCCTTGCCATTCACCCGGTGGTCCTGTGACTGTATATACGTGTAATTGTCAAAAGAAACGTAATGGTTTACAGGGTAAGCGTAAAAACATTACAATAATATCGTCATTTCAATTTTGAGAACTTTTGATATACGAAATGACATTAAAAATAGAACACCCAAACATTTTGTCGTCCAGATGTTCTATTTTCCGTGTGACTTATTACTATTAAGATATGTTTTTATTTTTGCACACAGGTGACTACATTTAATTAAAATGTTATATTTTGGTAGTAAGATAATGAACATGACGTCATTTTAACCAATCGCATTGCGTGTTTTATAACGCGTAAATGCCGCTAAATTTAAATCTGGAAAGGACTTGAAAAGCTAAAATATTAGTTTCCACAAAACCAGGAAAATAATTAATTTCTCTTTTGTTTGTATCAACTAGTTATACAGGGTGTTTCACAGAAACAAAAATGTACTAAGATCACTGTGTGCAAACATAAAATAATGATTTAGATATTTAGACATTTAAAAGTTGTGTATTCCTTTAACTGTAGCGACCGATTGTTGTCAAATTTTAGATACTTTTTAGGAATATCGTGTAAATGATAAAACGCTAACTAAAATTTGCTTAATCATCCCAACCAACAATTTGATGTAGTAAATGTTATTTAAATTTTATAAATTTACACACTAATGCACTTGTGGTTTATGAATCCGTTTTGAATTTTATTCTAGGCATCCAAATAGTTATAACTTCCATACTACAACGAAATTTGTTTCTGATTTTAATAATGTGATGTACGGTTAAAGGAAACTGACAAAACTATATAAAAAGCAGCTAATTATAGGAATTATATAATACATATTAAACTACAAGTTGGCGGAATTTGTGTCTATTTTCAGTCAGCCTTTTGATGTATAATTTCGCTGGACATGGGATGATTTTTTTTTAATAATACACAACAGCAAAATAAAGTTTTATTAGATCTATATTAAAAAAATAAATAAATTGACATCTCCATATGAAAACATGAAATTCTCGGACACTCAGTAGCTTAATTTTGCACAAAAGTTGTAATTCACCTTGTCTTGACAAACGTGTAAAATAACAGAAGAATGTTTTAATTTATATTTATATACAGGGTGATTAAATGTGGAATTTGGCGGTTTTCTCATATTTTTTAAAAGAGACACCTGTATGTTTTCCAAACACATCTCTAAGTAAGTTTTTTTTAACACCAAATTCCAACAAATATGGTACCAATTGGACAAATTTATACTATTTGCTATAACATTTATTTTTTATTCCAGAAGAAAAAAAAATTGGAAACGGGTGGGTGGGCGGGGATAAGTTTAACTTTTCCTATAGAGTCTTTCATAAGCAAGAAATATTGGACAAATTTCAGTTTTAAAAAAGTTTTCTAAAAATTCTGAAAAAATTCAGGGCTATAGATCTGGACGTCCTGATTATAAACATAAAAAATAGGGTGTTTAGGGTCAGGGAGTAATATTACGATAATTCAAAGGGCGTTTATGGAAAAACGGTTGGAGTTATCGGAGAAATGAGACCGGACTACTCTTAATATTGTTTAGTTCTATCATAGCATGTTTTAGCCCCGCCCACCCACCCCTTGTTCATTTCAGCTATTACTCCTAATATTGTTCAGTTCTATCTTAACAAGTTTTAGCCCCGCCCACCCACCCCTTCTCCATTCCAGTTACTGCTTTTAATATTGTTCAGTTCTATCTTAGCTAATTTATTATTAGTAAATTTAGTCACTCTGAATAAACAAGTTTAAACCTCGTTGCAAATTAGTTGAACATTTTTACTATACAGAGCGTTTTGTTTTTATCACAAAATTTAGTTTTTTTTTTAATGAAACACCCTATATACTTTTACATATTTAGATTGACCTTTTCTTAGGCTATACAACCACGGTTTACTTTTGAAATTCCGATGCGACGTTGCCACGTTACTCCAGTTTTCTTGAAATTTTTCGGCAGTGGAAAGGTTTACAAAAAAAATCGAAATGGCGTTATTTTTAAAGCTTGACTTACAATATTTTATGGAACGATAAATAAACGTACTTGCTTTGTTGAGGTATTAACTAAATAAAGTTTTAATATACAGAGTGTTTATAAAAAATTCAAAAACTGCATCTCCCTGTATTTTACTACTATTGCTAAAAAAATCCAAGAAAATTGGAATAACGTGGCACCTTCGCATCGTAATTTTAAAAATTAACTATGGCTGTAAAGCCTAAGAAGAGATTTTTCAAAATATGTAAAAATATATAGGGTGTTTCATTTAAGTAAAGTAAGTTCTATTTTATACCTTAAAAACAGAACATTCGCCTAAAAAACTGAAGAGTGTTTTAATTTATATATATATATACAGGGTGATCAAATATGGACATTGCCAATTTTCTGAGTTTTCGTAAGTTTTTTTTTGTACCAATGTTTTTGTTTTTGTTTTTTTTAAATTTTGTGATAAATTTCAACAAACCTGATACCAATTCAAAAATATAACAAAAACTTATAACTGGTAAACTCAGTCACCCTGTATAAATAAGTTGTCAATCCTCGTATGGTATTTTCCTTTTTTCATAAAACCCTAAATATCAAAATACCAAGAGATTAATAAAAAATATCACCAAAGACGGCCATGGATTTTTAAAAGTTGTCTTTGATCGTGTTTTTATTGCTCTCTAGGTATATAATCAGTAGACAGCGGATTTCTGTCGGGCTACGTCACGATTTTAGTGGGGACGCGCTGCATCGCCGGGACTCAGTAGCGGGTGATAGGTAATCACTGAATTTAATTGTCACTTGATTCCATAAATACAATTAACGATTTATTAATCAAACGGCTAACTAAATGACAACTGGAATTAACAGCAGAGTGCAACGAAGCAGCGTTATTCTAATCTCAAATAAACGAAGTGCAGCCGGTAACTGCAATGAATTCCCATCCCGGACGAGCCGTACCGAGTTTGGCCTTGTCTAGCCCGACAGAAATCCGCTCTCTAATAATCAGAGACGTGAAAATATGCAAAACTTCTCTTAAATATACAGGGTGAGTTCTTTGGTGACCATACTCTAAAATATTTTTTTAACTATACAGAGCGTTCTGTTTTTAACACAATTTTTTTTTTTTTTAATGAAACACCCTATATACTTTTACATATTTATATTGACCTTTTCTTAGGCTTTACAACCACGGTTTACTTTTGAAATTCCGATGCGACGTTGCCACGTTACTCCAGTTTTCTTGAAATTTTTCGGCAGTGGAAAGGTTTACAAAAAAAATCGAAATGGCGTTATTTTTAAAGCTTGACTTACAATATTTTATGGAACGATAAATAAACGTACTTGCTTTGTTGAGGTATTAACTAAATAAAGTTTTAATATACAGAGTGTTTATAAAAAATTCAAAAACTGCAACTCCCTGTATTTTACTACTATTGCTAAAAAAATCCAAGAAAATTGGAATAACGTGGCACCTTCGCATCGTAATTTTAAAAATTAACTATGGCTGTAAAGCCTAAGAAGAGATTTTTCAAAATATGTAAAAATATATAGGGTGTTTCATTTAAGTAAAATAAGTTCTATTTTATACCTTAAAAACAGAACACTCGTCTAAAAAACTGAAGAGTGTTTTAATTTATATATGTATACAGGGTTATCAAATATGGACACTGCCAATTTTCTCAGTTTTCGTAAGTTTTCTTTTGTACCATTTTTTTTGTTTTTGTTTTTTAATTGTTGTAATAAATTTCAACAAATCTGATACCAATTCAAAAATATAACAAAAACTTATAACTGGTAAATTCAGTCACCCTGTATAAATAAGTTGTCAATCCCTCGTATAAACATGGTATTTCCCTTTTTTCATAAAACCCTAAATATCAAAATACCAAGAGATTAATCAAAAATACCACCAAAGACGGCCATGGATTTTTAAAAGTTTGTCTTTGATCGTGTTTTTATTGCTCTCTCGGTATATCATCAGAGACGTGAAAATATGCAAAACTTCTCTTAAATATACAGGGTGAGTTCTTTGGTGACGATACTCTAAAATATTTTTTAACTACACAGAGCGTTTTGTTTTTAACACAAAATTTAGTTTTTTTAAACGAAACACCCTATATACTTTTACATATTTATATTGACCTCTTCTTAGGCTTTACAACCACCGTTTACTTTTGAAATTCCGATGCGACGTTGCCACGTTATTCCAGTTTTCTTGAAATTTTTCGACGATGGCAGGGTTTATAAAAAAAATGAAATAGCGTTATTTTTAAAGCTTGACTTACAATATTTTGTGGAAGGATAAATAAACGTACTTGCTTTGTTGAGGTATTAACTAAATAAAATTTTAATACATATACAGAGTGTCTATAAAAAATTCAAAAACTGCAACTCGCTGTATTTTATTACTATATCTTACTCTAATTTTTTGTCCTCACTCTTCTATGTCGATGTGTTTCTTAATATAGTAAAAAATTGAAATAACTATTAACTTTAAATATAGAAAATACTCAGAAAAAAAGAAAGAGGACCAAAAATGGTATAAGATGCCTAAATAAAACATAGGGTGTTCTATGTAAACGAACTGAAGTATCGATTTTTGAAAATTGTATAGTTTAAGAATTTTTTATAAACACTCTGTATGTTAAAATTAAGTTGATACTGTAGTGGGCTCTGTAGTTTTGTAAAAAGACAATTGATTGTGATTTGACGTTCGAAATAAAATAATACTTTTTCTTGTATTTAAAAAAGTATATTTATTGAGTAATACTCGAGATTAAAATCAACAATTGGTGACCCCGACGTAGAAAATGAATCCAAACAATGATACCTCTGAAACGAATCCGACTGAAAACAAAACAGCATTCGTCGAAGCAGCAACACAAATAAAATTGCCGCAATTTTGGACTTGTTCTCCAGCGGCATGGTTTTTCCAAGCAGAAGCACAATTCAATCTGAAAAGAATAACCAGCGATGCTTCAAGATACGAACATGTTATCACAGCACTGCCTCAAGATATCGTCATATTAGTAGTGGACATTCTGCAAAAACCACCAACTGAAAATAAGTACGAAACTTTAAAGAAATCCTTGCTAGAAAGAACCGTTGACAGTGAAGAAAAACGCCTCACTCAAATCTTAAGCAACAACAACGAATTAGGTGACAGGAAACCATCTGAATTCTATAGACATTTAGAAATTCTCGCGGGAAACTCTGCTATGGTTGGAAAGGAGCTTTTACAGAACTTATGGATGAGAAAATTGCCTATAAACATAAATGTAGCCCTACTTGCTTCAGGAAAACAAGACATTACAGAATTATGCGCAATTGCAGATAAAATTTGGAACGTGACACATACAAGTTATATTTCAACTGTTTCAGACGTTTATAGCTCAAATTTAAGTTCGGCAGAGAATTATTTGGCTCGTTTGGAAAGTAAAATAGATGCATTAGAAAAAAAGTTCACCAGGACAAACATACGTAAGGATGACATTAATGACAGACAGTACAAACGAGAACGTAGTAAAAGTCCTCGTCGAAACTCAACCCGCAGTCAATTCAAGGAAAACGGCAAGTTCTGCTGGTATCATTTTACATTTGGTAAATATGCTCAAAAATGTATCAAACCATGCGAATTCCAGAATTTACAAGGTAATTCTTTAAACTAGTCAAGCCTGCGATTTCAACGGCGAATCGCAAGGTATTTCAAAATTCAAGCCGTTTATTTCTCAATGATAAAATTAATCATTTAAATTTTCTTATCGATACTGGTGCTGAATTGTCAGTTATTCCAAATTCGATTTTTGGTATATACAAGAAAGAGTCTAATTTTGACTTAGCAGCTGCAAATGGAACTAGGATAAATACATACGGCACAAAAGTCTTAAACATTGATTTTGGTTTAAGAAGGAAATTCACATTTCCTTTTATAATTGCGGCAGTTAACAGACCAATAGTCGGTGCAGACTTTCTTCAACAATTTGGACTTTTAGTAGACATCCAAAAGAAACAATTAATCGACACCTCAACAAACCTTTGTATTAGTGGAATAACAATCAAAGCGAACACACCTAGTCCACGAATTTTTCAAATTGAAACCGAATACACACACCTTTTTCGACAATTTCCAAATTTAAGTCGACAACCTGATTACAATGAGCCATTAAAACACAATGTAAAGCATCATATAGTAATAAATGGTAAGCCACCATTTTCTAAACCGAGAAGATTAGATGCCAAAAGACACACTATCGCTAAAAATGAATTCGAACACATGCTACAACTAGGAATATGTCGACCATCATCTTCAAACGTTAGTTCACCACTTCACATGGTTCCAAAGAAAGATTGCGACGACTGGAGACCATGTGGGGATTATCGTAGATTGAATGCTATAACAGTACCAGACCGTTACCCGATACCACACATACAAAATTTTAACAACCATCTCCATGGGAAGACTATATTTTCAAAAATTGATTTAGTTAGAGCGTACCATCAAGTGCCAGTGGCCCAGGAAGATATTCATTTAACAGCCATAACGACACCGTTTGGTTTGTTTGAGTTCACCAAAATGCCTTTCGGATTAAGAAACGCAGGGCAAACATTTCAAAGATTTATGGACGAAGTAGTAAGAGGGTTAGATTTTGTGTTTGTATATATCGATGACATCTTAGTTGCCAGTAAAAACAAAAGAGAACATTTAGAACACTTAAAAATTTTATTTCAACGCCTTTCAGACTATAACATCAATATAAAACCATCTAAATGCATTTTTGGAGTGCCTTCACTTACCTTTTTAGGTCATATCATAAACGAAAAGGGAATTTTTCCTGCCGAAGAAAAAGTTAGAGCAATTTCAGAATACCCTTCGCCAAAATCTATGAAACAGCTCCAACGTTTCATCGGGATGGTGAATTTTTACCATCGATTTATTCCCAATTTAGCAGAATCACTGAACCCATTGTACACACATTTGAATTGGCTAACGAAAAATAAAATTAGACATTTTTCATGGCCAAACAGCTGCAATAATGCTTTTATATTAATCAAAGAAAACTTAAAAGGTATATCACTCTTAGCACATCATAAGGAAGATTCAAAAATAAGTCTAACAGTCGATGCATCAAATACTACTGTAGCTTCAGCGCTGCAGCAGTTGAACAGAGGACATTGGGAACCCCTAGCTTTTTTTTCTAAAAAGCTTTCACCAACAGAAATAAGATACTCAACTTTTGACAGAGAACTTTTAGCAATTTATTTATCTATTAAACATTTTAGATATTTTTTAGAGGCTAGAGATTTCACAGTTTTCACAGATCACAAACCACTTCTTAACGCATTAACCTCAAAAAGCAGAAAAAAGTCCCAGACAAGCAAGACAATTAGATTTTATTGCTCAATTTACTTCAGACATTAAACACATCAAGGGCAAATGTAATGTTGTAGCCGACGCTTTATCACGTATTGAAATGGACGAAATATCAAAACCCAATGAATATGTTGACATAGAAGTATTAATTCAAGCTCAAAATGAAGATCCTGAATTACGAAACATGCTTAATAATCCACGATTAAATAGTAAATGCAAATTAACACCAATTCAAGTTTCCCAATCAGACAAAATAATTTGGTGCGAGACGTCATCGAATAATAATAATAGGCCTTATATACCTGCAGAGTATAGGAAACAAATATTTAATGCCCTGCATAATTTATCTCATCCTGGTATAAAAGCGTCTAAGAAATTAATTGCTTCAAAATATTTTTGGCCCAAAATGAGAACAGAAATTGCACAGTGGGCACGTTGTTGCGTCCCATGTCAAAAATCAAAAGTTTATAGGCACACTAAATCAAAATTCTCCGAATTCTTAACTCCAAATGAAAGATTTGAACACGTTCATATAGATATCGTAGGTCCACTACCACCTTCAAATGGATACACGTACATTCTTACTATTATAGACCGCTTTACACGATGGCCAGAGGCATATCCTCTCAAGGATATTACAGCCCTCACAGTAGCAAAAACATTTGTCAGAGAATACATATCACGTTTCGGAGTACCAGTAAAATTAACAACTGACCAAGGGAGACAATTTGAATCAAATCTCTTAAAAGATCTTGCAAAACTGTTAGGTTTTTCTAAAATTCACACTACACCATATCATCCTCAAGCCAATGGAATTTTAGAACGTTTCCACCGACAATTAAAAGCTTCTTTAAAAGCGCGACTAAATACAGAAAATTGGTATGAAGAATTACCTTTAGTTCTTCTTGGGCTACGCACAATAATAAAAGAGGACCTAAAATGTACTCCGGCAGAACTTGTATATGGTCAACCTTTGCGTATTCCTGGAGAAATTTTTGTGAAATCAGAATCTTTAGAGCCACATAGTTCTCATGAGTATTTGTTGAAATTACGAAAAATCATGTCCAATTTGATTCCAACTAATACTCGCACTAGTAAGCAGCATAACATTCATATGCCTAAAGATATTAATTCCTGTAATTTTGTTTTCTTGAGAGTGGACAGCGTCAAGACAGGCTTCCAAAGCCCCTACGAAGGACCATATAGAGTACTACATCGAAACGAAAAAACGTTTACCATAGAGAAACGTGATAAAGAATACACCGTTTCAATTGATAGGGTTAAACCAGCATATGTGGAGAAATTAGGAGATGAAGCATTTCCGATTACCAAGGCAGTTTCGTTCAAGACATAAATTTTTTTTTTAGGGGAGGGGGAGTATATGTAGTGGGCTCTGTAGTTTTGTAAAAAGACAATTGATTGTGATTTGACGTTCGAAATAAAATAATACTTTTTCTTGTATTTAAAAAAGTATATTTATTGAGTAATACTCGAGATTAAAATCAACAATACCAAAGCAAAGCGCGTACATTTATTTATCGCTCCATAAAATGTTTTAACGCAGATTTTAAAAATAATCCCACTCTAATATTTTTGCTAAAAAATTCCAAGAAAATTGAGGTCAATTAAAATATGTAGAAATATATCCGGCGTTTCATTTATTCAAAGTAAGGTGGACTTTATGTCTTAAAAACAGAACACTCAACTAAAAAACTGAAGAGTGTTTTAATTTATATATGTACTTATACAGGGTGATCCAATGTCATTTGCTTTTTTTTCAAGTATATCTTTTTTGTACCAATTTTTTTGTTTTTGTTTTTTTTACTGTTGTGATAAATTTCAACACACTTGGTACCAATTAAAAAATATGACAAAAACTTATAACTGGTAAATTCAGTCACCCTGTATAAATAAGTTGTCAATCCCTCGTATAAGCATGGTATTTCCCTTTTTTCATAAAGATCCTAAATGTCAGAATTTCGAGAGATTAATAAAAAAACGATCAAAGATAGCCACGGATTTTTGACAATTTGTCTTTAGTCATGTTTTTATTGCTCTCCCGGTATATAATTAAAGACTTAAAAATATGTAAAACGTCTTTTAAATATGTATGAAAATAAATTACAACAACTTTTTTTTTTCGAAAACCGTCGTTCCACTAACACAAAACCCGACAACTTTCTCACCCCTTGCGTGCACTTTCAGCAACTCCACCACCACAAAAACCATGCACACCACCCTGTATAAACGGAGGCACCTGCAGTCCCACCGAGCGATGCATCTGTCCTCCCGGATATACGGGCAAACAATGCGAAACAGACGTAGATGAGTGCAAACAAAAACCCTGCGACCACATATGCTACAACACCCCCGGGAGCTTCAAATGCCAATGCAAAGAGGATTTCCAATTACAGGACGACGGCCAAACCTGTCGCAAAGAAAGTGAGTACTTTTGTTAGAACAGCAAAGGGCTGACTTTGAAAGTTGACGCAAAACGAAACTAATAAAATTTTATTGAGAGTGAAATTAATTGTGTGTTTTTATTTTTTAGATGAAGAAGCATCAGAAACCAAGGATCTAGAAGCCAAAATAAACCTGAGTCAAAAAGAGCAAGAAATGAGGATGGACTGCATCAGCAAAAGACTGGTGAAGCTTGAAAAGGTACAGTAATGTAGGGAATTGTGTAATCGCGACCTGCGAGGTTGTAATAAGGTTTATAATCGCCGGCCTGCGCAATTTGCTAGTTTGACAGTTTTTCAAATATGGCGCCACACACGTGACCTATAACCTTCTTTGAGACATCCTGTATTCACTATTACCACCATGGGCGCCCATAGGGGGGGGCCAGGGGGGGCGATGGCCCCCCCTGAGATTCTGCGTCAATTTCCTTTTTATTTGTCAAAATTAAACTTCAGCACATTTGTAAGAGTAGGTACATGCCCTACACTTTCAGTTTTATTGCCACACAAACACAGGAATGTGACAAACTTAGACCATCTGGTTTTGAAGCCCTCTGTTCGGCCCAGATTTGCCTGGAAACATCATAAATCTATCCTTTTTAACCAGTACTGAATTATGGGTTGTTTCGTTATTTACTTTTTACAGTTATTACAACACAAGAGCAAACATTTTATTGCTTACGTCCAAAAATTCATTCCGTTTTCACTTTTATCTGTGGTGAAGTGACGTGTAAAGACGAACAGTTGTTAAACCGGCGTTTTGTTGACTATACTTTTTATTATTTATTTATTTATTTCAAAATACAAGCGTAAGTACTCTTGATTAAATGTCTGTTTAAATTTTAAATTTAATATTTTATTTAAAAACAAAGAAATATGGATATTTGAAATTTCTTCAAGAGAAAAATTACAAATACTGATGATGATACTTCAGCTAATAAGAAGTATAAAATAAGTGGTGTTATTTATTACTACTGATGGCGGGTTTTCAGAGTAGCCATCGATTTCGAGTGGAAATTTCGGTTGCTCCAGAACTGTTTCACCAGTGGGCGTGTGAACTACAACACAGATAGCATAGAAAATTATTTTGGCACTTTTATTCCATACCTGGATCATTTCATTCTTTCCTTAACGACATGATTTTGCGAAACAAAAGTGTCATCATACTCATTATTTTCCTTACATCCAAAGAATGTACATAACTTAAAACCAAGTTGCTTTAAAGGGTTGGGCGAATTTTACTCCACTGACAATTTATCAGACGAAATCCAAAATTGGCAGGATTTTGTAGAAATAAAAAAACTTGACAGTAGTATTTGAGAGAGGGAGAGAGTTAATGCCGAAGAAACATCTGTTGGTAGAGTAATTGACGATTTTTGCCAAGAAAAAAGAAATTAGCAATTTGCTTTTGATTAATTTTATATTTTTATAACTTTTTAATTTTAATATTTTACACTGTTTTGTTAATAATAAGAATAATGATGTTGTAGGGTTATTTGTGAGTAGATTTGATTAACGTAGTTGATGATTAAAATATATATTTATAATAGTAAAGATTTATATCATTATATTATTTATATATACAAGAACAGAGTATATTACAAAAATTTCAAGATGGCCCCCCCTGAGAAAGGTTTCTATGGGCGCCCATGATTACCACAAACACCGAAAAATAACACTAATTTATAACTTCCTACTCAATTTATCAAAAATGCGAGGACTTCGTCACTAGCAGTCTGAATCCACAAGGCTTCGACAACCAGAGTGGACTTCGTGGCCTTCGCAATCCTACCCGTAAGTCCAGTTCGTTCACCTTTCCTTAAAATTAATTTGAGGTAGATTCATTACAATCATAAGTAAACAATAACTCCGCAACACTTTCAACGTTAAACATAAAACGGGAGCAATAAAACCCAAATTAACTCAAACACAAATGCTTGGTTGCGGGTAAAGCGTGTTTACTCGAAATTAGGAAAGTTTAATTAATTTTTTTGTTGTTGTGCGAATGGAAATCTAACTGGTAGAGAATTCTCTCTCGTTGGCTAAAAAGGTCATTGATGTAAATATTTACAGGCTCTGTTGTTTCAAATTTCGTGTGAATGGCAAAGTCGCTAAGATTCTTGGTGTTGTTTCAAAGTTCTTTCTTAGTAAACGTGTAAGAATTAATACACAGATCTGGTTCGACAAGTATTTGTAAACAGTAGTTTCATAGTGCGGGTTCTGGAGCACTTTCTGGCGGGAAAATTTGAATTTCGCCTTACCTCCACCAAGATCGGCTTCCATCGTCGAGCATGCGCACGAGTTCAAATTTTCCCGCCAAAAAGTGGGCGGTTTTGAGCAAAAAGGGAAACTTTTTGGATTTAGCACCCATTATTTAACTTTAAGCCAAGCATTGTTTACTGATGACGTAATGATCACCTACCTCACGTTAATTAAGCTTAGCCTTAACTTTCCTCCTATGATTCCATTATCCAAACTTTTTTTAGCCTCTAGAAAAATTGAAGCATCTCTATGGTTAACAATTTGATAGAATGGTTTGCTTATGGTTTTTCCTGTCGAAAGGAAAGTTGCTTGACGACAATAATTAACTATTAGAGGAGATGACGGAAGCTTAATAAAAATCCATGACTTATTAAGGGCTTAATGTTCTTTAGAGGCTAGGATAAAGCCGATCCTCTTAACCCTGGACTGCAGAATTACAACAATTTTTTTTTTGAAAAGATGGTCCAAGGACATCAGTATAATCGGTAATGAATAGGTGATATTTAACATCCAAGAAGTCTAGGTGCCTTCATTGTACTGGACACACAGCTGCATCGAAATCCAGGTAGTAGTGGAAACGTGAGAGCCCAAAACAGTGCCAGTGCTATACAAATAAAAATACATATACACTTTCGATGATCCTTTACGTAAACTCCTGCACAAAGTGGAGTATAAAATTTAGTTAAAAGTATGTATATGTATGCTCACGTAATCACTAGTGAATAAGTTTAAGCTAAGAATACATAATAGATATACATATATCGATTAGCATTTTGATGTTTTATTTTATCACCAGTAAAAAAGTGTAAACTTGATGTTTCACAAAGGTGTTGACAAATAAGTTTAGAGAAAATCCTTCAAGTGACGGTAGTTATGTAGTGAGGCTTCTGGTTCACTTATAGCGGGAAAATTTGAATTTGGGTTCACTTTGACATAAATAATAAAAAAGTTTTTGTTTCACTAAGAATGTTAAATACAGGGTGAGTCACTAAGCACACGGTCCTCGATATTTCATTATAGATACACCAAAATTGTTTTCGACTATACAGAGTGTTTCGTTTACCACAAATTCTTTTTTAAATAGAGTAGCCTATATGTTTTTACATATTCTTATTAGCCTCTCCCCAGGCTCTATAACCATAGCTTTTGAAGTTTCGATGCAACATTGCCACCTTATTCCAATTTTTTTAACTTTTTTTTGCGATGCAGGGTTCACAAAAAAATCACAATAACGTTATTTTTAAAATCTGTGTTGCAATATTTGCAGTATACAAAATAATCAGAAAATAGTATAAAATGCAGAAATAAAATATAGGGTGTTCTATGTGAAAAAACTGAAATATCGAAGTTTCAGAATTGTATAGTTTTAGAATTTTTTATAAACACTCTGTATATTAAAATTTGATTTAGTTAATACCTCGACCAAGCGCGTACATTTATTTATCGCTCCACAAAATGTTATAACGGAGATTTTAAAAATAACCCTGCTCTAATTTTTTGTGAACCCTCCCCTGCTAAAAAATTCCAAGAAAATTGGAAAATCTGGCAACTCCGCATCGTAATTTAAAAAATTATATATGGTTGTAAAGCTTAAGAAGAGGTCAATCAAACTATGTAAGAATATATAGAGTCTTTCATTAAAAAAAGTAAGTTCTGTTATATGCCTTAAAAACCGAACACTCGTCTAAAAAATTGAAGTGTTTTAATTTATATATGTATACAAGGTGAATAAATTTGGAAACTGTAAATAATGTTTTCAGTTTTCTCATATTTTTTAAAAGAGACACCTGTATTTAGTAAGTAATTTTTTACTACCAATTATTATTATTATTTTTTGTTTTTAACTGTTGCGATAAATTTCAACAAATCTGGCACCAGTTCAAAAATATGTCAAAATTTATAATAGGTAGATTCAGTCACTCTGTATAAATCAGTTTAAAACTCGTTGCAAACTACGTATTAGCCTCTCCCTAGGCTCTATAACCATAGATTTTAAAATGTCAATGCAACGTTGCCACGTTATTCCAATTTTTTTGAACTTTTTTAGCAATGCAACGGTTCACAAAAAAATCACAATAACGTTATTTTTAAAATCTGTATTGCAATATTTGCAATAAAGAGGTACGCGGTTTAGTATGGTATCAAATAAATCAAATTTGAATATACAGAGCGTTTATAAAAATATTATAATTCTTAGATACCCATATTTTAGTTTTTTCATATAGGACACCCTGTTCCTTTATTTGTAGGTATATCTCTTAAAATAGTAAAAACTCAATGATAAAATACAGGATATTCTATTTGAAAAATAGTAGTAGTATGATTAATTTTTTTATAAACACTCTGTATATTAAAACTCAGTTTTATTTATACCACAATAAAGCACTCATTTTTATTTAACTCTCGACAAAATATTGTAACCCAAATATTAAAAATAACCCTGTCGCGATTTTTTGTACAACCTTATATTGCTAAAAAAATCATGGAATAATTTGACAATGTCGCTCGGAATTTCGAAAATAAACTATGATTATAAAGCGCACGAAAATATCAGTCAGAACATATAAAAGGATATAGAGTATTTCATTTGAAAAAACTAAGACGTGTAACGCCTTAAGACCAGAACACTCTGTATAGTTGAAAGTAATTTTAGTATAGTCTGAGAGTTTTTTTACTTTTAATAACCAAGGAGATATCGAGGAGCGTGCGCTTAGTGACACCCTGTCTGCACAAAACACACATGTCGATAGTACCCGAACTTAGTCGAACTTGGCCGTACTGACTCGATCTTGACCGAAGTGAGCCGATCAAGTGACCTTGCCGAAGTAAGCTCAAATTTGAATTTATCCGCCACAAGGGGCCGAGATCGAATTCAAATTTTTCCGCCAAAAAGTGGTCTAGAAGCCCCACTGTATATCTGCTAGTAAACAAGTCTTACACATTATAGACGAGGTTTTGGTATTAATGTTATCCATGTGAAAAATCGTATAATGTGTCCGAGTGTTTTATCCTTCTTTTTCGACTTTCTTCTTTTGAAAAATATCCTAAAAAATAATGGCCTGATGAAAAAATTAACGTCAGTTTTCTTTTAGACTTCTGTATTGTGTGGACACACTGTATATTATATTCCGCAGCCAATTTCATATTTTTGTATTGTAGTTTTTATTCGGCTATGCGATTCATATTGAAACATATTTCCTATTAAAGACGAATCTTTTAAATTTACTAATCAAAATTCAGCCATATTAGGTCTTCACAATAATTTTTTGGTTCGCTTAGAATTTTAAAGTATGAAATCTGCAACTTCGAAAATTATTCATTACAAAAAAGGACAAACACTAAAATGACTCCAGTCCATTCTACCTCGTAAACATTAGCCAGAAGAAAATTTAAATTCAAAACTTCTTCTTATTTTCTAATTACTTGTATTTTTACAAAAAATGCTCCATCTTTTCTTTTACATCTTCTTCAAAACATCACCATCATTGTCCTCTTCTTCAATTTTGATCTTAATTTTTACTGTCTTGCTTTGACCAGACCTAACCTGACCTGACCTGACTTGACCTGACTTGACCTGACCAAGCTTTCTTCACGTTCTCTCTTTCTTCTTGTTTTATATACATTTGTTTCGGTTATTATTGTACTTTCAAATGTTCTTTCCTTACTATATCTCTCAATTTTCCTTACTTCTTCCTTATTCGTCACCGACATAATTTTGTCTCTACCATACCAAAAGTTTTTGTCAGGCGAACTAAATTCAACTCCGAATTTTATTAGTAAATTGCGGTGTTGGTGACCATTTTACCTATTGATAAAATACTGCGCTGTGTAATGTTAACTGTCTATCATAGTGTAACCAGAACCCGTGTAAACCTGGACGCACAAAATCTCTTGTATTTTTGACAATTGCGCAGGCCAGTAACAGTGTCGACTTAGCAGGTCGTGATCCAAATCTCGTAAGTACAGGTTTGATCCAAATCAACTAACTTTATGACAATTTCAGATGATGCGGGAGCAAAAGGAAAACGGAGTCACTAAGACCGATCTCGATGGCATCTACTCAAATATTGATAAGATATCAGACGACCTAACTGCAATTAATATTAAATTAACTCAGATGGTAGTGCATAAAAATAGGTTTTAGTTACTTTAATACTTAAATTCCTCGATTGTAGGATTGTATTAATCGAGAATTAGATGACTTTAAGAAAAGCGTTCAATGTAACATGGGGCGAATTAACAGCAAACTGGGAGCTTTGGTAGCAAATACTTAGAATAGGTGTTAGTAGTTAAGATTAAAAAAAATCACTCAATTTTAGAACTCTGTCCAAGCAGAACTTGCTAAATTAAAATGTAACCTTAATCATGTTGCCCAGAGAAGCATGGATCTACAAAGGCAAATCGACGAATCATATTTAGTAGAAGAATCTTGTCCTCCTCTTCCCGAAAGCTGTCCTGTTCCTATTGAAGACTCCAGAATGAGTAAAGATAACAGAACGGGTTCCTTTGAACCTGTGGGGTATCCTGACGACCCTGAAGATGACGACTGCGGACTTCAAGATCTACGTACTGAATGTAAACGTGCGTCTAGTGAAATCAGAACGGTTCCGAGTTCTAGTGAGACTTCTTACCAACGACACAAGAGTCGCGAGCGTTCCTACGAGTCGTCAAGGAACCTGGGTTCTTCGAGTTTTTCTCGAGAACGTGGGGATGCACCTCCTTCTAGATCACGAAGAGGTTTTTCTGAGGCACATAGAAATAATTGTGATAGTAGATGTGAACCAAAAGTTTCCGATTCTCAACATACTTATGTGGTAGAGTACGACTCAAGTAATTTCCCCGAATGCCACCGGTAAACTAGAGTTAGTTGACCACCATAGAGTTCGTTGTTTAATTTGGTGCCAAGTGCACATCTGCTACCTGCCCCATTAAATATAAGTAGTCATTTTGTATAGTGATTCTGTGTATGTATATGTATATCGCATAGCCTGGTCCTTTGTCTTATGTATGTATATGTTAAGAATATAATAAAACGGATGTAAACCTATTGGTGTTTTATTTTCGACTTCAGTTTTCCAAATTTTTTTAATAACCTCACCTCAGTGTACCTCATCGTTCTTTGTTTTCGGTAGTGACACCAAAGAAGATTTTAAGGTAAGAATTACTGTTTCAGATGAGCACTAAAGTTACCAAATTTTGGTTTCTAGACTCTGGAAGATTTTGTCTAAGACTTCAGGTTTCTTCTTTCCTTTATCACACACTCGATACTATTTTGTCAACCCTCTATATCTTCTGACAATAGCGCCTAAACAACGTATTTTTAAGAAAGCGCAGGCCGGTAGACAGTTCTTGTACATCCAGCAATCGCGACTACAGTGCTTTAAGTAGAAGTTAGTTTCAACTTTGTCACAATTTCAGCCAAAGCAAGGGATGTGTAGAAACCGTTACGACGAAATCCCCTGCATCAACACAACCATCAACAGAATATTATGCTGCCCACGTCAGCCTAATATGTCCTTACAAAGCACGGTACTACACAAAAATAGATTCTAATGTATCAATTTTACAAAAGTCACTCTTCTAGGAAAATACAGATGGAGGAGTCACAGAATTAAATGACCAATTGCAAGAAAATATCAACGAAATCAACTGCAGACTGGAATACTTGGTAGAAAAGAGTCGTAGTTACAACTAAGGTTTAATCAAATTATTCTACTTCTAGGGAAATATGTCGTCAGAAGTTAAACAACAAAAATCCGGAAATCTTACAACTGAAAACTTGTCCGGATCTACTTCAGACCTTTCTAGTATAAAATCTGAAGACTTTGCAGAAACCCTTCGTGATTATGACGATGTTGACACAAAACCGCGAAATGTATCTTCGAGTCAGAATTTAGGTTCACAAAAAATCCAGAAACCAAGTTCTACTAGTCAACGATCTGGTTCACCTGGGGAGTCTGTGAGTAACATTGGTGCAAGTCGGTCTCATTCGACTTCTGCTACTCCCAGTGAGGACGCCCTTGGAAAAAGCAGTCAATCTTTTGGTTCAAAGATTTCTTCAGATTTATACCCGAAAGCTCCTCCACCGAGTAAAATTGATTTTAGTCAAAGTAGAAATGCTTCTTCTCGTGGAGTGGTCGCGAGTCGTAGTTCTTCAGCGACTAAAGGAATAAATACTTCTGGTTTATCTACGGGTGCACCAAAAGACACCTGTAATCGTAATGACTGTGAAAATCCAGGTACGGAATCTCCTGACCCTAGTGACAATAAGATTTGTTCACCACGTACGTGTGTTGAATTTGCAACAAGCGATTCTATTTATGATGGAGGAGATTGTTTTAACCAAGAGAACGAACCTCCAACTGAAGAACACACATCTGTTCATGCTACTCCTAGTCAACAAAAAAGTAAAGTTCTAAGTTCCACTAGTCAACATGGATATTCTTCTACAGACGTTTTAGATTCTGTTCAAAAAAATGTGTCTTTTCACAAACGAAAAAGTACCCATAACCCATCTAGCGAAACTATTATGAGCGAGGCTCTTAGTGGCGAAAGCTCACGTAGTTCTCCAGGACAAGTTGTTAGTGAAGGAAGTGGACATTTTACTCCAACAATAGACTTTTGGGAGGAAAACGGAAAACCTCGCAGTGTTACTAACACTCCAAGTGGATCCAAAGATTGGACATCAGGGATAAAATTGTCTAATTCACATACGAATTCTGTTAGTGAACAAAAAGTAGCTCCTGATTTACGAACGAACTCTCAAAGCCGGAGTAAAGAAACTACTGGAAGGAGATCTGCAAACCTTAAAGAAACTTCTAGTCGAAGAGGTGGATCTCAACGGAAAAATAGTCCACTTCATACCAAGGAGTGTCTATGTTGTCAATGTGTAAAAAGTAGGAATCTAAGTCAAGGCAAAAGTATATCGCACCAGGATACTCTTAGTCAAGGTGAAGGACGAATTGCATCTGATGGTCAAGGAAAAATGATTCTCAGTCCAAACACTCGTAGTACTGGTAGTAAAAGTCAAAACGTTAGTCAACAAAAAGTCTCTGCTAGTCTTCCTAGTAAAACTCATAGTCAACAAAAGTGTCAATGCCCTCATTGTGAGGGAAAGAGAAAACTCATTCAAGGAAAAATGATTCCCATTCCAAACACTTGTAGCACTACCAGTAAAGGCACTCTTAGTCAATATAAAGACCCTTCGAAGTCTCCTATTTCTTCTGCAAGTGTTAAACAATCTCCTAGCCGTAATTTAGAAAAAACTAGTCGTAGTAAGCAAGAAATTTCTAGTCAAAACGTTAACAATTTGTCTTCACGCATGCCTGGTCGTAGCAAAAGTGAGCTAGCCAGTCATCACAGTGCCCCTTCACAGGCAGACTCTATCAAGCAAAGTCAAGCTTCTGTTAGTCGTCGTGGAGAAACTCTTAGTCAAGTGGATGCATCTCGTAGTCAACAAAAATATACTAGTGTCAGTCAAGACGATTATAAATCCCGTAGTGGGGTTAAACAAGCCACATATTCACTCAAGGATTCTGAAGACAGTCTTAGTCAAGTACCAATTCCATCTAATAGTCAAGGAAACTTCATTCACAGTCCAAGCAGTCGTATTGACAGTAAAACTGCTTTAGGTCGAAATAATCATTATGCAGAATATCCCAGCCAACAGAACGTATCACCTAGTCAATATAAAGATGTTGCTCAGTCTTCAGCAAATCTTAAAGAAACTCCTAGCCGGAAAAGCGGATCTCGTACTGTAGAAAAAGCTAGTCGTAGTGCAACCCCTCGTTCCGTTACAGAAACTTATTTTTCACGTATGGATTCTTCTGTTGGAGGTGGGCAATCTAAGAGTTATCAAGAACATGCTGAAATAGATGGTAGCGAAGAATTTATTCCTAGTTCACGCAGTGGAATTCCGAGTAGACAAGAAATTTCTACTCAACGCGTGGTTAGCATGTCTACTCGTAGCCAAAGTGGAGTTGCTAGTCACCGTAGTGCTCCTTCACAGGCAAATTCCTTCAAACAAAGTCAAGCTTCTGTTAATCGTCGCGGCCAAGTGAATGCATCTCGTAGTCAACGTGAATATATTGCGGATCAAGAAGACATTGTTGACGAAGATGGCAGAGAAGAAGAATTTATTCCTAGTTCACGGACGGGAATTCCTAGTAGACAAGAAATCTCTAGTCAAAATGTGGCTAATTTGTCTTCACGCATGTCTACTCGTTCCAAAAGTGGGCAGGCCAGTCAACAGATTGGTCGTTCACAGGCAGATTCTATCAAGCGAAGTCAAGCTTCTGTTAATCGTCGTGGGGAAACTCGTAGCCAAGTGAATGCATCTCGTAGTCAACGTGAATATATTGTCGATCCTCCTATATCTTCTGCAAATCTTAAAGAAACCCCGAGTCGGAGAAGCGAATCTCAAAGTCAACAAAAATCTAAACGTAGCCATTCCACGGATTGTCGTTGCTGTGAATGTATAAACAAGAAAAAACTCCGTCAAGATAGTTATAAATCGCGCAGTGAAGTGGAAGGTGTCGTTCAATCACATACAGATTCTGTTATTCAACCTGAATACTCTGTTAGTTTTGACGAAGTGGATGACGAAGGAAGAACTGAATCATATAATCAAGGAAATGTTGTTAGTAGTCCAAGTAATCGTAGTGCTGGTACTAAGGGTACTCGTAGTCGAAGTGGTTATCAAAATGTTAGCCAACAGAAAGTATCCCGTAGTCAATATGAAGATATGGCTCAGTCTCCTACATCTGCTGCAAATCTTAAAGACTCTCCTAGCCGGAGAACCGAATCTCTTAGTCAACAAAAATCTAATCGTAGTCAACTGCAAGGTGTCGCTCAATCACGTACAGATTCTATGATTCAACCCGAAGACACTTTTAGTTATGACGAAGTGGATGACGAAGGAAAAACTGAATCATATAGTCAAGGAAATGTTGTTAGTAGTCCAAGCAATCGTAGTGCTGGTAGTAAGGGTACTCGCAGTCGAAGTGGTCATCAAAATGTTAAAGAATCTCCTAGCCGAAGAAGCGAAGCTCGTAGTCTACAAAAAGATAGTCGTACTTCACATCACGGTTCTACTAAGGAAATGACTCTTCCACGTATGGATTCTTCCGGTCGAGATGGGCAATCTAAGACTTATCAAGAAGACATTGTTGACGAAGATGAAAATGAAGACGAAGATGGCAGAGAAGAAGAATTTGCTCCTAGTTCACGCACGGGAATTCCTAGTAGACAAGAAATCTCTAGTCAAAATGTGGCTAATTTGTCTTCACGCATGTCTACTCGTACCAAAAGTGGGCTGTCCAGTCAACAGATTGGTCGTTCACAGACAGATGCTGTAACCCGAAGTCAAGCTTCTGTTAATCGTCGTGGAGAAACTCGTAGCCAAGTGAATGCGTCTCTTAGTCAACAAAAACCTAATCGTAGTCATTCCACGGACTGTCGTTGCTGTGAATGTGTAAACAAGAAAAAACTCCGTCAAGATAGTGAACTGGAAGGTGTCGCTCAATCACATACAGATTCTGTTATTCAACCTGAAGACTCTGTTAGTTATGACGAAGTGGATGACGAAGGAAGAACTGAATCATATAATCAAGGAAATGTTGTTAGTAGTCCAAGTAATCGTAGCGCTGGTAGTAAGGGTACTCGCAGTCGAAGTGGTCATCAAAATGTTAAAGAATCTCCTAGCCGGAGAAGCGAAGCTCGTAGTCTACAAAAAGATAGTCGTATTTCACATCACGGTTCTACTAAGGAAATTTCTCTTCTACGTATGGACTCTTCCGGTCGAGATGGGCAATCTAAGACTTATCAAGAAGACATTGTTGACGAAGATGAAAATGAAGACGAAGATGGCAGAGAAGAAGAATTTACTCCTATTTCACGCACGGGAATTCCTAGTAGACAAGAAATCTCTAGTCAAAATGTGGCTAATTTGTCTTCACGCATGTCTACTCGTACCAAAAGTGGGCTGTCCAGTCAACAGATTGGTCGTTCACAGACAGATGCTGTAACCCGAAGTCAAGCTTCTGTTAATCGTCGTGGAGAAACTCGTAGCCAAGTGAATGCGTCTCTTAGTCAACAAAAATCTAATCGTAGCCATTCCACGGACTGCCGTTGCTGTGAATGTGTAAACAAGAAAAAACTCCGTCAAGATAGTGAACTGGAAGGTGTTGCTCAATCACATACAGATTCTGTTATTCAACCTGAAGACTCTGTTAGTTATGACGAAGTGGATGACGAAGGAAGAACTGAATCATATAGTCAAGGAAATGTTGTTAGTAGTCCAAGCAATCGTACTGCTGGTAGTAAGGGTACTCGCAGTCGGAGTGGTCATCAAAATGTTAGCCAACAGAAAGTATCCCGTAGTCAATATGAAGATATGACTCAGCCCCCTATATCTTCTGCAAATCTTAAAGAAAGTCCTAGTCGAAGAAGCGAATCTCTTAGTCAACAAAAATCTAATCGTAGTCAAGTGGAAGGTGTTGCTCAATCACGTACAGATTCTAATATTCAACCTGAATACACTGTTAATTATGACGAAGTGGATGACGAAGGAAGAACTGAATCATATAGTCAAGGAAATGTTGTTAGTAGTCCAAGCAATCGTAGCGCTGGTAGTAAGGGTTCTCGCAGTCGAAGTGGTCATCAAAATGTTAAAGAATCTCCTAGCCGGAGAAGCGAAGCTCGTAGTCTACAAAAAGATAGTCGTACTTCACATCACGGTTCTACTAAGGAAATGACTCTTCCACGTATGGATTCTTCTGGTCGAGATGGGCAAGAAGACAATGTTGACGAAGATGAAGATGGCGGAGAAGAAGAATTTGCTCCTAATTCACGCACGGGAATTCCTAGTAGACAAGAAATCTCGAGTCAAAATGTGAAAAATTTGTCTACACGCATATCTTCGCGTAGTAAAAGTGGGGTAGCTGTTCCGTCACAGACAAATTCAATCAAACGAAGTCAAGCTTCTGTTAATCGTCGAGGAGAAACTCGTAGCCAAGTGAATGCATCTCGTAGTCAACGTGAAGATATTGGCGATTCTCCCATATCTTCCGCAAATCTTAAAAATACTCCAAGTGGAAAAAACGGATCTCTTAGTCAACAAAAATCTAATCGTACACATTCCATAGATTGTCGTTGCTGTGGATGTGTAAATAAAAAAAAACTCGGTCAAGAAAATTATAAATCCCACAGTGAATTGGGGAATATCGCTGAATCACGTACAGATTCTACTGTTGAACCTGAAGACACTCTTAGTTATGACGAAATAAATGATGAAGAAAGAACTGAATCATATAGTCAAGGAAATGTTGTTAGTAGTCCAAGTAATCGTAGTGCTGGTAGTAAGGGTCCTCGTAGTCGAAGTGGTCATCAAAATGTTAGCCAACAGAAAGTATCCCGTAGTCAATATGAAGATATAACTCAGTCTTCCGCAAATCTTAAAGAATCTCCTAGCCGTAGAAGCGAATCTTCACGTCATGAAGCTTCTCTTCCAGGTATTGATTCTTCTGGTCGAGATGAGCAGAGTTATCAAGACAATGTTGAAGAAGAAGTTGAAAACGAAGGTAGCGGGGTAGAAGAATTTACTTCTAGTTCACGCACGGGAATTCCTAGTAGACAAAAAATCTCTAGTCAAAATACTGCTCCTTCACAGACAGATTCAATCAAGCCAAGTCAAACTTCTGTTAATCGTCGTGGAGAAACTCGTAGCCAAGTGAATGCATCCCATAGTCAACGTGAATATATTGTCGATTCACGTATACCTTCTGCAAATCTTAAAGAAACTCCGAGTCGAAGAAGCGAATCTCTTAGTCAACAAAAATCTAATCGTAGTCATTCCATGGATTGTCGTTGCTGTGAATGTATAAACAAAAAAAAACTCGGTCAAGACAATTATAAATCCCACAGTGAATTCGAAAGTGTCGCTGAATCACGTACAGATCCTATTATTGAACCTGAAAATAATCTTAGTTATGACCAAGTAGAGGATGAAGGAAGAACTGAATCATATAGTGAAGAAACAATTTCTAGCAGCCAAGGCACTGGTAGCGCTAGCAGTGATGGTCGAAGTGATCATCTTAGCCAACAGAAAATCTCTTCTAGTCAATATGAAGATATTACCCAGTCTGCAAATCTTAAAGAATCTCCTAGCCGGAGAAGCGAATCTCGTAGTACAGGAAAAGCTAGTCGTAGTTCACGTCAGGGTTCTATTAAGGAACCATCTCTTCCACGTATGGATTCTTCTGTGCGAGATGAGCAATCTAAGACTTATCAAGAAGACATTGTTGACGAAGATGAAAATGAAGACGAAGATGGCAGACAAGAAGAGTTTGCCCCTAGTTCGCGCACGGGAATTCCTAGTATACAAGAAATTTCTAGTCAAAATCTGGAAAATTTGTCTTCGCGCATGTTTACACTCAAAGATGAGTTTAGCAGTCACCACGCTAATCCTTCACAAACAAATTCAATCAGGCAAAGTCAAACTTCTGTTAATCGTCGTGGACAAACATCTCGTAGTCAACGTGAATATATTGTCGATCCTCTTATATCTTCTGCAAATCTTAAAGAACCTCCTAGTCGAAGAAGCGAATCTCTTAGTCCACAAAAATATAGCAGTATTCATTCCACAAACTGTCGTTGCTGTGAATGTGTAAACAAGAAAAATCTTAGTCAAGATAATTATAGATCCCGCAGTGAGCTTGAAGATTCTCGCACAGAATCTCCTGTTCAACTTGAAGACACTCTTAGGTATGAAGAAGTAGATGATGGAGGAAAAACTGAATCACATAGTCAAGGAAAAATTGTTAGCAGTCCAAGCACTCGTAGTACTGGTAGTAAGGGTACTCGTAGTCAAAGTGGCCATCAAACTATTAGCCAACAGAAAGTGTTTCGTAGTCAATATGAAGATATGACTCAGTCTCCTACATCTGCGGCAAATCTTAAAGAATCTCCTAGTCGAAGAAGCGAATCTCTTAGTCAACAAAAATCTAATCGTAGTCAACTGGAAGGTGTCGCTCAATCACGTACAGATTCTGTTATTCAACCTGAAGACACTTTTAGTTATGACGAAGTGGATGACGAAGGAAGAACTGAATCATACAGTCAAGGAAATGTTGTTAGTAGTCCAAGTAATCGTAGTGCTGGCAGTAAGGGTACTCGTAGTCAAAGTGGCCATCAAACTATTAGCCAACAGAAAGTATCCCGTAGTCAATATGAAGATATGACTCAGTCTCCTACATCTGCTGCAAATCTTAAAGAAAGTCCTAGCCGGAGAAGTGAATCTCTTAGTCAACAAAAATCTAATCGTAGTCAACTGGAAGGTGTCGCTCAATCACGTACAGATTCTGTTATTCAACCTGAAGACACTTTTAGTTATGACGAAGTGGATGACGAAGGAAGAACTCAATCATATAGTCAAGGAAATGTTGTTAGTAGTCCAAGTAATCGTAGTGCTGGTAGTAAGGGTACTCGTAGTCAAAGTGGTCATCAAACTATTAACCAACAGAAAGTATCTCGTAGTCAGTATGAAGAAATGGCTCAGTCCCTTACAACTGCTGCAAATCTTAAAGAATGTCCTAGCCGTAGAAGTGAATCTCTTAGTCAACAAAAATCTAATCGTAGTCAACTAGAAGGGGTCGGTCAATCACGTACAGATTCTACTATTCAACCCGAAGACACTTTTAGTTATGACGAAGTGGATGACGAAGGAAGAACTGAATCACACAGTCAAGGAAATGTTGTTAGTAGTCCAAGTAATCGTAGTGCTGGTAGTAAGGGTACTCGTAGTCAAAGTGGCCATCAAACTATTAGTCAACAGAAAGTATCCCGTAGTCAATATGAAGATATGACGCAGCCCCCTATATCTTCTGCAAATCTTAAAGAAAGTCCTAGTCGAAGAAACGAATCTCTTAGTCAACAAAAATATAGCACTATTCATGCCGCAGACTGTCATTGCTGTGAATGTATAAATAAGAAAAATCTCAGTCAAGACAATTATAAATCCCGTAGTCAATATGAAGATATGACTCAGTCTCCTACATCTGCGGCAAATCTTAAAGAATCTCCTAGTCGAAAAAGCGAATCTCGTAGTACAGGAAAAGCTAGTCGTAGTCAATTGGAAGGAGTCGCTCAATCACGTACAGATTCTATTATTCAACCCGAAGACTCTGTAAGTTATGACGAAGTAGATGACGAAGGAAGAACTCAATCATATAGTCAAGGAAATGTTGTTAGTAGTCCAAGCAATCGTAGTGCTGGTAGTAAAAGTACTCGTAGTCAAAGTGGCCATCAAACTATTAGCCAACAGAAAGTATCTCGTAGTCAATATGAAGATATGACTCAGTCTCCTACATCTGCTGCAAATCTTAAAGAATCTCCTAGTCGAAGAAGTGAATCTCGTAGTACAGGAAAAGCTAGTCGTAGTCAATTGGAAGGAGTCGCTCAATCACGTACAGATTCTATTATTCAACCCGAAGATTCTGTTAGTTATGACGAAGTAGATGACGAAGGAAGAACTAAATCATATAGTCAAGGAAAGATTGTTAGTAGTCCAAGCAATCGTAGTGCTGGTAGTAAGGGTACTCGTAGTCAAAGTGGCCATCAAACCATTAGCCAACAGAAAGTATCTCGTAGTCAATATGAAGATATGACTCAGTCTCCTACATCTGCGGCTAATCTTAAAGAATCTCCTAGTCGAAGAAGCGAATCTCGTAGTACAGGAAAATCTAGTCGTAGTCAATTGGAAGGAGTCGCTCAATCACGTACAGATTCTATTATTCAACCCGAAGATTCTGTCACTTATGACGAAGTAGATGACGAAGGAAGAACTCAATCATATAGTCAAGGAAATGTTGTTAGTAGTCCAAGCAATCGTAGTGCTGGTAGTAAGGGTACTCGTAGTCAAAGTGGCCATCAAACCATTAGCCAACAGAAAGTATCTCGTAGTCAATATGAAGATATGACTCAGTCTCCTACATCTGCGGCAAATCTTGAAGAATCTCCTAGTCGAAGAAGCGAATCTCGTAGTACAGGAAAAGCTAGTCGTAGTCAATTGGAAGGAGTCGCTCAATCACGTACAGATTCTATTATTCAACCCGAAGACTCTGCTAGTTATGATGATGTAGTTGACGAAGGAAGAACTGAATCATATAGTCAAGGAAATGTTTTTAGTAGTCCAAGTAATCGTAGTGCTGGTAGTAAGGGTACTCGTAGTCAAAGTGGCCATCAAACTATTAGCCACCAGAAAGTATCTCGTAGTCAATATGAAGATATGACTCAATCTCCTACATCTGCGGCAAATCTTAAAGAAAGTCCTAGCCGGAGAAGCGAATCTCTTAGTCAACAAAAATCTAATCGAAGTCAACTGGAAAGTGTCGCTCAATCACGTACAGATTCTATTATTCAACCTGAAGACACTTTTAGTTATGACGAAGGAAGAACTGAATCATACAGTCAAGGAAATGTTGTTAGTAGTCCAAGTAATCGTAGTGCTGGTAGTAAGGATACTCGTAGTCAAAGTGGCCATCAAACTATTAGCCAACAGAAAGTATCTCGTAGTCAATATGAAGATATGACTAAATCTCCTACATCTGCTGCAAATCTTAAAGATTCTCCTAGTCGAAGAACCGAATCTCTTAATCAACAAAAATATAGCACTATTCATACCGCAGACTGTCGTTGCTGTAAATGTATAAATAAGAAAAATCTCAGTCAAGACAGTTATAAATCCCGTAGTCAATATGAAGATATGACTCAGTCTCCTACATCTTCTGCAAATCTTAAAGAATCTCCTAGCCGGAGAAGCGAATCTCGTAGTCTAGGAAAACCTACTCATACTTCACGTCAGGGTTCTGTTAAGGAAGCTTCTCTTCGACGTATTGATTCTTCTAGTCGAGATGGGCAGTCTAAGACTTATCTAGAAGACATTGTAGACGAAGATGTTGCTCCTAGTTCACGCACGGGGATTCCTAGTAGACAAGAAATATCTAGTCAAAATGTGGAAAATTCGTCTACACGCATACCTTCGCATAGCAAAAGTGGGGTACCCAGTCAACATACTGCCCCGTCACAGACAAATTCAATCAAGCGAAGTCAAGCTTCTGTTAAACGAGATGGGCAATCTAAGAGTTATCAAGACGGCAATATTGTCGAAGACGAAGAAAGAGATAGTAGAGAAGAAGAATTTCCTCCTAGTTCACGCTCAGGGATCCCTAGTAGACAAGAAATGTCTAGTCAAAATGTGGAAAATTCGTCTACACGCCTACCTTCGCGCAGCCAAAGTGGGGTAGCCACTCAACATACCGCCCCGTCACAGAAAAATTCAATCAAACGAAGTCAAGCTTCTGTTAATCGAGATGGGCAATCTAAGAGTTATCAAGAAGACAATATTGTCAAAGACGAAGAAAGAGACAGTAGAGAAGAAGAATTTACTCGTAGTTCACGCTCGGGGATTCCTAGTAGACAAGAAATCTCTAGTCAAAATGTGGAAAATTCGTCTACACGCATACCTTCGCGCAGCAAAAGTGGGGTATCCAGTCAACATACTGCCCCGTCACAGACAAATTCAATCAAGCAAAGTCAAGCTTCTGTTAATCGAGATGGGCAATCTAAGAGTTATCAAGAAGGCAATATCGTCGAAGACAAAGAAAGAGATAGCAGAGAAGAAGAATTTTCTCCTAGTTCACGCTCGGGGATTCCTAGTAGACAAGAAATGTCTAGTCAAAATGTGGAAATTTCGTCTACACGCATACCTTCGCGTAGCAAAAGTGGGGTATCCAGTCAACATACTGTCCCGTCACAGACAAATTCAATCAAGCGAAGTCAAGCTTCTGTTAATCGAGATGGGCAATCTAAGAGTTATCAAGAAGGCAATATTGTCGAAGACGAAGAAAAAGATAGCAGAGAAGAAGAATTTCCTCGTAGTTCACGCTCGGGGATTCCTAGTAGACAAGAAATGTCTACTCGTAGCCAAGTTGGGGTTACCAGTCACCACACTGCTCCTTCAGAGGCAGATTCCACGAGGCAAAGTCAAGCATCTGTTAATCGCCGTGGAGAAACTCTTAGCCAAGTGATTGCATCTCGTAGTCAACGTGAATATACTCCTTCTGCAAATCTTAACGAAACTCTTAGTCAACAAAAATATACTAGTACTCATTCCACGGACTGCCAGTGCTGTGAATGTACAAAAAAGAAAAATATCAGACCTGAAGATACTCGTAGTTATAGCGTAGAAAATGCAAGAACTGAATCTCATAGTCACGGAAAAGTTATTGGTAGCAGAGGTACTCTTGGTCGAAGTGATCAACACGAAGCATCTCTACATGAAGATGTTGTTCAGCCTCCTGTATCTTCTGCAAATCTTAAACAAACCGCAAGCCAAAGAAGCGAAACTCGTAGTGTAGTATCCAGTCAAAATTCTCGCCCTGGTGCTGCCAGGAGCGCTTCACATTCACGTGTGAATTCTTCTGGTCGAGATGGGTTGCCTATGAATTATTTTGAAGAGGACGCCGACGAAAATGAACAAAGAAAGCACAGAGAAAAAGAAATCACTTCTGGTATTCCTAGTACTTCCGAGGACATTGGTAGTCAACAAGGTGAGCGTTCCAGTCATCACACTGCTCCAGCAGCAAGAAATTCCACCATGCAAAGCGTTAATCACCAGGAAAAACCTGATGGCACACCGTCCACATCTATGAGTCAACGGTCAGACATTATCAATCTTCCTACCACTTCTGTTAGCCAGTATGAAACCCATCCTAAACAACAGCCATCTGCTACTGATCAACGAAAAGTTAAAATTAGCACAGACAACGTTTATGTTAAGTCGGATAACATTCCGAGTCACGGTGGACGGGAATCAGGCACAGTGCTTGCCGAAGAAAGTCTTAACAAAAGAACTGGATCTCCTAGTCAAGGAGAATTTACTCTCCACCCACGCCCCCTCGTTAATGAGAGTGAAGATACTTTTACTCACTTGAGAGACAATGCAGGTATACTTGAAGAATATCCAAAAAAAAACGCCAATCAAACAACTGAACCTCAGGAAAAAATTGCTGGTAGTAACGTATCTCTTGATCGAAGCAGGGACACTGTTCATTTCCCTACGAATTCTCTTAGAGATTACTATCCTGAAGAATTTGTCAGTCAACCAAATGCATCTATTAGTCAACATAATGATACTGTCCCCTCTCCTAAAGCTTCCGTAAGTCGTGAAGAAACTGCTAACCGAAAAAGTGAATCTCGTAGTCAACATAAAAGTATTCCTGTTTATTCGCGGGGTTGCCATTGCTGCCGGTGTATTAAGAAGAAAAGTCCCAGTCAAGACAAAAATCCTGAGCATTCATCCACGGGTAGCCTAACTCAGTTCATTGTATCCATTCTTAATCAACACGAAGATGATCCAGGTACACACCCTTCTACTCAACGTGAAGACCCTCAAGGAATGATTATCAGTCCAAGCAGTCGTAGTAGTGGCAATAATGGTACTCTTGATCGAAGTGATCATCGTAAACAAACTATTAGTCATCAGAAAGTGTCTCTTAGTCAATTTGCTCAGACTCCTACAAATTCTGTATATCTCAAAGACAGTCCCAGCAGAAAAAGTAACAAAAGTCTTAAGTTTTCACCCGTGGATAGCACAACTCCATTCAATACGTCTATTATTAATCAACACAGACAACCTGTTCATTCTTCTGAAGATTATGTTGATCATCACTCAACTCGTAACCCGGGCACTGCTATGGCTAATAGTAAAGTTACTTTTAATAGAAGTGTGAACCTTACTCGTTCAGGGATGGACAGTACTGATCAAAGTGGGTACTTCGTGAGCCAAGATGGAGAAATTGTTATCCAACAACACATGGAAGTTCCTAGCCAAAGTGAACACTCTATGAGTCATCATGGAGAATCTGTTAGCCAACATACTGCAAAGAAGAAAAATCTGGATGAAGACACAAATCTTAACCACGCAGATAATGTTAGCCGACAAAGCGAATCTCATTCACGTACAAATTCTGTTCAAGAAAATAAAGAACATAGAATTGAATTTCAGAATCAAGGATTGATTAGCAGTCCACGCAGTAAGAGTACTCTTGGTCGAAGTGATCATCGTGTAAAAACTATGAGTCAACAGAAAATGCCTCCTAGTCGATCTAGGAACCATCACGAAGACGATGTTAGAGAAGATGAAGACGGAGATAGTGCAAGAGAAGAATTTACTTCTAGTTCACGAACGGAAAGAATTCCTAGTCGTAACGAAACTGCTAGCCAAAGAAGCGAATCTCGTAATCTAGGAAAATCTAGTCGTACTTCACCTCCGGAGGTTCATCATGAAGACAGAGGTGATAGAGAAGAATTGACTCCTAGTTCACGCACAGGTATGGCTAATAATGAAGACGTTAGTAGTCAACCTAATTTGGATAGTCGTAGCCAAGGTGGGCCCGCCAGTCATCACACTGCTCCGTCAAAAACAGACGCTACCAAACAAAGTCATGCTTCTGTTATCCGTCGTGGAGAAAGTGGTAGCCAACCCCAGGAATCTAGTAGCCAGCATGAAGATATTACTCTTTCACGTCCAAATTCTGTTATTCAACGTGAAGATTCTGTTAGTCCTGATAAACGAAGCCTTGACCCAAAAAGTGGATCCCACACTGGTAAAAGAATTGGCCGCAGCGCAAACATCGATTCTCCTAAACGTACAGATGCTGCTGATCGAAACAGTAAGGTTACTCGTTCATTTATCGGCGATCTTAATCAAAGTGGAGAGTCTATGACCCAGTACGAAGAAACTGTTATCCGACGACATGAACCTCTTAACCAATCGCGTACAAATTCTGTTACTCAAAGTGTTAGCCAACATGCACCTGAAGATGTTAACCAACATAATAAATCTCTTAATCGACTACAAACTTCTACTCCTCGATTTAGGGAGTGCTTTTGTCCACGTAACGACTATTTTCGTCAAGTTTCCGATGTTCCACGTGTGGATTCTCTTAAACAAGGTGGCCACTCTGTGAGTCATCACAGCGCATCTCTTAGAGAAAATGATCACTCCATGAGTCATCATGCAGAATCTGCACCACCTAGTCAACATGAAGATGTTGTCCAGTCTCCTAAATCTTCCGCAATTTCCGCAAATCTTAAAGAAACTCCTAGTCGAAGAAGCGAATCTCTCGATCAACGAACAAGTAATTCTTCTGAGTACACGAATTGTGGTTGCTGTGACTGTACAACTGAGAACAATCTAAGTCAAGAGGAAAATTCTAAGTTCGATAGCATGACTGAACATAGAGATCCTATTCATGCTAACTCTATTTCCCAACGTGAATCATCTCTTAGTCAACGTGGTCAATCTGCAAGTCAGCAAAAATACTCAACTAATGAAATTGCCCAATCACGTCCAGATTCAGTTACTCAACGTGAAAGCTATGTTAGTCATGACAACGCCAGTGCTGGTACTAACGTTACTCTTGATCGTACTCGTTCACGTATAGAGCCCGCTGGTCGAAGTGGAATCTCCATGAATCAAGATACAAAAATTGTTACCCAACAACATGAAGATATTACTCATTCACGTACAGTTTCTGGTACTCAACGTGAAGCCTCTGTTACTCGTGGCGCAAGTGGCAACCCGAGCACCACTAGTGGAGATAGTAAAATTGCTCTTGATCGAAATAGGGACCCTACGAGTTCACGTATGGAGATTCCTAGTCAAAGTGGGCTCTCCATGAGCAGTGATAGAGAAATTGTTATCCAAGAACATGAACCTCTTAGCCCAGCGTGAAGATATTACTCATTCACGTACAGACAAAGTGAATCTCATAATAATGAAAAAATCAATCTCAGGCTTGGTCAAACATGGGGGCTCATTTATTTGTGAAAAAAGTGGTAGCTTGTGAATGGAATTTCTTAATCAACGTGATTATGCACTCAAACATAAAAAAATCTGCTTCACCTACAAGCAGCAGGAAATTTGAAAAAAGTAAATATTTATTAAAAAATAAGACCCAATATGCAGTACTGATTGTGTTTTATTTTAACAAAAAATTCTCATACATAAATTACGCATTTGTATAAAGAAACCAATAAAATGTATGTAAACGTGTTAGTGTTTATATTTCTTCCCTTTCTTCCCCTTCTTCTTTACTTTATTTTTCGTCACTTTTCTCGGGTGTAACCACACCGGATATGCACCGTGTTGGTCTCGCAGTGTTCTGGGATTAAAAACCCTCTTATTTGTGTCCGTGTCCATTTGATCGGCTTGCGTTGTCTTTGCAGCAACCACATTAGCCACTTGAGACAGTTCAGACATATTCACATCCTTGCTCACACTCTCGGATTCCTCAATTCCTAAGGTCTTTTTGAGTCTTTCTAGCTCTTTTTTTCCGTAACGTTCGCGTTTGATTGCGCGACATTTACGCTTCCACTTGCTTCGTATACTCTTGGCCATATTTTCCTGCAATTAAAGTTTGTTAAAAAATTACTTTGGATATTAGGGGGCTCAGCGTTACGTTAAGTTGCAAAACACAACCACCACCTTTTTAGGTTAGGTTGGAAAGAACACATGTTTTGACAGGTCTTGACATTGGACGAATATAGGGATTTGTGTTTTGTTACTGGTCACATTAAAATAGCTAACAAAGTAAAGAAAATAATAACACACACTGATTTTGAGTGAGTTTATCAATAAAAAACATAATCGTTGTTTAGTCGAAATAGATTACAATTAAATTCATATTTAAAAAAATATGTAAGTTCTATCACCGACTTGTGTTGGTAATACTGGAAAAAAAATTCTATCCGATTCCTGATTGGTGTTATTCAAACCACTGCAAACCGACGTTTTTCTGATCATTTTTCAATCAGTTTCAGACAAAATGAGTCGTTTTACGGAAATCATGGACGGTTTTGGTAATTATGAGACAACAAACCTTCCACTAGTAACAGTTTTTGTTTTCAGTGAAAGACGAAAACGGCAAATTTCACATCAGACCCATGAAACTACCCGGTGAGTAGCAAGACCCGTGTGTAAATATGAACCCACTAGGTCAGTTTTATTAGATGATATGGTGGCAAAATTATCAGCGCAGAAAAGCGAAACGAAACGAGAATTTGTTAGACGTAAATACATCCACATTGAACCGCTAGGCCCACTGGAAGATTTTTTGAAAAGCGACACCAAAGACACAGAATCTCCACAGACGAAAAAACGAAAAGTTGAGGAAAGACACATTCGCAAAGAACTTTTCAAACCTCCAGAAAAGAAACCCCTTAAGAGATTGTCTTATTATAGAACTAGACAGTCGCTGGTTTCAAAAAATCTCAGTGCCAATAAGACACAGCCAAATAGTGTCACAAAGGTAATGCTGAACTGTGTGTGATTTATGATTTATGTATTTTTTTTTTGTAGAAGAAAACAAAAACGCAGACTTTATTTGATGGCTCACCCCTGCTTGATGTCGATGAAGCTGAGAAATTATTGTCACAGAATAGATTGCTGAAGCCACCACTAAAGACTGTCTTGTTTCCAATACGGGAGACAGAAGTTATTGGCAAAAATAAAACACCTGTGAAGTTGCCCCAAAAAAACGACAGTACACCAACTAGTACTGAATCCATTAGAGCTGAATTAGAATTTTTGGAGTTAGAACAAGCACTTGCCTCATGTAAAAAAAACAAGAAACCTGGCCCTTCACCTTTAAATTCGATTTGTACCTTATTGGAAAATACGACACTTAGAGCTTCTGCGAGTGAAAATGTGGAGAAAATAAATGTGATTAAAGACGTGTTATCTATAGTACAAGAGGACCAGAGACAGTGGAGTGCGTTCAAACAAACATTTGTGGTGTATCAAGAAGAGCATGACCGGAACATGGAAAAAATTAGTCAATTGTTAGAACAACTCACAGAGAATAAGGAAAATGTGAACCGGAAATCACTTAGCCAAACTGTCAAAACGAAATTTATTGTCTCGCCAGCTGTTCAAAAAGTAGATTTAAGGAAATCCACGTTGAACAAAAATTTATCAAAAAATTTCGGGAATGATAGTCCGAAAAGTGATTGCACCGGTTTATGCACTCCTAAACATGGTAGACCAAACTTGAGCGTTACCCAACATAGCGTGACAAGAAGTTTAACAAGACGAATACACAAACAATGGTTGTCGTTGCAAGATACTCCTAAACCCAATGCTTAGTGTTAAATCGACTTTTTTCCTCTAATTTAATATATATTCTACATTTTTACAAGTTTATATTGTTTTTTTCCGTCTGTATTTAAGAATAGTCAAGCCGAATTTGAATTTCGCGCCACTCAAACGTCACTTTTTGTGTGGATTCATGAAGCTTATGTGGATCATTGTAGCGCCAAAACATCCTTTTTAATAAGTTAAAGCCACACTAAACGACTAAACACTCCGAAATTCCACATTACTACAAAAAAATTTGATAAAACTAACGCACCCCCTGAAAACAAAAACTCACCATGTGGTGGCACCCCTGCGGCTGCCATGTTGTTTGCACAGAAATGAGCGGTGTTTTCGTGAAAATGCTAAACAATGAAAAGTAAACATTAATTAAAGAAAATGCCTGCCAGACTAAAGCATATTGAAGTTGAAAACTTCAAGTCCTACCGAGGGCATCGCGTTATCGGCCCTTTGAAGCCCTTCAACGCAGTCATCGGCCCCAATGGCTCAGGTAACTCGATTCGTGATGCTCTATAAAACCCCACGATTCTTCTTGATTTTGAAGGCAAATCCAATTTCATGGACGCTATCAGTTTTGTTATGGGTGAGAAAACGCAGAGTTTGCGAGTCAAGAGGCTGAGTGACTTGATTCACGGAGCTGCAATCAGCAAACCGATATCGAGGAGGTATTTGAGATGGAGTGTCTTTGTGGCGATTTTTGTGTTAATGGGGCTGTTGTAGCGCGTCTGTGACTGCCGTTTTTATATTGGAGGAGGAGAGTGGGAAGGAAGTTAGTTTTCAGAGGTCTGTTCAAGGGTCTTCGTCAGAGTATAGAATAAATGGGAGTGTGAGTAGTTTTTCTTTTGGTTGGAATTGTGCTTCACAGAACAGCGTTGCTGGAGGTTTTGTAATGCTGTTTAAGCAAGCACTGAGATAATTTTTCTACCTGATAATTGATACTACTTGTAGATACAATTTTTAACAAGATTAAACTAAGTCAGTTGGTTGTTCAATGAAAGTTCTAGTGTGACGTGATTTCAACTATGAACGACAACAATTGATTTCCTTATTTTTCGCTTGATGTTTCTTGAATTCGCTAAATACGTATTTGACATTGTGCTTGGAAGCATAGTGCGCATGCGCTCTAACCCGTCATCTGTATGACACTAACTGCCCATTCACAATGGACATAAGGCATAACAAGTACATAAAACTTACATAAATACATAAAGTTGAAACGATGGAAAACGTGTACCCCTGTTCACAGTGGACGAACGTAATTCTTATGCTTATGAACGTTTTATGTAATCCTTGTGTGCGTACACAAAGTTGAAACAAGTTCAACTTTGTGCACGAATTATGTCAAAATTATGTTAAAATCTAGGGACTTTTGAATGCTGCTATTGAATTCCCTTTGACAGTTGGCACTTGGCACTTCACACCTTTGATTATATTATATAAATTATAATCAAAGCTTCACACTGCGAGTCTGTTCTGTACTGCGAGTTGTCAAGTTCGAATATCGTATGAAATTGTAGGTTAGATATTTTGATTGACTCAGTTTGAGGTTAGCCGTTTCTAGTTTCTATGTTTAGCCAGGAGTTATTCCGTTCTGCGTTTGCGCAGTTTAACAATTCTTACAGAGTTCACTCTGTCCACTGTGAACGTAGATAAGCATAAGCCAGACACAGACCAAAAACGTAAATTATGTTATGCGCTCGTTCTTATGTCTTATGTCCATTGTGAATGGGCAGTAAAAAAAAAATCCAATCAGGCAGAAATCATACTTGCCAAGATAAGACTGATTTTGAATCAGCACGTCGAGATCTATATTTCTGAATTTTTTCAGAACTTTTAGTTACTTCTGGCCTTATTTCTTCCATAAGGTCAATCGTTGTTCTAGAATCGCGTATTGGACTATCGCAATTTTGAAAAATTTCAAAAAATTCGAATTTCACACCGAATTTTTGAAAATATTGCTCCATCACCCTAAACACGTTACATTTTTTGATAATCAGCACGTCTTGATCTATAACCCTGAATTTTTTGAGATTTTTAGACGACTTTTTCAAAAATAAAATTTTCCACAAAATATCTTTTGGCTTTCTTTTTTACTCAATACATATAGTTTGCTTTGAACAACACGTTACTCAGAGATTTTGTAATTAAGCCCCGCCCCACGACTTACGACGGGTAAAAAAATTATCACGATTGGGAAAAGGCGGGTGGGCGGGGCTTATATTATGCCTCTCTTTCTTAATATACGTAGTCATCTGTTTTAAATTTTTGTTGTGAAAAGATGACTACGTATATTAAGTAAAAAACGGCAAAATATAAGTACCGCCCGCCCGCCCTGTCTCGATTGTGATGATCTTTTTTATTCGTCGTGAGCCAAGAAGGTGGAGCTTAATTGGAAAACCCTTATTTCTCTGCAAGAAATTACCATGTAAGACACGTTTTCGAGCATTGTGTTGTTGAAAAAATACCATGTATATTAAAAATTAAATCCAGATTGAGATCGAGGCGGATGGGTAGGGTTTATCTTTTGGCTTTCTTTTTTACTTAAAACATACTCAAAAACATGATTCACATAGCAATTCCTAGTAGGAAAACAAGGATTTTGCAATGAAGCTCCGCCCCACGATTTACGACGGGTAAAAAAAATCGTCACGATTTAGATAGGGCGGGTGGGCGGGGCTTATATTATGCCTTTCTTTCTTAATATACGTAGTCATCTGTTTTAAATTTTTGTTGTGAAAAGATGATTATGTATATTAAGAAAGTAAAGGCAAAATATAAGCCCCACCCGCCCACCCTGTCTCAATTGTGATGATATTTTTTATTCGCCGTGAGCAAAGAGGGCGGAGCTTAATTGCAAAACCCTTATTTCTGTACAAGAAATTACCATGTAATACACGTTTTCGAGCATTGTGTTTTTGAAAAAATACTACGCATATTAAAAATTAAATCCAGATTGAGATCGAGGCGGATGGTTAGGGTTTATGTTTTGGCTTTTTTTTTTTTTTACTTAAAAACATGCTCAAAAACATTATTCACATAGCAATTCCTAGTAGGAAAACAAGGATTTTGCAATGAAGCTCCGCCCCAAGACTTAGACGGGTAAAAAAAATCGTCACGATTTAGATAGGGCGGGTGGGCGGGGCTTATATTATGCCGCTCTTTCTTAATATACGGAGTCATCAGTTTTAATTTTTGTTGTGACAAGATGACAACGTATATTAAGAAAGTAAAGGCAAAATATAAGCCCCACCCGCCCGCCCTGTCTCGATTGTGATGATTTTTTTTATTCGTCGTGAACCAAGAGGGCGGAGCTTAATTGCAAAACCCTTCTTTCTCTACAAGAAATTACCATGTAAGACGTTTTTGAGCATCGTGTTGTTAAAAAAATACTACGTATATTAAAAATTAAATCCAGATTGAGATCGAAGCGGATGGGTAGGGTTTATATTTTGGCTTTCGTTTTTACTTAAAACATACTCAAAAACATGATTCACTTAGCAATTCCTAGTGGGGAAACAAGGATTTTGCAATTAAGCTCCGCCCCACGACTTACGATGGGTAAAAAAAATCGTCACGATTTAGATAGGGTGGGTGGGCAGGGCTTATATTATGCCTCTCTTTCTTAATATACGTAGTCATCTGTTTTAATTTTTTGTTGTGACAAGATGACTACGTATGTTAAGAAAGTAAAGGCAAAATATAAGCCCCACCCGCCCACCCTCTCTCATTTGTGATGATTTTTTTTATTCGGCGTTAGCCAAGAGGGCGGAGCTTAATTGCAAAACCCTTATTTCTCTACAAGAAATTACCATGTAAGACACCTTTTTGGACCATTGTATTGTTGAAAAAATACTATGTACATTAAAAATTAAAGCCAGATTGAGATCGAGGCGGATGGGTAGGGTTTATCTTTTGGCTTTCTTTTTTACTTAAAACATACTCAAAAACATGATTCACATAGCAATTCCTAGTAAGAAAACAAGGATTTTGCAATGAAGCTCCGCCCCACGACTTACGAGGGGTAAAAAAAATCGTCACGATTTAGATAGGGCGGGTGAACGGGGCTTATATTATGCCGTTCTTTCTTAATATACGTACTCATCTGTCTTAAATTTTGGTTGTGACAAGATGACTACGTATATTAAGAAAAAAACGGCAAAATATAAGCCCCAAAATTGGAAAACCCAAAAATTGAAAAATTAAGTATCGAGAAATTCAAAAATTAAAAATCGAATAAATGAAATTCTAAAATCCAATCATTGAAAAATGGAAAAATTCTGAAATCGCAAAATTGAGAAAGTGATAAATTGTAGATAGTATAATAGGAGTAATTATTACATATTTAAAATACAAATCAAAAATTGAAGAAACGAAAAAATTAAAGAGAAACTGAAAAATTTTAAATTGATAAAACGAAATATTAAGAAATCTATAAAAGTTCAAAAACGGGTAAATTGCAGATCTAAAAACTGAAGAATTTCACACTTCAAAAAAAATATATATAAAATCAGAACATTGAAAAACCGAAAAATTAAAAAATAAAGAATGTAAAAACCGTAACGAAAAATTGAAGAAATGAAAAATTGAGAAATTAAACGTTGAAATTGTAAATCCAAAAATTTCAAAATTTAAAAACTGAAACATCCAAAAATTGAAAAATTATTATTATTATTATTATCATATAAGCTCCACAGGTCGCAACCCAATTACGAAGCTTAAACCATGAAATACCAAAAAAAAAAAACATAAATAAATTATTCATTTAAACAGAGAGTAAAAAAAAAAAAAAATATGTAGTAAACTGCTGAAAAATTTAATGTTTTAACCAGTAGAAAACCAATCTCAATCTCAAGAAGATGATCAGACACCACTACCAATATCAATGCCGTTTCTGTTTAAAAAATAATTTGTTAGATGCTTTCTAAGTACTTGGCCACTGACCACGTGAATATCAATATTTACATCGGCATTGAACTTATCAAAATACATTTGCATCATATATATAGGCGAGAACTTCAAAATATTCGTCCTTGATTTTTTTATATAAAAGATGCTTTTGTCTCGCAAACTACGTGGTCGAGCCCAATAACACACTTGTTCAAGTAAACTTGGAGCATCCAATCTGTTGTTTACTAGGGAATGTAAAAACATTACTAAGTTTATAATTCTTCGGCACTCTAAACTTAATATGGAAAATCTACTCAACAATAATTTTTGAGGAATGTTTCTTATGGGATATATGCCATCAATCCGAAACACCAGATATTTCAAGAACCGTCTCTGAACTTTTTCGATAGATTCAGTTAAATACTTAAATGATGGATTCCACACAACACTAGCATATTCAAGCTTCGATCTTACAAATGCATAATATAAATTAATGAATGTACTTGAGTTACGAAAACACTTAGTATTACGGACCACAAACCCCAAACTTTTGTAAGCCGCTGATACCACCAATTCAACATGTTTGACAAAATTTAGCTGGCTGTCCAAAGTGACTCCTAAATCTTTAATGTATTCAGGTCGATTTATTACATGACCGCAAATAGTGTAACAATGAATCATTGCATTTTTAATTTTTGTGAAAGACATCACTTTGGATTTAGCAGGATTTAAAAATAATCGATTATTTATACACCATAGTACAATTCTATCCAAAACTTCCTGTAATTTGATAGAATCGGCAATATTTCCGATTTTTGAAAAAACCTTTACGTCATCAGCATATACTAAGCAGTTGTCTCCGATAATTTTAGTGATATCATCGACGAACAATGCAAAAAGCAGCGGCCCCAAAACCGAGCCTTGAGGAACACCAGAGCTCTGCCAAACATTGGTCGATCTGTATCCAAAATAGTCAACAAACTGATATCTGTCTTGTAAATAGGAGGTAAACATTTTTATCAATTTTGGAGAAAACCCATATAATTTCTCCAACTTCAAGATTAGCAAGTCATGATCCAGCTTGTCGAACGCTTTATTGAAATCTAAGAAAATCACATCCATTTGTCCCCTGCCATCCAACACACCTCGTATATTTTGCGTTAACGTGACCAAATTAGTGACAAAATGGAAAAATTGGAAAATTTGCATTATTTCGTTTTTTCGATTTCGCATATCTTTTGATTTATCAATTTTTCATGTTTTTGATTTACAATTTTTAGATTTTAAGTTTTCAATTCTTCCATTTTTAATTCGAAAAGTTGAAAAATTGGAAAAAATTGAAAAAACGAGAAATTATAAAATCGAAAAATTTAAATTGGACGAACTGAAGAAACGAAAAATTGAAAGATTGAAAAACTCAAAATCAAGAAACTTGAAATTAAAAAAAAATGAATCCAAAAATTGGAAAAAAGACAAAACGAATCGCATAGAAAAATTGGAAAAACCAAAAATTGTAAAATCGAAAAATTATAGAATTTCAAAGTTGTAAAGTCGAAAAACTGTAACATTGAAAAATTAAGTATCGAGAAATTCAAAAATTAAAAATCGAAAAACTGAAAAATCAAATAGGTGACAAGATGACTACGTATATTAAGAAAAAACGGCAAAATATAAGCCCCACCCGCCCACCCTGTCTCAACTGTGATGATTTTTTTTATTCGTCGTGAATCAAGAAGGTGGAGCTTAATTGCAAAATCCTTCTTTCTCTACAAGAAATTACCATGCCAGATTGAGATCGAGGCGGATGAGTGGGGTTATTCAAAAAATATTATGTATGTCTATTAAGAAAAAATTAAGGCCAAAGTTTTCATTCGTTGGCGGAGCCTAATTGCGAAATCGATAATTCCTTACAAAAATTTATCATTTTAAACGTGTTTGAGTTTTTAAGAATAAAAAAAACATCACAACTGGAATGGAGTGGGTGGGCGGGGTTAATATTTTCTTTTCTTTTATTAGTATTCTTTGAACAACACGATAATCAAAAACATTTTTTAGTTACTTGTAAAGAAACAAGTATTTTGCAGTTAAGCTCCGCCCCCTTGGTCCTCGGCGAATAAAAAAAATCATCACAATTGAGATAGGGCGGGTGGGCGGGCTTACATTTTGTCTTTTTGTTATAATATGTGTAGACTTCTTTTCACACCAAGAAACTTAAAACATATTTAGAATGGAAAATTTGTATAAGGAAATATCGATTTTTCAATATGGCTCCACAAGAAGTCCATATTTTCTTGCAAAAATGTACCATTTTGACCAAGTTTCAAGTTTCTTGTTGTGAAAAGATGGCTATATATATTAAAAAAAAACAAGGCAAAATATAAGCCCCGCCCACCCGCCCTATCTCAATTCTGATAATTTTTTTATTCGTCGTGAGCCGAGGGGCGAAGCTTAAATATAAAATCCTTATTTTTCTACGAGAAATTACCATGCGAAATATGTTAGTAGTCGTGTTAGACAAATAAAACTAAATGTATTACCATGGCCCCACCCATCCGTCATGATCTCTCTCAATCGTGATGAATTTTTCATTTGTTGTTAGACTGAGGGGCGGAGCCTAATCGCGAAATCCATATATCCTTACAAAAATGTACCATTTTAAACGTGTTTAAGTTTCTAAGAAAAAAAATTCATCACAATTGAGATGGGGTGGATGGGCGGGGTTTATATTTTGTTTCTTTTATAGTGTTCTTTGAACAACACGATACTCAAAAACATGATTTTAATTCCTTGTAAAGAAATAAGGATTTTATTACATTTTGTCTTTTTGTTTTAATATGTGTAGACTTCTTTTCACACCAAGAAACTTACAACATGTTTAAAATGGGAAATTTGTATAAGGAAATATCGAGTTTCTTGTTGTGAAAAAATAGCCATGTATGTTAAGAAAAACAAGGCAAAATATAAGCCCCGCCCACCCGCCCTATCTCAATTCGGATGATTTTTTTATTCGTCGTGAGCCGAGGGGCGAAGCTTAAATATAAAATCCTTATTTTTCTACAAGAAATTAGCACGTGAAATATGTTCTTAAGTAATAGTGTTATACAAATAAAACTAAATGTGTTAATTAAAAATGAAAACCAAAAGAATATGTGATTTCAACTATGAACGACAACAATTGATTTCCTTCTTTTTAGCCTGATGTTTCTTAAATTCGCTAAATACGTATTTGACATTGTGCTTCGAAGCATAGTGCGCATGCGCTCTAACCCGTCATCTGTATGACACTTATGCCCGTTTGCACCAACGTTTAAGTCAGATACTTAAAATTTAAGAATTTCTTAAAACCAACAATGTGTTGCACCAACGTTTAAGTCTTTCTTAAACGGTTCTATGAAATCTTTAATTTAAGCGCCCGTTTACCTGAGGCTTAAATTTGTAAGCAATGCTTAACGAGACATAACGATACAACGCATGTGCGGTACCCATGGTAACAGAACAACACTTTATTTCTATTGGATAATAATTTTGGTGATTACACGAAATCGAAAATTTCCAATTTTGCGACGATTCCATCATTTTTATCAGTGCTCAAAAGTGTCTCTGAAGTGTAAAATAAAGTCTTAACAATTTAAAAATGAATATAAAGGAGGTATGTACCACAGTTGCAATGTTTTATTGTAAAGAATAACATGTTTTTTTCGCGTTCGTAAAAAGTGTAACATTTTTTATTAATTTTTGTTTATAAAGGATACGTTTATTTCATGGCACTAGAAGCGTGTCATCGCGTTTCATTTTTTCCCGCATTTAAATGAAAAAGTGTCGTAGCGTATCATTTTTTAACGGAAGACATTCGTGCGGCAAATTTTCCATCTCGTGAAAAAAATATACACTTTACTCACTAGTTGCATAAATAACTATTTTTCATATGAACAATAAAAAGCGCCAGAGGGGAGCGAGAAACTACAGTTATTTGAGGCACAACTGAACAAGAATAGGAGGAGAGAAAAAATATGGAATTATAGGTGCGAAAGCGAATTTTAGAGTTAGACATCGAAATAAAAAAGAACCAGCAAAATAAATTTAAACGTAATAACATGGAAATGTAATAAAATATCAAATTAAAAAGTAATATAGCATAGATTTGTTAATATTATGAATTTCCAAAAAAAAAAGTTATAAAACTTCTTCTAAATTCATTTCCCGTCCCCTGGTTTTGAACAATATTGACCTGGTATTTGATTATCTTCTAAGCCCATTTTTTATTAAACACCTAACCAACGTTAGAGAAAATAAATATCAGCACTATTCGAACTACACACGTACAAACTAACCTAAAATATTTGATGTTTCTATACAAACAAGCGTCAGTGTTGCCAATAGAAATGAAACTTTTACAGAATTCCCCAACTAAGTATTACTTGGTTAAGTAGAGTCTAAGCAGTGACGGTGCAACAACTGTACAATTTAAGAAGTAGTTACTTTTAAGAATTACTTAGCTAAGCAATGCTTACCGCTAACGTTGGTGCAAATGGCCATCAGAGACTTTAATATTGTATTTAAAGTCTCTGATGACACTCCAAAAAAAAATTAAAATCTTGTAGATTTCCTTCAGTTTTATGAATCTTTTAGTAAACAAATTGCTGTGAGTACTATCACAATCTATTAGGCAAAGTTTATTTGATTTCACTGCTAAACTGACAATTTTGTAACAAAACTTTGTTAATAGTGTATTGTTGGTTGCATACACGGTATTATTTCTATAGGTTGTTTCAAACAACGAGTATCTAGCCGAATTAGAAAAATTGCGTATTAATGTCAAAGGAAAGAACTTCCTGGTATTCCAAGGCGCCGTAGAATCCGTAGCAATGAAAAACCCCAAGGAAATGACAACTTTATTTGAGGAAATCAGCGGGTATGTGTAACCACGAAATCGTCGTCCATCAACTCAATCAAAATTTCCAGCTCTGGGGCTTTAAAAGAAGAATACGACCGGCTTAAGCAACAAATGCAGAAAGCCCAAGAGGAAATTAACTTCGCCTACCAAAAGAAAAAAGGTATAAATGCGGAACGCAAAGAAGCCAGATTGGAAAAAGAAGAAGCCGACAAATACGCCAGACTCAAGGACGATTTGGTGCGTATTTAACTCATTTTCGTCCTATCTTAACTATAAAAATCGTAGAACGACAAACTAGTCGAACACCAACTTTTCCGCTTGTATCACAACGAACGCGAAATGAAAAACCTAGAAAACGACTTAAAACACAAACAGCGAGAAGTGGAAAAGATCGAAAAGAAGAAAGAAAGAGCCGAGGAACTCCTCAAGGAGAAGAAAAAGGAACAAGGGAAGTTTAACAGGGAGTTGGCGAAAATCGAGCAAGATATTCGGGAAGTGGTACGTAAAAATGGCGCAGTCGGAGGTGAGTTACAACGAGTGTTGTAGGAGGTCGAAATTTCGAAAAAGCGGCCACAGTTTATCAAAGCCAAGGAACGCGTTTCTCATATGCAGAAAAAGTTGGATGGGGCGATTAAGACGTTGGAACAGGCGAGAAAAGCGCACGAGGCGCACATGAACGATATTAAAAAATTAGAGGATGAGTTGGCTGAAGTGGAAAAGTCTAAAGAGGAGTATGAGAGTCAGATCGCTGGAGAGTCGCAGAGTCAAGGCAGAGATGTTCATTTAGAGGACGAACAAGTGAGTTCACACCGTTTCTGGTTTAATTAATCATGACTCTATTTAAGGTGAAAGAATACCACAGGTTGAAGGAAGAAGCAGCTAAAAGGTCTGCACGATACATGCAAGAACTGGACTCTGTCAACAGAGAGCAGAAGTCTGATCAAGACAGATTAGACAATGTGTCAAGAATGAGGACCGACGCAGAAAATAAACACAGGCAGAAGTGTCACGAGAAAGAAGAGATGGAAAAGAGGATTGAGAAACTAGCGGAACATATTCGGTTATTTTTTAAATTTTGACACCTTGTGGATTTTTTTCAATGTTGGTTATAGGTTAAGTGAGCAGGCTTTGCAAGACCAGAAACAGTTGAGGGCTGACTTGCAGTCGGACGTTGGGTCTTCTAAAGATCGCGTTCACGAAATTCAGAAGCAGCTCGACGATGTTCTGGAGCAGTTGGGGGACGCTAGGACTGATAAACATGAAGATGCTAGGAGAAAGAAGAAACAGGAGATTGTGGAACGGTTCAAAAGCAACTACCCGGGAGTGGTAGGTTTTTACTTAACGTGAGCTTAGAGTACAAAAAAATAGGTCGGTCGTTTTCGTCTGTCCGAATTTTGTTTAGACAGATATTTCCGAAACTTTCGTTTATTCCGTTCCAAAAAATTGACGACGACGTCTTGGATTTTTTCCGAATAATTAATCTCTAATTGAACAAGCAAAATATGACTATAATTGTGGTTTTATCGTAGATTTTAGAATTACTTATACAGGCTGGTCCTAAACGATTAATAAATGAGGCAATTTATTGGATAGGGTAAAATCAAGAACGGCTAACTCGATTTTCACGAATATTTTGGAATACAGTACTGTTATTAGTATGACACTGAATCTATCCAAATTGATATACGTGTCATTACAAAAATGTTGATGACGTCATCACACATTTTTTTTTCAATTTTTCCATTTTTCAATATTTTGGTTTAATAATTTTTCATTTTTTCAGCTTTAATTTTTACAATTTTTCAAACTATCGACTTCCAAAATTTTCAGTTTTCCGTTTCATCAATGTTTCGATATTACAATTTTACATTTTCTCGGTTCTCCAATTTTAGAATTTTTCAATTTTGTGATTTTTAGATTTGGCAATTATCCGATTTTCCGATTTCATTAATTTTCAATATTTCGATTTATCAATTTTTCGTTTTTTCAATTTTTCATGTTTTTGATTTCAATTTTTTAGATTTTTCAGTTTTTAGTAAAAATCGAGACACTTAAAAATAATAAAAAAATTAATCGAAAAATTGGAAAGAAGAAAAAACAAATCGCATCGAAAAATTGGAAAACAAAAAAATTGTAAAATCGAAAAATGATAACATTGCAAATTTGAAAAATTAAGTATAGAGAAATTCAAAAATTAAAAATCGAAAAATTGAAAAATCGAATAAAGCAAGAAGTTCTAAAATCGCAAAATTGAGAAAGTGATAAATTGTAGAAAGTATAATTGTTGTTACGTATTTAAAATGTAAATAAAAAACTCTAGAAACGAAAAATTGAAAGAGAAACTGAAAAATTTTAAATTGAAAAAACTAAAAATGAAAAAAATCTAAAAGTTCAAAAACGGGTAAATTGAAAACCGGAAAATTGCAAATCTAAAAACTGAAGAATTTCACACTTCAAAAAAAATATATATGTAAAATCAGAACATTGAAAACCCGAGAATTAAAAAATAAAGAATGTAAAAACCGCAACCAAAAATTGAATGAAAAATTGGGAAATTAAACGTTGAAAACTCGTGAAATTGCAAATCCAAAAATTTCAAAATATAAAAACTGAAACATCCAAAAGTTGAAAATTTGCAATATTTCGTTTTTTCGATTTCGCACATCTTTCGATTTATCAATTTTTCATATTTTTGATTTCCAATTTTTAGATTTTACAGTTTTCAATTCTTCCATTTTTAATTCGAAAAGTTGAAAAATTGGAAAAAATTGAAAAAAACGAGAAATTGTAAAATCGAAAAATTTCAATTGAACGAACTGAAGAAACGAAAAATTGAAAGATTGAAAAACTAAAAATCAAGAAACTTAAAAATAAAAAAAATGAATCCAAAAATTGGAAAGAAGAAAAAACGAATCGCATCGAAAAATTGGAAAACATACAAATTGTAAAATCAAAAAATTATAGAATTGTCAAAATTGTAAACTCGAAAAACTGTAATATTGAAAAATTGAAAAATCAAGTATTGAAAAATCTAAAAATTGAAAAATTTCACACTGCAAAAAAGAAATATTATAAAATCAGGACATTGAAAAACCGAAAAAATGAAAAAATAAAGAACGTAAAAAACCCTAACGAAAAATTGAAGAAATGAAAAATTGAAAATTTAAAAGTTGAAAACTCGTGAAATTGCAAATCCAAAAATTTCACAATCTAAAAACTGAAAGATCCAAAAGTTGGAAAATCGAAAAATTGAAAAATTTACAATATTTCGTTTTTTCTATTTCGCAAATCTTACGATTTATCAATTGTTTATTTTTCCAATTTTTCATGTTTTGATCAGATTCCCAATTTTTAAATTTTTATTTCGAAAAGTTGAAAAACCGAAAATGTAGAAAATCGAAAAGTTTCAAAGCGAAGAACTGAAGAAACGAAAAACTAAAACATTGAAAAACTAAAAATCGAGGAACTTAAAAATAAAAAAACAAATTAATCGAAAAATTGGAAAGAAGAAAAACTAATCGCTTCGAAAAATTGGAAAACCGAAAAATTGTACAATCGAAAAATTATAGAATTGTCAAAATCGGAAAGTCGAAAAACTGTAACATTGAAAAATGGAAAAATTCTAAAATCGCAAAATTGAGAAAGTGAAAAATTGTAAAAAGTATAATTGTTACGTATTTAAAATGCAAATAAAAAATTGTAGACACGAAAAATGGAAAAAGAAACGGAAAACTTTTAAATTGAAACAACGAAAAATTCAAAAATCCAAAAATTGAAAAATTTCACACTGCAAGAATGAAAAATTATAAAATAAGGACTTGAAACACCAAAAAATTGAAAAAATACAGTACGTAAAAAACCCTAACGAAAAATTGAAGAAATGAAAAATTGAAAATTGAAAAGTTGAAATTGCAAATCCAAAAATTTCACAATCTAAAAACTGAAAGATCCAAAAGTTGGAAAATCGAAAAATTGAAAAATTTACAATATTTCGTTTTTTCGATTTCGCAAATCTTTCGATTTATCAATTTTTCCTTTCGTCAATTTTTAATTTTTTTGGCTTTCAATTTTTAGATTTTTCAGTTTTATGGTTTTGCAATGTTTCCATTTTTAATTCGAAAACTCAAAAATCGGAGAATGAAAAATCGAAAAACTGAAAAAGCCAGAAATTGTTTACCGAAAAATTGTTAACCGAAAAATTGTAAATCTAAAAATTAAAAAATTTCACACTACAAAAGAGAAAAATGTACAAAATCGAAAAATTTCAATTTGAAGAACTGAAAAAACGAAAAATTTAAACATTGAAAAACTAAAAGTCAGGAAACTAAAAAATTAATAGAAAATTTCTAAAATCCTAAAATTGAGAAAGTGATAATTATTACATAAACGAAAAATTAAAGCATCTAAAATTTCAAAAACCGATAAGTTGAAAGCCGAAAAATTCCAAATATAAAGATCGAAAAATTTCACACTGCAAAAAAGAAAAATTATAAAATCAGAACATTGAAATATCTAAAAATTGTAAAATCGAAAAATGATAGAATTTCAAAATTGTAAAGTCGAAAATCTAACATTGAAAAATTAAGTATCGAGAAATTCAAAAATAAAAAGTCGAAAAATTGAAAAATCGAATTAATGAAAAAGTTCTAATAAAATCCACTAATTGAAAAATAGGAAAATTCTAAAATCGCAAAATTGAGAAAGTGATAAATTGTAGAAAGTATAATTATTATTACATATTTAAAATGTAAATCAAAAATTGAAGAAACGAAAAATTTAAATTGAAAAAAGGAAAAATTAAAAAATCCAGTTGTTCAGGAACGGATAAATTGAAAACCGAAAAATTGCACATCCAAAAATTGAAAAACTTCACACTGCAAAAAAGAAAAGTTATAAAATCAGAACATTGGAAAAGCTAAAAATTGGAAAAATAAAGAACGTAAAAAACCCTATTGAAAAATTGAAAACTCATGACATTGCAAATTCAAAAATTTCAAATTCTATAAACATCCAAAGTTGGAAAATCGAAAAACTGAAAAATTACAATATTTCATTTTTTCGATTTCGCAAATCTTTCGATTTATAAATTTTTCGTTTCTTCAATTTTTCATGTTTTTGATTTCCAATTTTTAGATTTTTTTTTTTGAAAAACTAAAAATCGAGAATCGCATCGAAAAATTGGAAAACCCAAAAATTGGAAAATCTAAAAAGTTATAGAATTGTCAAAATTGGAAAGTCGAAAAACTGTAACATTGAAAAATTAATATCGAGAAATTGAAAAATTAAAAATCGAAAAATTGAAATATCAAATAAATAAAAAAGTTCTAAAATCCAATAATTGAAAAATGGAAAAATCCTAAAATCACAAAATTGAGAAAGGGATAAATTGTGGAAAGCATAATTAAAATTATATGTTTAAAATACAAATCAAGAATTGAAGAAATGAAAAATTGAAAGAAAAACTGAAAAATTTTAAATTGAAAAAAGGAAAAATTAAAAAGTCTAAAAGTTGAAAAACCGATTAATTGAAAACCGAAAAATTGCAAATCCAAAAATTGAAAAATTATAAAATCAGAACATTGCATAACCAAAAAATTGGAAAAAGCAAAGAACGTAAAAAACCATAACGAAAAACTGAAAAATTTACAATATTTCGTTTTTTCGATTTCTTATTTCTTGAATTTTTCATGATTTTGGTTTCCAGTTTTTAGATTTTTCAGTTTCACAGTTTTACAATTTTTCCATTTTTAATTCGAAAAGTTGAAAAATCGGAAAAAATTGAAAAATCCAAAAACTGAAATTGCAAAATCGAAAATGTAGAAATCGAAAAATTTCGAATCGAAGAACTGAAGAAACGAATTGAAACATTGAAAAACTAAAAATCGATAAATTTATAAATAAAAAAAAATAGATGGAAAGAAGAAAAAACAAATCGCATCGAAAAATTGAGAAACCCAAAAATTGTAAAATCGAAAAATTATAGGATTATCAAAATTGTTAAATTGCAAAACTGTAACATTGAAACATTGAAAAATCGAATAAATGAAAACGTTCTAAAATTCAATAACTGAAAAATGGAAAAATTCTGAAATCGTAAAGTTGAGAAAGTAATAAATTGTAGAAAGTATGATTATTATAACATATTAAAAGTGCAAATCAAAAATTGAAGAAATGAAAAATTGAAAGAGAAAAATTTTAAATTGTAAATGAAAAATTAAAAAGTCTAATAAAAGTTCAAGAACAGATAAATTGAAAACCGAAAAATTGCAGATCCAAAAATTGAAAAATTTCACACTGCAACAAAAAAAAGTTATAAATTCAGAACATTGAAAAACTGAAACATTGAAAAAAATAAAGAACGTAAAAAACTCTAACGAAAAATTGAAAAATTAAAAGTTGAAAACTCGTGCAAATCCAAAAATTTCAAAATCTAAAAACTGAACCATCCAAGAAATGGAAAATCGGAAAACTGAAAAATTTAAATATTTCGTTTTTGCGATTTCCAATTTTTAGATTTTTCAGTTTTACAGTTTTGCAATTTTTCCGTTGTTAATTTGAAAAGTTGAAAAATCCGAAAAAATTGAAAAATCGAAAAAAACACAAATTGCAAAACTGAAGAACTGAAAAAACGAAAAATTGAAAAATCAAAAAACTGGAAAAACGAGAAATTGCAAAATCGAAAATGTAGAAAATTGAAAAATTTCAGATCGAAGAAACAAAAATTGAAACATTGAAAAACTAAAAATTGATAAATTTAAAAATAAAAAAAAAATGAATCGAAAAATTGGAAAACCCAAAAATTGGAAAATCGAAAAATTATAGAATTCTCAAAATTGTAATGTCGATAAACTTAACATTGAAAAATTGAAAAATTAAGTATCGAGAAATTAATAATCGAAAAATTGAAAAATCTAATGAATGAAAAAGTTCTAATGAAATCGAACAATTGAAAAATGGGAAAATTCTAAAATCGCAAAATTGAGAAAGTGATAAATTGTGGGACGTATAATTATTATTACATATATAAAATGTAAATCAAAAATTGAACAAACGAAAAATTTTAAATTGATAAAATGAAAAATTAAAAAAGCTAAAAGTTCAAAAACCGAAGAATTGAAAACCGAAAATTTGCAAATCTAAAAATTTAAAAATTGCACACTGCAAAAAAGAAAAATTATAAAAACTGACATTGAAAAACTGAAAAATAGAGAAAATTAAGGACTTAAAATACCCTAACGGAAAATTGAAAAATTAAAAGTTGAAAACTCGATTTATCAATTTTTCGTTTCTTCAATTTTCTATGTTTTTGATATCCAATTCTTAGATTTTTCAGTTTTACAGTTTTGCAATTTTTCCATTTTTAATTCGAAAAGTTGAAAAATCCGAAAAAATTGAAAAATCGAAAAAACCACAAATTGCAAAACTGAAGAACTGAAAAAACGAAAAATTGAAAAACTAAAAATCCAGAAACTTCAAAATAATAAAAAATAATAAAAAACCTCAATCGAAAAATTGTAAAATCGAAAAATCATAGAATTGTCAAAGTTGTAAAGTCGAAAAACTGTAACATTGAAAAATTGAAAGATCAAATAAAAAAGTTCTAAAATCCAACAATTGAAAAATGGAAAAACCCTAAAATCACAAAATTGAGAAAGGGATAAATTGTGGAAAGCATAATTAAAATTGTATATTTAATTTTAAATACAAATCAAGAATTGAAGAAATGAAAAATTGGAAGAGAAACTGAAAAATTTTAAATTGAAAAAAGGAAAAATTAAAAAGTCTAAAAGCTAAAAAAAAAAATGGAAAAAGTATCGAGAAATTCAAAAATTAAAAAAGTTATAATGAAATCGAACAATTGAAAAATGGAAAAATTCTAAAATCGCAAATTTGAGAAAATGATAAATTGTAGAAAATATAATTATTACATATTTAAAATCCAATTCAAACATTGAAGAAACGAAAAATTCAAAGAGACACTGAGAAATTTAAGATCGAAAACCGAAAGATTGCAAATATAAAAATTGAAAAATTTCACACTGCAAAAAAGAAAAATTATAAAATCAGGACATTGAAAAACCCAAAAATTGAGAAAATAAAGAACGTAAAAAAGCCTAACGAAAAATTGAAGAAATGAAAAATTGAAAAAATTGAAATTGAAAAACAAAAAATTATAAAATTGAAAAATTGCAACAATAAAGAAAATAAAAAATCGAAAAATTAAAAATTGAAAATTCGAAACATTGTAAATCGAAAAACTAAACAAACTGTACTTCAGGGTGAGGGAAGTTCTATCGAAATAACTTTCCACAATTTTTTTCAATAAATCATCTCAATTTTGTGACATTTTTCAGTACGATCGCATGATCAACATATGTCAACCCATCCACAAACGCTACAACGTCGCCATTACAAAAGTCTTGGGCAAATTCATGGAGGCCATCGTCGTCGACAGCGAACACACAGCCAGACAGTGCATCAAATACTTAAAAGAGCAAATGTTGGACCCCGAGACATTCCTTCCCTTGGACTACCTCCAAGTGAAAGCTGTCAAAGAACGACTCAGAAACATCACAGAACCCAAAGGAGTCAAACTCTTGTACGACGTGCTTCAATTTGAGCCCCAAGCGGTCGCTAAGGCGGTGCTTTTTGCCACCAATAACGCGCTAGTGTGCGAAACACCGGACGACGCGATGAAAGTGGCCTACGAATTGGGCGGTAGATACGACGTAAGTGTGTCACAAAAGTTGGCGAAAAAGCTTGATTTGAATTTAATTTAGGCGGTAGCTCTGGACGGTACGTACTACCAGAAGTCTGGTATTATTTCCGGAGGTAGTTTAGATTTAGCACGAAAAGCTAAACGCTGGGACGAAAAACACATTTCGCAATTGAAGGCGCAGAAAGAGAAGTTAACGGAAGAATTGAGAGACGCGATGAAAAAATCACGGAAAGAATCGGAGTTGAACACTGTAGATTCACAAATTAGGGGTTTGGAAACGAGGTTGAGATACGCAAAAACTGATATGGAAAGCACTGTAAGTTTGTGGCGATTTTTTTTTATTATTATTATGTAAATTCGTGTTGTTAATTTTGTTCTAGATGAAGCAAATCAAAGCTGTGGATGCCGAATTAGCCAAGCTGTCCGAAGAAATGGTTAAATACGGGGTAAGTCGATTTTGTAGTTTGTTATTATTTTAATATTTGCATGTAGCCCAAGATTGAAGAGATTGAACGGACGATGCAAACTAGAGAACAACAAATCGAAGAAATCAAGCTCCAGATGAACAGCGTCGAAGACGTCGTCTTTTCTAAGTTCTGTCAAGAAATCGGCATTCGGAATATACGGCAGTACGAAGATCGAGAGTTGCGGGCGCAGGAAGAACGAAAACAAAAAAGATTGGAGTTCCAGAAACAAATTAACAGAATTACGTCGAATCTAGAATTCGAGAAAAGTCGCGACACACAAAGTAAATAATATTTGTGTGGTTTCACAGGACTAATGAGGGTTTTCTAGATAATGTAAGTCGGTGGGAGCGCACTGTTAACGACGAGGAGGAGCGTTTAGAAACGTGTAGGAAACAAGAGGCGAAGCAACGAGAGGAGATCGATAAAGATTTGCAGCAGGTGGAGCAGTTGAAGGCGCAGAGGTTGAATAAGAAACAAGAAGTTGATGGCATGGAAGAGGAACTGGGTAAGGCGAGGCGAGAGGTGGGGAGTATTGCGAAGGATGTACAAGCGGCGCAGAAGGCGGTGGTGTCTTTGGAAACGAAGATTGAAGGGAAGAAGAGCGAAAGGCACGCGATTTTGATGCAGTGCAAGGTAAGGCGCTACCACAACTCGGACAAAAATTCAATTTTTCAATTGAGTTAAATTTTTGGCTTCCCTGGTAAATTACAAAAAAAAAATGTTTATGAAGTTCTGATCCCCAGAACTTATTTTCGCCTTCATTTCTTCGAAAATTTCTACGATTTTTTCAGAATCGTCAAAATAAATGAAATATTTATTTTGAAATATTTTAGAAATAAGAATAATAATGATAAATACTGCATGAAGTCGAATATTTCGACTATCTTGGCCCAGAACTATTGATACCCTGTGTTTTCCAATTCAATTTATCAAAATTTATACCCCATAATTTTTCCCAAAAAGTCAATTTCTGAGTTGAGTATGAAATTTTTTATTTTTTTTAAACAACCTCCAAAAATTGCCAAAAAAGATCCTTTCGTAAATTTTGCTCTCCAGAACTTATTTTCGGTTTAATTTCTTCGAAAATGTGTACCTGTTTTCCAGGATCGCTTAAATAAAATATTTAAATTTTGAGAAATTAAAAAAAAAATCTCTTTAAAACCGACTATTTCGAAATTCTGGGTATTGAATTTTCAACACATTATGTTTTTTGATTTAGCTCGCCAAAATCTGTATCTCAAAATTGTTTTGAAATTTTGAGGCAACTTTGCCAAAAAGTCAATTTTTCAATTCGAGTAAAATTTTGACTTTTTTATCATCCTCGAGAAATTGTTAAAAAAAAATCCTTGTTAATGTTGACCTCCAGAACTTGTTTTTGGCTTCATTTCTTTTGTACGATTTTTCCAGAATCGCCAAGATAAATAAAATACGGCATTTTTAGATATTTTAAAAAATACACTTTAAGATCCACTATTTCAAAAATCTTTATCCGAGACCATCAACATGTTATGTTTTTCGATTCAGTTCGCCAAAATCTCTATCCTCGAATTTTTTGTGAATTTTTGAGTAACTTCTCCTAAAATTAAATTTTTCAATTGAGTGAAATTTTTGGCTTCCCTGGTAAATTACAAAAAATTAAACAAAATGTTTATTAATTTTGAGCCCCAGAACCTATTTTCGCCTTTATTTCTGCGAAAATTTCTACGATTTTTTCAGAATCGTCAAAATAAATGAAATAATTATTTTGAAATATTTTAGAAATAATAATAATAATTAATACTACATGAAATCGAATATTTCGCTTATCTTGGCCCAGAACTATTGATAACCTGTGTTTTTCAATTCAACTTATCAAAATTTATACCCCATAATTTTTCCCAAAAACTCAATTTCTGAATTGAGTATGAAATGTTTTACTTTTTTTTTTAAACACCCTTCAAAAATTGCCAAAAAAGATCCTTTCGTAAATTTTGCTCTCCAGAACTTGTTTTCGGTTTAATTTTTTCGAAAATGTCTACCTTTTTTCCAGAATCGCTTAAATAAAATATGGAAATTTTGAGAAATTAAAAAAAATCCTCTTTAAAACCGACTATTTCGAAATTGTGTTTTTCGATTTAGCTCGCCATGAAATTTTTAGGCAACTTTGCCAAAAAGTCAATTTTTCAATTCAAGTGAAATTTTTGACTTTTATCATCCTCGAGAAATTATTAAAAAAAATTCTTGTTAATGTTGACCTCCAGAACTTGTTTTTGGTTTCATATCTCCGAAAATTTCTACGATTTTTCCAGACTCGCCAAAATAAAATAAGGCAATTTTTGAGATATTTTAGAAATGCCAGATGAAATCGAGTATTTCGAATATCGGTTTTTAAAACCGACTGTTCCAAAAATCTTAGTCCGGGACCATCAACACGTTATGTTTTTCGATTCAGTTCGCCAAAAGTATCCCAGAATTTTTTGACAATTTTTGAGTAACTTGCCCAAAAATGCAAGTTTTTAATTGAGTGAAATTTTTGGCTTCCCTAGTAAGTTACAAAAAAACCTTTTATTAATTTTGATCTCCAGAACTTATTTTTGCCTTTATTGGTTCGAACATTTCTACGATTTTTTCAGAGTCGTCAAAATATGTGAAATAATGATTTTGAGATATTTTTCAATATTTCAAATATCTTGGTCCAGAACTGTTGATACCCTGTGTTTTTCAATTCAAAATCAAGATTTATACAACACAATTTCCTGTGGAATTTGGTAAGTTTGGCAAAAACTCAATTTTTGAGTTGGTTTTCAAATTTTTGACTTTCTTTTAAACAATCTCGAAAATACCAAAAAAAGATTCTTTCGTAAATTTTGATCACCAGAACTTGTTTTCGGCTTAATTTCTTCGAAAATTTCTATCTTTTTTCCACAATTACCAAAATAATTTTGCAGTATTTTTTAAAAATCCACTTTAAAATCGACTCTTTTGAAAACCTTGGTATTGGACCAACGATACATTATGTTTTTCGATTCAGCTCGCCAAAATCTGCATCTCTTGAATTTGCCAAAAACTCACTTTTTCAATTCGAGTGAAATTTTTGAATTTTTTAAAATCCTCGAAAAATTATTAAAAACAATTTTTTTGTTAATTTTAACCTCCAGAACTTATTTTCGGCTTCATTTCTTCGAAAATTTCAACGATGTTTCCAGACCCGCCAAAATAAAATAAGACAATTTTGAGATATTTTTCAAAATCCACTTTAAAACAACTATTTCGAAGATTTTGGTCTGGGACAACCAACAGCCATGTTTTTCGATTGAGTTCGCCGAAATCTGCATCACATTTTTCGCCAAAAATTCAATTTTCCAGTTGAATGAAATTTTTGACATTTTTTTGCATCCTCGAAAGTTATTAAAAAAAAAATTGATAATTTCGACCCCGCAAGACTCGTTTTTGGCTTAGTTTTTCAAAAATTCATACGATTTGTCCAGAATCGCCAAAATAAAATGCAGCAATTTTGAGATATTCAACTCGCCAAAATCTCTTCCAGAAATTTTTGACATTTTTTGCAACCTCAAAAATTGTAAAAAAATTTTGCTAATTTTGACCTTCAAAACTTATTTTTGGCTTCATTTCTTCAAAAATTCATACGATTTTTCCAGAATCACCAAAATAAAATACGGCAAATTTTGAGATATTTTTAAAAATCCAATTTAAAACGGACCATGTATTTCGAAAATATTGTGCCGGGGTCGATTCAGCTCGCCAAAATCTGTATTTCAGAATTTTTTTGTAATTTTTAGGTAACTGCCAAAGTTTTTCAATTCGAGTGAAATTTTTTTGACTTTTTTATTAATTCTCGAAAATTACTAAAAAAAAAATTCAATTCCTTCGTTAATTTTCACTCCTAGAATTTGTTTTCGTTTTCATTTCTTCTACAATTTCGACGATTTTTCTAGGTTTGTCAAAATAAAATAAGGCAATTTTGAGATGTTTTTTAAAATCCACCTTAAAACCGACTATTTCGAAAATTTTGGTATTGGGCCATCAACACATCACGTTTTTCGATTCAATTGGCCAAAATCTGTATCTCGGATTTTTTTTAATTATTAGACAACAGCCAAAAATTGAATTTTTCGATGGAGTGAAGTTTTTGATTTTTTTTGCATCCTGGAAAATTACTAAAAAATCCCGATATTAATTTTGACCACCAAGATTTGTTTTCGGCTTCATTTCATGGAAAATCCCTTTAAAACTTTAAAATTGACTATTTCAATCATGGGCCTGGATCATCAACACACTATGTTTTTGAATTCAGCTCTCCAAAATCTGTCACGGAATCTTTTATTTTTTTTTTTATTTTTTTTTTTGTAACTTCGCCAAAAATTCAATTTTTCAGTTGAATGAAATTTTTGACATTTTTTTTGCATCCTCGAAAATTGTCAAAAAAAAAATATTGTTAAGTTTGATCTCCAAGACTTGTTTTCCGCTTCATTTCTACGAAAATTCCTACGATTTTACCAAAATCAACAAAATACAATGCAACAATTTTGGATTTTTTTTAAATCTACTTTAAAATGGACTATTTCGAACTTCTTCGTCCTGGACCATCAACACACCATGTTTTTGGATTCAGCTCTCCAAAATCTGTCTCAGAATCTTTTGATTTTTTTTTTTTGTAATTTCGCCAAAAATCAATTTTTCAGTTGAATGAAATTTTTGATTTCATTTTTGCATCCACGAAAATTGTCAAAAAAAAAAGTTTTTAATTTTGACCTCCCAAGATTTGTTTTCGGCTTCATTTCTTCGAAAATTCCTGCGATTTTACCAGAATCAGCGAAATAAAATATGGCAATTTTGAGATATGTATTTTTAAAAATCCAGTTTAATTCTGACTATTTCAAAGATATTGGTATTGGATCATCAACACTTCATGTTTTTCGATTCAGCTGACCAAAATTTATCTCAGATTTTTTTTGAAATTTTTAGACAACTGCCAAAAATTCAATTTTTCAGGAAAGTGAAATTTTTGACATTTTTTTGCATCCTCGAAAATTGTCATTTTTTTGTGTTAATTTTGACCTCCAAGATTTGTTGTCTGTCAATAATTTTGATTTTTTTAATCCAGTTTAAAATTGACTTTTTCGAAAATTCTAGTCCTCGACCATCATATTTTTCAATTCAACTTTCCAAAATTTCTCAGAATTTTTTGTGAATTTTTTTGCAGCTTCGCCAAAAATTCAAGAATCCATGAAAATTGTAAAAAAAAAATGTTTTTGTGAATTTTGACCTACAAGACTTTTTACCCTTCATTTCTTCGAAAATTCGTTCGATTTTTCCAGAATGAATAAAATACGTTAATTTTGAGATATTTTAAAAAGTCCACTTTAAAAGCTGCTATTTTCGAAAAACTGGGTCCCGAATCATTAACACACCATGTTTTTCTATTGTTTTGTAAAATCTTTGCCTCAACATTTTTTGTGATTTTTTACAATTTCATCAAAAATTCAATTTTTCAGTTGAGCGAATATTTTGGTAATTTTTTCCATCGTCGAAAATTGTAAAAAAAAAATATTTCGTTAATTTTGATCTCTAAGACTTGCTTCCGGCTTCATTTCTTCGAAAATTCGTACGATTTTTCTAGAATCACCAAACTAAAATTCGGCAATTTTGAGTTATTTTTCAAAATCCACTTTAAAACCGACTATTTCGAAAATATTGCTGTTGGACCAGCGTCATGTTCTTCGAATCAGCTGGCCAAAATCTGTATTTCAGATTTTTTTTTAGTTTTTAGGCAACTCAATTTTTGGATGGAGTGAAGTTTTTGACTTTTTTGTAACCTCGAAAATTACCGAAAAAATTCCATAATTAATTTTGACCTCCAAAACTTGTTATCGGCTTCATTTCTTCGCAAATCCCTACGATTTTTCCAGAATCACCAAATGAAATACGGCAATTTTGAGATATTTTAAGAAGTCCACTTTAAAAGCCACTATTTTCGAAAAACTTGGTCCTGGACCATTAACGCACCAAGTTTTTCGATTCAATTCTCCAAAATTTCTATAAGAATATTTTGTGAATTTTTTTTGCAACTTCGCCAAAAATTCAATTTTTGACATTTTTTTTAATCCACGAAAATTGTCAAAAAAAGTTTTTGTTAATTTTGACGTACAAGTCTTGTTGTCGGCTTCATTTATTCGAAAATTCCTACGATCTTTCCAGAATCGCCAAAATAAAATATAGGTATTTTTAAAAATCCACTTTAAAGGCGACTATTTCGAAAATCTTGGTCCTAGACCATCAATACACCGTGTTTTTCGATTCGGCTCTCGAAAATCTCTTACTCAGAATTTTTTATTTTTTTGTGCAAATTCGCCAAAAATTCAATTTTTCAGTTGGGTAAAATTTTTGACATTTTTTGCATTCTCGAAAATTGTCAAAAAGATTTTGTCAAGTTTGATCTCCAAGACTTGTTTTTGGCTTTATTTCTTCCAAAATTCCTATGATTTTTGGTCCGGGGGTCACCAATTTTCACCATATTTTTCAAATCAGCGGGCCAAAATTTGTATCTCGGATTTTTTTGTGAATTTTTGAACTTCACCAAAAAAAATTTTTTTTAGTTGAGTGAATTTTTTGGCATTGACATCCTGGAAAATTAGAAAAAAATCTTCGAAAATTGCTACGATTTTTTTTTTATATATAATCGCCAAAATGAAATATTTTATTTACTTTTTTTCCCAATTCGTCAAAATGAAGTACAATTTTTGGGATATTTTAGAGGTACCATATTAAATCGAAATTTCGAAAATCTTTGTCCGAGTCCAATATGTTCATAGATTGAGCTCGTCGATTCCAAAATTTGAGTGTGAATTTTTAGGCACCTCAGCTAAAAACACAATTTTTCAATAAAATTAAATTTTTGACTTTTTCTCGAGGACCTTCTATAATTACTAAAGGAGATTCTTTTATTGATGCCGACCTTTAGAAATAATTTTTCTAGAATCGCCAAAATGAAATCTGGTAGTTCTTGGACATTTTTCAAAATTTTAATTTGAATCCAAATATCCAAACTGCCAGAATTATTAATGAGTTTTTCGAGCAGTTTTGAGAATTATCAAAGGGGATTCCTTTGTTGATTTCAACCTTTAGAAGTGTTTCCTGACTAAATTTTTCCGAAAATTTCTACTATTTTTCCAGAATCGCAACATTTTGCAATATTTATTGGATATTTCGAAAACAATAGAATATAGTTTTCTCTGTGTTATTCGTAGTTATAAAGAACTAAGTAGAATTAAGAACTTAGATTTTTTTAACGAAAACCATAATTAAATTATTTTATTATTTGCAAGATGGACGACATCGCCATTCCCATGATCGTCGGCAACATGGAAGACATCGTGGCCTCCGACCCATCCCAGAGCTCCTCAGGCGACACGAGCAGCACAGTCCAGCAATACGAAAAAGAAGCCCGAATCAAAATCGACTACAACGTCTTATCCGACAACCTAAAAGACCTCGAGGAGAAAGACGAAATCAAGAAAATGGCCGACAAGCTCCTCAACTCCATCAAGAGCCTCCAGGACACCCTGACCAAAATCCAGGCCCCCAACATGCGCGCCATCCAGAAACTCGAACTGGCCCAAGGCAAGCTCCAATCGACCAACGAGGAGTTCGAGAACCTACGCAAACAAAACAAGAAAGCCAAAGCGGCGTTCGAGAGGATCAAGCAGCAGAGATACGAGAGGTTCACGAGGTGCTTCGACCACGTGTCGAACGAGATCGACAACATTTATAAGGCGCTTGCGCAGAACCAGTCTGCGCAGGCGTTCTTGGGCGCGGAGAACCCCGAGGAGCCCTATTTGGACGGGATTAATTATAACTGCGTGGCGCCGGGGAAGAGGTTCCAGCCGATGTCGAACTTGTCGGGAGGGGAGAAAACGGTGGCTGCGTTGGCACTACTGTTTGCCATACATAGCTACCAGCCGGCGCCGTTTTTCGTGCTGGATGAAGTTGATGCGGCTTTGGATAATACCAACATCGGGAAAGTTGCCAAATATATAAGGGAGAAAACGGAGTCGCTGCAGACTATTGTTATTTCGTTGAAGGAGGAGTTTTACTCGCATGCCGATTCGTTGATCGGGATCTGCCCGCAGCCAGCGGATTGTTTAGTAAGTCAGGTTTTGACCGTTGATTTGACTAAATATCCGATGTAAAATATATTTGGTTCGGTGTTTTGATGTATTTTTTTTACCGTAATGAGTTTTTAAATAAAGTTAAATTATGATTGATTGTTTGGATGTGTCGCCCTGTATTTAAGTGACCAGCCTTGATATTCCTTGTTATCACAATTTACCTGGTTTACTGTGTGGGGATGTAGAAAGAGCAAACAATGTGGCGTCCGTATGGGGACGTCAAAATGATGGATATACCGGGTGTCTAGAAAATGGCGGATTAACTCTCCGCTACGGTCTTAACGATCAACTGGTCAGTCTGGGACAAATAGTAAAAAATTCAGTCTCACTTTAACAACTCAACAATACAATATAACTAGTAATAAAACTTTTAGTTAATTTCTCTCGCCCATGACCATGTTTAATTACCATTTCAGTTAGAATGTACAAAGATATGATTGTGTTGTTTTTATAATAACTTGATAAACTTCCATTTGACAACAATGTTTGCCCGATATAAAGCGACGGTACAAATAAGCAAAAATCGAGTAAGCAGTTAAAAATGTTTGACATATCAAAAATTGTCAAACGTTTTCAAAACTACATTCCCTGGTGTTTTATTTTCGGATAAATTTAAAGGAATCTCGTGTTTTGTTGCTGGATGAACTTGAAATTTTTTTTTGAGATTTTAGTGTTTTATTTTTTCTCTTATTGTAACACCTACTAGCCCCGCCCACCCGCCCTCTCTTTTCTTATAGAGTATGTTATTTGACAAAGTCGATCTTATTTTAGCAGGTACTAAACCCGCCCTTCTACTTTCTTAGAAGGATCTCATTTGCCAAAATCAGTCTTATCTTAGCAGATACTAGTCCCGCCCACCCACCCTCTCTTTTCTTAGAGGGTATCTCATTTACCAAAATCGATTTTATTTGATCAGATAATGACCCGAATTTTCGATTTATCTCATTTCCAATTTTCGATATTTAAGTTTTCAATTTTTTCAATTTCAATTTGTTTTTCATTTTTTCCGTTTTTCGACTTTTCGATTTTAGAATATTTGATTTTCCGGTTTTTTGATTCCTGATTTTTAGATTTTTTGTTTTCGATTTTTGAGTTTTCGGTTTTCCAATTTTTCAATTATTCAGTTTTTCGATTTTTCAATTTTTTTACTTTTCGATTTATTGATTTTTTGGATTTTGTAATGACATTCTTCAATTTTTAGACTTATTTTTTTTTTACTTTGTGATTTCTTGAATTTTCAACTTCTCCATTGTCCAATTTTTCGACTTTTCAATTTTTTTACTTTTCAATTTATTGATTTTTTCGATTTTACAATGACATTCTTCAATTTTTAGACTTCATTTTTTTACTTTTTGATTTCTTTAATTTTCAACTTTTCGATTGTCTAGTTTTTCGACTTTTCAATTTTTTTTATTTCTCCAGTTCTCGATTCATCGAATCGGGAACTCTCATTTGGCAAAATCGGTCTTATTTTGGCAGGAAATAGCCCCACCCACCCACCCTCTCTGTTCTTAGAGTGTATGTCATTTGACAAAATCGATCTTATTTTAGGAGTAATCTCGATTTTTCGAATTTTCCATATCTAGTTTTCAATTTCAATTTCCCATTTTTCACATTCCCAATTTTCGGTTTTTCAAATTTCGGTTTATTATGTATTTTATATATATATATATATATATAAAATACAAAAATTTTTTAATTTTCAATTTTTCCATTTTTCGACTTTTCGATTACTTGTTCGAAATCTCGATTTTAGCATTTTTAGATTTTCGAATTTTCGATTTTTCAATTTGTTTCCTTTTCGATGTCCGAATTTTTCAATTTTCCATTCTTCAGTTTTTCGATTTAACAACTTTTTTACTTTTCGGTTTTTTGATTTCTCGAGTTTTCGATTTTCGTTTTCGAGTGCTGATTTTTTGATTTTACGATGACTTCAATTTTTAGACTTTTGAGTTTTTTTTCTTTTTGATTTCTAGAATTTTCAACTTTTCCATTCTCCAGTTTTTCGATTTCTCGAGTTCTCGATGCATGGAATCGGGATCTCTCATTTGCCAAAATCGGTCTTACTTTAGCAGGTACTAGCCCCGCCCACCCACCCTCTGTTTTCTTAGAGAATATGTCATTTGCCAAAATTTGTCTTAACAGGTATTAGCCCCACCCACTAGCCCTCTCTGTTCTTAGAGGGTATGTCATTTGCCAAAATCGATCTTATTTTAGCAGGTAATAACACAAATTTTCGATATTTCGAATTTTCGATTTTTGAAATTTCGATATTTTAGTTTTCAATTTCTCTATTTTTCATTTTTTCCGTTTTTCGACTTCGATTTTGGAATTTTTCGTTTTCCGGTTTTTCGATTCCCGATTTTTTAGATTTTTCGATATTCGAATTTTTAAATGTGTGTTTTCCGATTTGCGATTTTTCAATTCTTCAATCCTTCTATTCTTCAGTTCGATTTTTCGATATTTTAGTTTTCAATTTTTTAAATTTCAATTTCTCGATTTTTCCATTTTGCGACGTTTTGATTTTAGAATTTTCGATTAATCGAAGCTCGATTTTCAATTTTTTAATTTTCGATTTTTAGATTTTATACTTTTCGGTTCTTCGATTTTCGCTTTTCAAATATTTTATTCATCGAGTTTTCGATATTCGAATTTTCAATTTGTTTCCCTTTCGATTTTCCGATTTTTCATTTTTCAATTCTTCGATATATACATTTTTCTAGTCTTCAGTTTTTCGATTTTTCAAGTTTTTACTTATTTCGATTTTATGATGTGTCTAGTTTTCGATTTTTCAAATTTTCAGTTTTCGAAATTTCGGTTTTCCGATTTTCGCTTTTCGAATATTTGATTCGAGTTTTCGGTATTCGAATTTTCAGTTTGTTTCCTTTTCAATGTTCGGATTTTTCAATTTTCCATTCTTCGTTGTTAAGAATTTCCAATTATCAATTTTTTGATTTCTCGAGTTTTCCATTTTCGTTACTCGAAATTTCGATATTCCAGTTTTCAATTTTTAAAATTTCAATTTCTCGATTTTTCCATTTTCGTCACTCGAATTTTCATTTTTCGATTTTTGACATTCCCAGTTTTCGATTTTTCAAATTTTCAGTTTTCAAAATTTCGACATTTCGATTCCCGATTTTTAAATTTTCGGTTTTTCGATTCCCGATTTTTAGATTTTCGGTTTTTCGAATTTTTGGTTTTCCGATTGATATTCGAATTTTCAAATTTGTCCTTTCCGATCTGCCGATTTTTCAATTCTTCAATCCTTCTATTCTTCAGTTTATCGATTTTTCAACTTTTTTACTTTTCAATTCTCTAATTCCCAAGTTTTCGATTTTCATTACTCGACTTTTTAGTGTTTCAGTTTTCGATTTTTGATTTTTCGAATTTTCAGTTTTCAAAATTTCGATTTTTCCATATTCTAGTTTTCAATTTTGTAAATTTTAACTTTTCGATTTTTCCATTTTGCGACTTCGATTTTAGAATTTTCGATTAATCGAAATCTCGATTTTCAAATTTTTAATTTTCGGTTTTTAGATTTTAGAATTTTCGGTTTTCCGATTTTTCATTTTTCAATTCTTCCATTTTTTTTTTATTACATACATTATTACATATTCGAAATTTTGATTTTCGAATTTTTAATTTTCGGTTTTTAGATTTTCGAATTTTCAATTTGTTTTGTGTTCGATGTCCCGATTTTTAAATTGTCATTCTTGAGTTTTTAGACTTTTCAATTTTCAGTTTTTCGATTTTTCAACTTTTTTACTTTTCGATTTTTTGATTTCTCGAGTTCTATTTTCGTTACTCGAATTTTCAAACTTTTGTACTTTTCGATTTGTGAATTTTTCGATTTTACAATGACATTATTCAATTTTTAGACTTGTCGATTTCTTGAATTTTCAACTTTTCCATTGTCCAGTTTTTCGACTTTTCAATTTTTTGTTTTCTCGAGTTCCCGATTCATCGAATCGGGATCTCTTATTTTAGCAGGTGCTAGCCCCGCCCACCCGCCCTCTATTTTCTTAGAAGGATCTCATTTGCCAAAATCAGTCTTATCTTACCAAGTAATAGCCCCGCCCACTCACACTTTTTTTCTTAGAGGATATCTAATTTGCCAAAATCGGTATTATTTTAGCAGGTACTAGCCCCGCCCACCCACCCTGTTTTGTTAGAAGGATCTCATTTGCCAAAATCAGTCTTAAGTTAGCAGGTACTAGCCCCGCCCACCCACCCTCTCTTTTCTTAGAGGATATCTCAGTAGTTGTCAAAATCAATCTTATTTTAGCAATAACCTGAATTTTTGATTTTTCGATATTTCGAATTTTCAATATTTTAGTTTTCAATTCTTTCAATTCCTCTATTTTTCCGTTTTTCGACTTTTCGAATATAAAATATTTGATTTTTCGGTTTTGCGATTTTTAGATTTTCGAATTTTCGGTTTTCCGATTTGCCGATTTTTCAATTCTTTCTATTCTTCAGTTTTTCGATTTTTCAAGTTTTTTACTTTTCGGTTTTTTAATTTCGGGAGTTTTTAATTTTCGTTACACGAATTTTCAATCTTGTCATTTTTCGAATTTTCAGTTTTTGAAATTTCGATTTTTCGATATTCTAATTTTCAATTTTTTAAATTTCAGTTTCTCGATTTTTTCATTTTACATTTCGATTTTCAAATTTTTAATTTTCGGTTTTTAGATTTTAGAATTTTCGGTTTTCCGATTTTCGCTTTTGGAATATTTTATTCATCGAATTTTCAATTTTTCCAATCTTCAGTTTTTCGATTTTTCCATTTTTTTACTTTTCGATTTTTTGATTTTCCGGGTTTTCGATTTTCCTTACTCGAATTTTCAATCTCAATTTTTCAATTTTTTACATTTCTAATTTTCGATTTTTCAAATTTTCAGTTTCAGTTTCTCGATTTTTCAATTTTTCCATTTTTAGAATTTTCGATTGCATATGTATTCGAATTCTCGATTTTCGAATTTTTAATATTCGGTTTTTCGCTTTTCGAATTTTCGATATTTGAATTTTCAATTTGTTTCCTTTTCGATATCCCGATTTTTAATTTTCTATTTTTCAGTTCTTAGACTTTTCAATTTTCAATTTTTCCATTCATTTTTTGGATTTTTTACTTTTCGATTTCTTGAATTTTCGACTTTTCCATTGTCCACTTTTTCGACTTTCACTTTTTTTGATTTCTCGAGTTCTCCACTCATGGAATCGGGATCCCTCATTTGCCAAAATCAATCTTATTTTACTAGATACTAGCCCCACCCACCCACCCTCTCTTTTCTTAGAATGTTTGCCAAAATCGGTCTATTTTAGCAGGTAAGAACCCGAATTTTTGACTTTTCGATAGTTAGAATTTTGGGGATTTCTCATTTTCAATTTCCGAAATTTCGATATTCTAGTTTTCTATTTTTTCAATTTCTTTATTTTTCATTTTTTCGGTTTCTCGACTTTTCGATTTTGGGATTTTTCATTTTCCAGTTTTTCGATTTTCGATTCTTCGATATTCGAAAATGTGTCCTTTCCGATTTGCCGATTTTTCCATTCTTCAGTTTTTGGATTTTTTACTTTTCGATTTTTTGATTTCTCGAGTTTCCGATTTTGCAATGACATTCTTCAATTTTTAGACTTTTCAGTTTTTTTACTTTTCGATGTCTTGAATTTTCAGCACTTCCATTGTCCAGTTTTTCGACTTTCAATTTTTTGATTTCTCGAGTTTTCGATTCATGGAATCGGGATCCCTCATTTGCCAAAATCGATCTTATTTTATGTAGGTAATAGCCCGAATTTTCGAAATTTCGATATTTTAGTTTCCAATTTTTTCAATTTTTATGTCTCAATTTTTCACTTTCGGTTTCCCGCCTTTTCAATTTAGGGATTTTTCATTTTCCGGTTTTCCGATTCCCGATTTTTAGATTTTCGGTTATCCGATTTTTCTAAATTCGAAAATGTGTCCTTTCCGATTTGCTGATTTTTTCATTCTTCAGTTTTTTTTTTTTGTATTTCAACTTTTTTACTTTTCGATTTTCGTTATTCGAATTTTCAATGTTTGTACTTTTCGATTTGTGATTTTATCGATTTCACAATGACATTTTTAAATTTTTAGACCTTTCAGTTTTTTTTACTTTTCGATTTCTTGAATTTTCAACTTTTCTTTTGTCCAGTTTTTTGAGTTTTATTTTAGTAAGTACTAGTCCCGCCCACCCGCCCTCTCTTTTGTTAGAGGGTATCCCATTTGCCAAAATCAGTCTTATCTTAGCAGATACTAGCCCCGCCCACCCACCTTGTCTTTTCATAGAGGGTACGTCATTGCCAAAATTAGTTTTATCTCAGCAAGTACTGATGACCAACTTTTACAAAATATGATCAAAATTTGGAAACATGACAATTTTGACCATATTCTCTAGGGTTGGTTATGCTTCAAAGAATTTTGGTTTATAGGGTATTAATATAAAAAGACGGAGACATCGTAAGAGTAATTGTTTTATAAAATAAATACAACAAATACAGATAAGAAAATTATAACATTAACAACACCAGACTTCAAAATGATTACATTAAAACTTCACCAACTGAAAATGCAGAATTCTGTTAATTTGAATGAAACCGAAAACTCAGATAATTCTAAGCGTTTCTTCCGTAATTAGATACTATTTTTGCATATAAAACATGAATTCCTAAAGTCGTTAAAATTTCGATTGCCGACTAAACTATGATCGTAAACATTTTGACAATTGCTAATTAAAAATACTTAACTTGAGTAAATAAACTGAGAAAATACTAATTTAATTAAACTAGTGATGTATGATGAAACAGATTATGTTTGACTATTTACAATTATGTTGAGCTATGACAAGAATCTTGAGCATGACCACATCTTAGTTTGTCACTTAGATACACTCACGATTCGCAGTAGATGACACTCTACGACGCCATCTACCGCGAATCCAAGAAACGAAACTAATGTGGTTATTTTACTTAAAATGCCATTAACTTAAAACTTACGATCAGTCTCTCTGGTGCAAATCATGTCATCTTAAATTAATATAGGAACAGAAACATAGTTAACACAGACTGTCCTACAGGAATTTTACAAAACAATAATAACAAACATGGAAAATATTGCAAATCGGTGCTCCCGCACCAGTACGACGACAAACTTACAACAATATTTTGTACTTAAACAAAAGAAACTTCCGGATACAAAACGTAACAGCACCAGATTTGAATTAAAAGTCCTCACAGGAAAATCTTAATCTTCAACAAGTTCACATACTGTTGATGTTACCCTAATTAAACGTAATATCACAGAATTACGCAACAGTGAACTGAATGAGTTTTGCCCAGGTAACTTAAAACTAACGGCACTAATCTCAAAGTAGTGAATTTCTGCGTATGCAGCAACATCAGTAGTATGCTTTGTTCGGTTGTTCAAACGTTGTTCTACAAAAACACGCGCACTCATACAATTTTTTGGAGTCTGTAAATTACCTAGAGATTATGGTACTAGAGTTAGAATCGACGTCAAAGTCTAGCACTAGCAGTTTTGTTTCTTCGGTGCCGTTGCGACTGCCGACCGCGCACACTAGCTTCGTGTCGTTGGCGCGGATGCGCCAAACCACACCACCCGAGCCTCCGCTCTCGAGTGCCACGAGGTTCCGTATGAACTCACCCGTGCGTACGTCCCACAGTTTCACAGTCCCATCGTCGGAGGAAGTTATCACAAAACGATTGTTGAATTGGAGGCAAGTAACGGCTGACTGATGTTTGTATGGTCCTAAAGGAGATCACAAACGAAAATTAATTAATACGGTCGAACTTCCATCAAGCGACAACATAATACCATTATTTAAGGATATTATAGTTGGGCAACAATACGAATTTTACTTCGCCTAAATAATACGCCAACGTATTACGTTTATTTTACTCAGATTATGTATAAATTAGCAAAAAAAAGACAAATAAACGCAGAATTAAATTTAATTTGACAAAATAACTGAAACAACGGAATTGTTTTCGCGTGAAAACATCTATTAATTGCCAAACTTATAACCAAATGATGAAAAACACTGTTTACAACAACAGCCTCCTTTGTTTTTTTTTTTTTAAGAAAATATCGTACTTGGTCTGTTTCTGTTATTGTTAAATTAAATTTAATTTTGCGTTTATTTGTCTTCTTTTTTTTTGCTAATTTGTACATCATGTATCAATAAAATAACGATCACTAGTTAAATTAATCATTTTTAAAGTGGTTTTGCGAAATTTTTCCGGGTGGCCGGTTTTTTTGCCGGTCAGTGTAGTATCAGTATTTTAAATATATACTAATATATCGGGTTTTTATAAACTACAGTTTAAATGACAAAGTAGTACTTACCGTTGTACTACTGTCCGTCTCGTTATCGTCAATAAAATTTTATAGGGTAGAATGAAATTTCCAAAACTATAGAAGTAATTTAAATTTTATATCCTCCGTTTACGGTTTATGCATCCGTGTTGAGTTTTCACCTTAGACTTCAAGATTTTTGGAAAAAAATTAACATTTTTCAATTTATAATGTTATTTAAATGTTAAAAAGTAGCATAGTCCTGAACTTATGATTTATAAATACGCGATTGAGATTTTTGGGCTTCTCGATTTTTCAACTTTAGATGTCTCAATTTTTCAATATTTGAATTTTGAGCGTTCTTAATTTTTCCATTCCTCAAATTTTCGATTTCTCGACTTTTTTATTTTTCGATTTCTCAATTTTTTGATGTTTCAATGATACGATTCCTCAATTTTTGTCTCTCTTCAATTTTGCAGGTTTTAAATATTCCGATTGTTCAATTTTTAAAATTTTTACATTTCTAAACTTTCAGTTTTCCGATTTCTGAAGTTTTTTTTTTCCATTTCTCGACTTCCTAAAGTTTCTATTTTTCACTCCTTCAATTCTTCAATTTTTTGATTTTTTAAGCTTACGATTTTTCGATTTTGTTTTTTTTTAGTTTTTCTATTTCTCAATTTTCCAATTTTTAACTTTTCTTTTCGGCTTCCGACTCCTCAGTTTTTCGATCCTCTGATTTTTCGATTTCTCGGTTTTTCGATTTTTTACTTTTGGGCTTTTCAATTTCTCGATTTTCCAATTTTTCAATGTTCCGATTTTTTAGTTATCTCGATTCTTCTTCGATTTTGCGATATTTTAATTGTTCAATGTTTTAAATTTTAGATTTTTGAATTGTTCAAATTTTGATGTTCCTAAATTTTCAGTTTTCCGATTTCCCAATTAATCTATTTTTGATTTTCCCACATCTCAAAGTTTCGATTTTTCAGTTCTTCAATTCTTCGATTTTTCGACTTTGCTTAACTGGTTTTTCGACTTCTCAATTTTCCAATTTTTTAATTCCTCAATCTTCGGATTTTCGATTTTCAGTTTTTCGTTTTTTAAACTTTAGATTTTTCAATTTTTCAACGTTTCCACATTTTAATTTTTCAATTTTCCGAATTTTTAATTTTCGATTTTTCAATTTTTTGAGATCTCGATTTATCGAGATTCGGATATTTCGATTGTTCAGTCTCTCGATTTATCAATTTGTCGATATTTCGATTTTTTAATTATCCGATTTTTCAATTTTCCAATTTTTTTAATTTTCGAATTTCGATTTCTCGATTCGTTGATTTTTCAGTTTTTCGATTTTTAAATTTTTATTTTTATTTTGATGTTTGGATTTCTCCATTTTTCAATTTTACGATATTTTAGATTTTTCGATTGTGCTTTTTTAGTTTTTCGATTTTTCGACTTTTCGATTTTTGGATTGTTTTCTTTTATTTCTCGGTTTTTTACTTTTTTGATTTTTAATCTATTGTTACTTTTCGGATTTTTGAGTTACTGTTAAACTTGGATTTTTCAATTTTTCGACTCTTTTATACTGCGATTTCTCAATTTTTCAACTTTTCGATGTTTTAATATTTCAATGTTTAAAATTCTGGGTTTTTCGGTATCTCGAGTTTTCAGTTCTTCTATATTTCATTTTCCAATTTTTCAAATTTTGAAATTTTCGATTTTCCAGTTTTTCTTTTTTGAAATTTTTCGATTTTTCAATTTTTAACTTTTCTTTTCGGCTTCCGACTCTTCGGTTTCTCGATCCTCTGATTTTTCGATTTCTCGATGTCTCAGTTTTTGAATTTTTCGATCTTTCGATTTTTGGATTTCTCGGTTTTTCGATTTTTTAGTTATCCGATTTTTCAATTTTTTAAATTCTGAAATTTCGAATTCTCGATTTTTCAGTTTTTTGATTTTTAAATTTTCAAATTTTTATTTTTTGATTTTTTGATGTTTGGAAAAATTGGGATCCATTTTTCAATTTTGGGATATTTTAATTGTCCAATGTTTTAAATTTTAGATTTTTCGATTTCTCGATTTTTTGATTTTTCAGTTTTCCGATTTCCCAATTAATCTATTTTTGATGTTCTCACTTCTCAAAGTTTCGATTTTTCAGTTCTTCAATTCTTCGATTTTTCGACTTTGCTTAATTGGTTTTTCAACTTCTCAATTTTCCAATTTTTTAATTCTTCAATCTTTGGATTTTCTTTCAGTTTTGAGATTTTTCAATATTTCGATTCTTCGAATTTTCGATTTTTTGACTTCTGGATTTTTCGATTTTCAGTTTTTCGTTTTTTAAACTTTAGATTTTTCAATTTTTGAATTTCTAGATGTTTCGATTTCTCGAGTTTCCAGTTCTATATTTTCATTGTTCAATTTTCCGAATTTTTAAATTTTCGATTTTTCAATTTTGGCCTATTTCGGTTTCACAATTTTTCGACTCCTCGATTTTTCGATTTTTGAATTATCCGACTTTTCAATTTCTCAATTTTTGATTTTTTGATGTTTGGATTTCTCGATTCTTCAATTTTGTGATATTTTAATTGTTCATGTTTTAAATTTTTGATTTTTTAATTCTCGACTTTTGATTTTTCAGTTCTTCAGTATTTCTATTTTTCAATTTTTCGAATTTTGATGTTGCTAAATTTTCAGTTTTCCGATTTCCCAATTAATCTATTTTTGATTTTCCCACTTCTCAAGGTTTCGATTTTTCAGTTTTTCAATTCTTCGATTTTTCGATTTTCAATTTTTCGTTTTTTAAATTTTAGATTTTTAAATTTTTCGATTGGTTTATATTTATATTTATCAATTTTTCAACTATTTCATATTTTAATTTTCAATTTTCCGAATTTTTAAATTTTCGATTTTTCAATTTTTTGAAATCTTCTATTTATCGAAATTCGGATGTTTCGATGTTTTGATTGTTCTCTCTCTCGATTTATCAATTTTTCCATTTTTAACTTTTCGATTTTTCGTGTTTGGCCTATTTCGGTTTCTCGATCTCAGTTTTTGAATTTTACGATGTTTCGATTTTTCGATCTGTCGGTTTTTCGATTTTTGAATTATCCGATTTTTCAATTTTCCAATTCTTCAATTGTTGATTTCTCGGTTTTTTTATTTTTCGGTTTCTTAATTTTCCCATGTTTCAATGATGCGATTTCTCAATTTTTGTCCTCTTCAATTTTACGGTTTTTAAATATTCCGATTTTTCAATTTTTCAAATTTTCACGTTTCTAAATTTCCAGTTTTCCGATTTCTGAAGTAATTTTTTTTATTTTTCCATTTCTCGACTTCCTAAAGTTTCGATTTTTTTATTCTTCAATTGTTCGATTTTTTAAGCTTCCGATTTTTCGATTTTTCTTTTTCAGTTTTTCGATTTCTCATTTTCCAATTTTTTAATTTGTCAATTTTATAGTATTTCGATTTTTCGACTTTTCGATTTATGGATTGCTGGAATTTTTTTGATTTCCCGATTTTTTACTTTCTGGATTTTTAATTCATTGTTAAACTTTAGATTTTTCAATTTTTTGACTGTTTTATACTTCGATTTCTCAATTTTTCAACTTTTCGATGTTTTAATATTTCAATTTTTCGATTTTTTAATTTTTTGATTTCTCGGTGTATCGATTTTTCTTTCAATTTTTAAATTTTGTCCTCAGTTTCTGAATCCTCTGATTTTTCAATTTTTTACTTTTGGGCTTTTTAATTTCTCGATTTTCCAGTTTTTCAATGTTTCGATTTTTTAGTTATCCGATTTTTAAATTTTAAATTTTCGATTTTTTGTTGTTTGGATTTCTGGATCCTTCAATTTTGCGATATTTTAATTGTTCAATGTTTAAAATTTTTGATTTTTCGATTTCTCGATTTTTTGATTTTTCAGTCTTTAGTATTTCTATTTTTCTACTTTTCAATTTTGATGTTAAATTTTCAGTTTTCCGATTTCCCAATTAATCTATTTTTGATGTGCCCACTACTCAAAGTGTCGATTATTCAATTTTCCAATTTTTAAATTCCTCAATCTTTGGATATTTCTTTCAGTTTTGAGATTATTCAATATTTCGATTCTTCGACTTTTCGACGTCTGGATTTTTCGATTGGTTTATATTTATATTTCTGAATTTTCCAACTTTTCCATATTTTAATTTTTCAATTTTCGGAATTTTTAAATTTTGGATTTTTCAATTTTGGCATATTGCGCTTTCTCAATTTTTCGACTCCTCGATTTTTCGATGTCGCAGTTTTTGAATTTTACGATGTTTCGATTTTTCGATTTGTCGGTTTTTCGAATTTTTGCTTTAAGATTTCTCAATTTTCCAATTTTTTAATTTCTCAATTTTATAATATGTATTTCGATTTTTTACTTTTTGGATTTTTAATTTATTGTTAAGGTTTAGATTTTTCCATTTTTCGACTGTTTTATACTTCGATTTCTCAATTTTTCGATTTTTAATGTTTCATTTAATTAGTAAAATTCTAGGTTTTTCGATATCTCGAGTTTTCAGTTCTATATTTCAGTTCTTCGAATTTTGAAATTTTCGATTTTCCAGTTTTTCTTTTTTAAAATTTTTGGATTTTTCAATTTTTTGATTTCTCGATTTATCGAATTCAGATTTTTCGTTGTGTTGATTGTTCAAACTTCTCGACTTATAACTTTTCTTTTCGGCTTCCGACTCCTCAGTTTCTCGAGCCTCTGATTTTTTGATTTCTCAATGTCCCATTTTTTGAATTTTTCGATTTTTGAATGTCTCGGTTTTTCTATTTTTTACTTTTGGGCTTTTCAATTTCTGGATTTTCCAATTTTAAAAATCCTGGACTTTCGAATTCTCGATTTGTCGATTTTTCAGTTTTCCGATTTTTAAATTTTTAAATTTTTATTTTTTGATGTTTGCATTTCTCGATTCTTCAATTGTACGATATTTTAATTGTTCAATGCTTTAAATTTTAGATTTTTCGATTTCTCGATTTTTTGATTTTTCAGTTCTTCAGTATTTCTATTTTTCAATTTTTCAAATTTTGATGTTGTTAAATTTTCAGTTTTCCGATTTCCCAATTAATATATTTTTGATGTTCCCACTTCTCAATTTTCCAATTTTTTAATTCCTCAATCTTTGGATATTTCTTTTAGTTTTGAGATTTTTCGATCTTTTGATTTTTCGATTTTTCGTTGGTTCGATTTTTGAATTTTAGATTTTCGAATTTTTGTTTTTTTGATGTTTGGATTTCTCCATTTTTCAATTTTACGATATTTTAATTTTGCAATGTTCTAAATTTTAGATTTTTCGATTTTTCAGTTGTTCAATATTTTTTAATTTTTCAAATTTTGACGTTTCTGAATTTTCAGTTTTCGGAATTCTCAATTAATCTATTTTTTTATTTTCCCATTTCTCCACTTCCCAAAGTTTCGATCTTTCAGTTCTTCAATTTTTCGATTTTTTAGGTTTGCGACTTCGCTTTTTTGACTTTTCGGTTTCTCAATTTTGTAATTTCCTAATTTTTGGAAATTTCGTTAAATTGTGTGATTTTTCAGTTTTTCGATTCTTCGAGTTCTGGATTTTTCGATTTCTCGACGTTCTACTTCTTGGATTTTCAATTTCCCGTTTCTTAAAATTTAGATTTTTCAATTTTTTAACTGCTTTTGCTTCGATTTCTCAATTTTTCAACTTTTCGATATTTTAACTTCTCAATTTTTAAAATTTTAGATTTTTCGATTTCTCGAGTTTTCAGTTTTTCTATATTTCAATTTTTCAATTTTCGGAATTTTTAAATTTTCGATATTCCAATTTTTCAATGTTTCGATTTTTCAATTAACCCATTTGTTTAATTTCTCGATTTATTAAATTTTAGATTTTCCAATTTTAATTTTTAGACAATTTTCCTAAATTTGAATTTTTCAATGTTTTAAATTTTCGATTTCGAGGATTGTCATCAAGAACGATTGTTGCTGTGCCTTAAAATGCCTACTGATAAGCACGTACACACAAGACGCATTTAAGGCTGTTGTAAGCCTGCTGCATTTAATTTTTGCAATTTTAAATTTATTTCTTGATGTCTAAATCATATATCTTTAAATGGTGGTAAATATTTTACGATAAAATATATTTTAGTTTCCAAGATAATAATTATTTAATGATTTAACTACTGTTAATAAAAAAATCACCATCACAACGAGGCGGCAAAATTCACGAAATTTCGAAGGCCAACTTGATGTACACTTGCTAAATCGTTACACAGCGTAACTCAATTATTTAGGCGAGGTTAGAAACGAAATATAAACGTGGAAAAATCCTTACCTGAAAGGGTTTGTAGGCACTGACCAGTCACTATGTCCCAAACTTTGACGGTGGAATCGGCATTACCGGAAACCAGAATGTTATTCCGTAATTCCATACCGGACGTAAGGGACTGGTGACCCATAAGCGTATGTTTGCAAGCTCCCGTTTCTACCTCCCAAACTCTTATGCTTGTGTCTAAGGAGCCACTGACTACGTAAACACCATCAAACTGCAATTTTAACCATTATTTACTCACACGTAAACCACACCACACAGAGTTTTCAAACACGTGTTAATGTATGGATCCTCATTTAAATTTGACGTCATATGGTTTACGGGAGCTCAACGTGACTTAACACGGAACTCGACACAAAACCTCAGACCTTTTACTACGTAATCATGGGTAATACACGTATACACTGATCACTGTTTTTGTAGAAAATATTTTTTTTTACCTGTAATGAATACACACGGTTTGTATGCCCCTGTAACGTGTGTAAACACTCTTCCCGTTCCGGATTCCACACTTTTACCATGTAGTCGTAAGCTCCGGACACCACTAACCGCCCGTCGTATTGAACACATCGTACGGCTGCTAAATGTCCAACGAGAACATGAAGACACGCTCCGGTTTCGATGTCCCACACTCGTAAAGTGGCATCTCGGGAACCACTAACGACCCTTGAAAAAATACACTCGATTAGATTACCCCCAAAGAATTTATGTTGCGTTGTCCATAACCACCACACATTTTTTGTTCAACTTAGCCAAAGCAGGAATAAGTTGATTAACGATCCAATATGACACTGCATCTATCCAAATTGATATACGTGTTCCTGCTACATACATACATATCTTTATTTTAATTCAAGGGTTATCATAAAAATTTAAATTCGCACAATCAAATCTTACAATTTTTTGAAAAATCTGGATTTATTTACCTTTGACTAATTTTTTCATTCACAATTTTACGATTTTCCTTTTTCTTAGGTATAACGGTTTTTTGATATCACAATTTTCCGTTTTTTCATTTTCTTTACATTTTTCAAATTTTTCGTATTACGGTTTTTCATTTTTTGGATTTTTCAATTTTTCAATTTTTTAACTTTTCGATTTTTCAATTTTTCGTTTCCTTGGTTTTTCAACTTGTGGATTTTTAATTTTTTCCCGACTCTTTAATTTCCATTTTCTCTCTATTCTTTCGATTTTTAAGTTTCTCAATTTTTATTCTTCCGATTTTACAATTTTGAAGTTTCTCCATTTTTTATTTGGAAAATTCCAAAATCGAAAAAAGTGGAAAATAAAAAATTGCAAATCGAAGAACTGAAGGAACGAAAAAAATTAATAAATCGAAAAATTGTAAAATCAAAGAATTATAGAATCGTGAAAGTTCTGAAGTCGAAAAACTGTAACAGTGAATGATAGAAAAATTGAAAAATGAAATATCGAGAAATCCAAAAATTAAAAATGGAGAAAATAAAAAACGAAAAATTGAAAAACCGAATAAATGAAAACATTTAAAATCCAGTATGTAATTAAAAAATGAAAAAACTCTAAAATTGTAAATTTGAAAAAGTGAAAGATTAAAAATATTATAATTATTATTATTACAACATATTTCAACTGAAAACTAGAAAAACTGAAAATTCTAAAATTAAAAAAATTCAAAAATTTCACATTGAACAGAAGAAAAAACGGATCGAATAGAAAAAATGCAAAGCCGAAAAACTGTAACATTGAAAGATAGAAAAATTGAAAGATGGAATATTGAGAAATTTTCAAACTGTGTACTTTTCGATTTGTGATTTTTTCGATTTTGCAATGACATTCTTCAATTTTTCTATTTTTCAATGGTTGGATTTTATGATTATTCGTTCTTTCAACTTCCTGTTGTTTCGATTTGCAATTTTTCAATTTCTCAATTTTTTAACTTTTCGATTTTTCAATTTTTCGTTTCCTTAGTTTTTCAAAGTGTTGATTTTTAATTTTTTCTCGACTCTTTAATTTCCATTTTCTCTCTATTCTTTCGATTTTTAAGTTTCTCAATTTTTATTCCTTCGATTTTTAGATTTTTCAAAGTTTTCTTTTTTTATACTTTTTCGTTTTTACATTTTTGATTTTTCAATTTTACAATTTTTAAGTTTTTCCATTTTTTATTCGGAAAATTGAAAAATCAAAAAACTGAAAAAACGGAAAGTTCCAAAATCGAAAAAAGTGGAAAATCAAAAATTGCAAATCGAAGAACTGAAGGAACGAAAAATCGAAACATTGCAAAGCTAAAAATCGGGAAACTTAAAAATCGAAAAAAATTAATAAATCGAAAAATTGGAAAGAAAAAACGAATCGAATCGAAAAATTGGAAAATCCAAAAATTGTAAAATCGAAGAATTATAGAATCGTGAAAATTCTGAAGTCGAAAAACTGTAACAGTGAAAGATAGAAAAATTGAAAAATTAAATATCGAGAAATCCAAAAATTAAAAATGAAAATAAAAAACGAAAAATTGAAAAATCGAATAAATGAAAACATTTAAAATCCAATATGTAATTCAAAAATTAAAAAATTCTAAAATTGTAAATTTGAACATATTTCAACTGAAAACTAGAAAATCTGCAAATCAAAAATTGAAGAAATGAAAAATTGAAAAATCGAGAAACTGAAAAATCTAAAATTAAAAAAATCCAAAAATCCAAAAATTTCACATTGAACAGAAAAAAAAACGAATCGAATACAAAAAATTGCAAAGTCGAAAAACTGTAAAATTGAAAAATGGAATATTGAGAAATTTTCAAACTTTGTACTTTTTGATTTGCAATTTTTTCGATTTTGCAATGACATTCTTCAATTTTTAAAATTTTCCGTTTTTTTACTTTTCGCTTTCTTGAATTTTCAACTTTTCGTCCACTTTCGCCTTTTCAATTTTTTTTACTTTTCAATTTTTCTGATTTCTCGAGTTCTCGATTGATCGAATCGGGATCTCTCATTTGCCAAAATGGGTCGTATATTAGCATATACTAGCCCCGGCCACCCACCCTCTCTTTTCTTAGAGGATATGTCATTTGCCAAAATCAGTCTTATCTCAGCAAATACTGATGACTAACTTTTACAAAAAATGAAAATTACCTAAAGCCATTTTTTCGTTGATTTGTTTTTTCAGAAGTCATTTTTCGCACCTAAATAAAATAGACCATTTTTGGGATATCCTAAAAAGTTTATTAATCATAGACCGAAAATTTCGAAAATATTGGTCTAGCACCATCAATAGACTATTTTTTGAATTAGCTCGTCGATATCTGGATCTCAAGATTTTTTTGTGGACTTTCACGCAACTTTGCCAAAAGTTCAAATTTTCAAACTTTTGAAATTCTTTATCTTTTCTTTTGCACCTTCGAAAATTACCTAAAGCCATTTTTTTCGTTGATTTCGATTTTTTTTAATTTCGACCCGTTTTCGACCAATTTCGAAAACGACTTGGAGAATTTTTTTGTGGTGTTCGACCTCCAGAAATTACTTTAGGCCTCATTTCTTCAAAAACTCCCAACATTTTTCCAGAATCGTCTAATAAAATACCTCAATTTTCAAGATTTTTAAAAAAATGATTTTCAGTACCGAAGTAGCTGCCAAGGTAAGACTGATTTTGGCCAATGAGATACCCTCTAGGAGAAGAGAGGGCGGGTGGGCGGGGCTAGTAGCTGCTAAGATAAAACTGATTTTGGCAAATGAGATACCCTCTAAGAAAAGAGAGGATGAGTGGGCGTCATTAGTACCTCCTAAAATAAGATCGATTTTGGCTAATAACATACCCGCTTAGGAAGGAAAGGGTGGGTGGGTGGGGTTAGTTCCTGCTAAGATAAAACTGATTGTAGCAAATGAGAGATTTCGATGAATCGAAAAAATTGAAAAACTGAAGAATGGAAACATTGAAAATTGGGACATCGAAAAGGAAACAAATTGAAAATTCGAATCTCGAAAACTCGATGAATCAAATAAATATTCGAAAGCGAAAATCGGAAAATCGAAATTTCGAAAACTGAAGATTGGAAAAATTGAAATATCGAAGAATTGAAAAATGAAAAATCGGGAAATGGAAAAAGAAACAAACTAAAAAGTCGAATAACGAAAATTTGATGAATAAAATATTCGAAAAGCGAAAATCGGAAAACCGAAAATTAAAAATTTGAAAGTACAAAAATGAAAAAATCGAGAAATTAAAATTAAAATAATTGAAAACTAAAATATCCAAAATTAAAAATTAAAAGATTGAAAATTCGAGTAACGAAAATCGAAAACTCGGGAAATCAAAAAATCGGAAAGTAAAAAAGTTGAAAAATCGAAAAACTGAAGCATGGAAGGATTGAAGAATTGAAAAATTGGCAAATCGGAAAGGACACATTTGAAAATTCGAATATCGAAAAAATGGAAAATCTAAAAATTGGAAATCGAAAAACCGAAAATCTAAAAACCCGAAAATCAAAAATTCTAAAATCGAAAAGTCGAAAAACGGGAAAAATGAAAAATAGAGGAATTGAAATTGAAAAAATTTAAAACATCTAGTTTTCGATAATCTATATCGAAAATTGGAAATGAGAAAAATGGAACATTCAAAATATTGAAAAATCAAAAATTCGGGTGATTAACTGCTAAAATAAGATCGATTTTGGCAAATGACATACACTCTAAGAAAAGAGAGCGCGGGTGGGTGGGGCTAGTACCTGTTAACATAAGACTGATTTTGGCAAATGAGATCCCTCTAAGAAAAGAGAGGGTGGGTGGGCGGGGTTACTACCTGCTAAAAATAAGATTTTAGCAAATAACGTAACCTTTAAGAAATTTAATTAAATTATTTTAGAAAAGACACTAGAGGCTCCAAGTATTTTCAAAATCTTTCCAACCAGGAAAACCTAGAACTTCAAAATTGTTTTAAATTTTCAAAAAAAAAAAAAAGAAACGGGGTCCCAAAATTAACTCAAAAACAGATCAGGTCACAATTTTCCAAAAATACATCAAACTCCCCCAAAATTGTTTTAAATAAGTTACAAAAAAAATCTCCATGGGCTCCTAAAGCAAGTTTTTCAAAACTTCTCCTTTACGAAGATTTCGACCTTCGACTACCTTCAAAAATTACCTAAAGGGATTTTTTTGTGAATTTGAACCTACAAAATTAGCTTTCAGTCTCATTTCTTCCACAAAAAAAAAATAGAATCTCCCAATAAAATATGGCGGTTTTTTGGATTTCAAAAATTGTTTTTCAGACCGATTATTTCAAAAATCTTGTCCTATAACTTTAATTACGCAATATTTTCCGAATCAGCACGCCGAGATTTCTATCCTAGAATTTTTTGTGAATTTTTAAACAAAGTTTCAAAAGCTCGACTTTTTAAAATTTGTGTTTTACGAAAATTTCGACATTATCCGACCACCTTCGAAAATTACCTAAAGAGATTGTTTGTGAATTTGCACCTACAAAATTAGCTTTCAGTCTCATTTCTTCAAAAAAAAAAAGTTTAGAATCTCCCATTAAAATATGGCGATTTTTAGGATTTCAAAAATTGTTTTTCAGACCGATTATTTCAAAAATCTTGTCCTATAACCTTCATTGCGCAATATTTTCTGAATCAGCACGCCGAGATTTCTATCCTAGAATTTTTGTGGATTTTTAAACAGTTTCAGAAACTCGACTTTTCAAAATTTGTGTTATACGAAAATTTAGACTTTATCTGACCACTTTCGAAAATTACCGAAAGAGATTTTTTTGTGAATTTGAACCTACAAAATTAGCTTTCAGCCTCATTTCTTCCACAAAAAAAAAAAAAATAGAATCTCCCAATAAAATATGGCGATGTTTTGGATTTCAAAAATTGTTGTTCAGACCGATGATTTCAAAAATCTTGTCCTATAACCTTTATTACGCAATACTTTCCGAATCACGAGATTTCTATCCTACAATTTTTTGTGGATTTTTAAACAAAGTTTCAAAAGCTCGACTTTTCAAAATTTGTGTTTTGTGAAAATTTCGACTTTATCCGACCACCTCCAAAAATTACCTAAAGAGATTCGTTTGTGAATTTGCACCTACAAAATTAGCTTTCAGTTTCATTTCTTCAAAAAAAAATTTTTAGAATCTCCCAATAAAATATGGCGATTTTTTGGTTTTCAAAAATCTTGTCCTGTGACTTTCATGACCTTCATTACGCAATATTTTCTGAATCAGCACGCCGAGATTTCTATCCTAGAATTTTTGTGGATTTTTAAACAAAGTTTCAAAAGCTCGACTTTTCAAAATTTGTGTTTTATGAAAATTTCGACTTTATCCGACCACCTTCGAAAATTACCGAAAGAGATATGTTTGTGAATTGAACCTACAAAATTAGCTTTCAGTCTCATTTCTTCCACAAAAAAATTTTTAGAATCTCCCAATAAAATATGGCGGTTTTTTGGTTTTCAAAAATCTTGTCCTGTGACTTTCATGACCTTCATTACGCAATATTTTCTGAATCAGCACGCCGAGAGTTCTATCCTAGAATTTTTTGTGGATTTTTAAATAAGGTTTCAAAAGCTCGACTTCCTAAAATTTGTGTTCTACGAAAACTTCCACTTTATCCGACCACTTTCGAAAATTACCGAGAGATTTTTTGTTGAATTGGTCTCATTTTCCGAAAACTGCTGCTAATTTTTCAGAAGGGCATAATGAAATATTGCAAATTTTAGCATTAAAAAAAATGCTTTTCAGACCGATTATTTTTAAAATCTTGTGCTGGAACTATAAACAGGCAATATTTTTCGAAGCAGCAAATCGAGATTTATATCCCAGAATTTTTTTAATTAAAGACATTTTTTTCCTAATTTCGACCTCCCAACATTACTAAGAATTGCCTAATGAAATATGTCGACTTTTACGATTTCTTTTTTTAATTGATATTAATAGGAAATTTTTCTAAAATCTTGCCCTAGCACTTGCTAAGATAATACTGATTTTGGCAGATGACATACATTCCAAGAAAATAAAGGGTGGGTGGGTGGGGCTAGTATTTGTTAAGATAAGAGTTATTTTGAAAAATGATATATCCTCTGAGAAAACAACGGGTGGACAGGTGGAGCTAACACTAACTAGGATATATCATTTGCTAAAATCAGTTTTATCTTAGCAAGTACTAGCCCCGCCCACCCGCCCTTTACTTTCTTAGAAGATATATCATTTGCCAAAATTAGTACATCTTAGCAAGTACTTTTTTTGCACTTTAGTCGCAATTTTTCAGAATCAGTACGTTGAAATCTAGATCCTACCATTTTTTGTGGATTCTTAAGCAACGTTTTCATAAACTCGATTTTTCAAAATTTCCCCTTTACGGAAATTTCGAATTACCTAAAGAGATTTGTTTGTAAATTTGAACCTCCATAATTTACAGCACGTCGAGATTTATATCCTAGAATTTTTTTCTGGATTTGTAATCAACTTTTTGAAAAACTCAAATTTTCAATATTCCTCGTTACAAAAATTTCGACTTTTGTTCGACCACCTTCAAAAATTACCTATAGTTCAGTTAATTTTACTGTCGTTATTATATTCAACTAAACCTTAACTGCTGCAACTGATGACAAAGAAAATAATAATTTTAAAACACGTAAAAATATTTTTTGATTATTATTTTGTTTTTCTTAAATCTTATATTGTTATGAAAGATTATCATATAATTTGGATTTTTCTTTAGAAAGTCGGAATGTCTAGAGCTAAAAATCAAGGCGGATTCATAAACCACAAATACAGGAGTGTTATTTTAGTTGACATTACAAAAAACTCACTTTTTCCCGTGAAGATGCATACAACGCACTGTCGAAGTATGACCGTTTAACGTATGAATACAATCCCCCGTTTCGGCGTCCCACACCTTCAGCGTCCTATCAGTGCTGCCGCTGATTATAGTAGCCCCCGACATCTGCGACGACCAGACGCCCCCAGTGTGGCCAACCAAAGTCCGCAAACACTGAAAATTCCAACATAAACCTCACCCGCCTCACCACCTCCCCCCACTCACCTTCCCCGTGATCGCCGACCACACCTTCAGCGTGTTGTCGTCCGACCCGCTCACGATCCGGTTGCCGCAGAACTGCAGGCACGTGATCACGTGATCGTCGTGCCCCTTCAGCATCTTCGGTGGCCTGATCGGCTTGCTCCGCCAGTTCATCTCGATGGCGTGCTGCCGCATATAGGCCGCCTTCCACGGCGACATCTGCGTGCCGGGCGAGCGCGGCGAGCACCGCCTCTTGGGGATCTCCTCGATGCCGGCCTGGCGGCACTTCTCCTTCCACAGCAGGTTGTCGTCGGCGAGGAAGCGCCAGCTGCGGCACGTCTGCGCCGCCCGCAGCAGGTCCTTCGGCTCGAGGAAGGACAGCACGTTGAGGGCCAGCTCGCGCGGCAGCAGCGAGATGAAGTCGCGCTGGAACTGCGGCTCGATCACCTGCATCATGTGCCGCACCTGCGTCGGCTCGCACCGGGCTATCAGTTCGTTGATGGCGAGGATGCGTTCGGCGTTGGACCATTTCTGGAACTGGGTCAGCCAGTCGGACATCTCCGGCGGCGGATTGTCTTTGGTGGGTATTACGAGGCGGGACTTCTTGTCGCTGGCGCTGGGAGTGGTTCCTGGAACGGAATCGGAGAGTTATTTTATGCTAATGTTTAGTGACCTGGGAGGTTAAAGGCTGTGATAACGGTTGAACCTGACCTTATATACCATTGTAAGAAAAATGCAAAAAATGTATGCAGAAGTAGTGGTGTGTGTATTAAAAACGAAACGGAAAATGATAATCAAAAGAAATGTATAAAGAAAGAAAAAATTGGTCTAAAGAGTTTAGACAGTACTTCCCTCGCTGTCGGAAACTTGACGACTGCATGCCTATTGTGTTTTTTTTCTCATTACATTTTTGTAGTGGGAATTTAAAAAAAAAATTGCGATGACGTCATCAACATTTTTGCAAGGACACGTATATCAGTTGGGATAGATGTAGTGTAATACTAAGAATAAAATTATTATATTCTCAAATTTTCGGGAAAATGAATTGGGTCGTTTTGAATATTGATTTGTAATAATCAATAAAATAACGAAACAATTTACTCACGTATACGTATCAGAGGCAAATGAAAATCGTGTATGTATAAACATTCTTAATTTAAGATGACAGGCGTAACAGCATACGTGAGAGTCAAACAGAGAAACTGTAAACAAAACGACCATCGGTTTTATTGCTTCGACTTCCGCTTATTACATAAAACATTGGGTTTTATTTTAATTCTTGACGGTGAAATTCACAATTGGTTGATTATAAACATGTCTATTTCACATTCGCGGAACCAAGTGAGCGCATAAAACAAATGCAGGTCTGTAATGTTAAAGTCGATGTAAATAAGCGTGCTACCCTTATGTTTCAACCGAGTTTTTCCTTTAACAAATTTTGTGTCTACCAAATTGGGTTGGTTGGGGTGTAATACTAATAATAAGTGTTGCCTTTAATTTAATCAATAAAATAAATTGACTTCATTAATTTTTTTGAACCACCTCTTAAGAAAATCTAAAAAATATGAATGGAATGATAAATCACAAGTACAAACTCATCATATTTTTTGCATTTTAGATAGGATTTATTCAGCAAAATTTAAGGGTGACGTCAATTTTTTTAGGAGGGATGAACAAATACATTTTGAACAAAAGTTTACCATGCTTATAATAACTTTAAAATATTCCCAAGATTTCAAAGCATTCGGTTTTGTAATTCTTGATTAAATCGATAAAATAAATTCACGCCTTCATTAATTTTTTTGAGTCACCCTGCATATGCAAATCCAAAAATATGAATGGAATGATAAATCACAAGTACAGACTCATCATATTTTGTACATTTTAGATACGATTTATTCGGCAAACTTTTGAGCTGACATCATCAGTTTTTTGTAGAAGATAACCAAATATATTTTGACTAAAAATTTATTATGCTCTTTATAACCTTAAAACATCTGCAAGATTTCAAAGCATTCGGTTTTGTAGTTCCTGAGTAAATCAGTAAAATAAATTTACGCTTTCATTTATTTTCTTGAATCACCCTGTATATGCAAATCCAAAAAATATGAATGGAGTGATAGATCACAAGTACAGACTGATCATATTTTGTACATTTTAGATATGATTTATTCGGCAAACTTTCGAGCTGACGTCATCAAGTTTTTGGAGGGGATAAGCAAATATATTTTGACTAAACATTTATTATGCTCTTTATGACCTTAAAACATCTGCAAGATTTCAGAGCATTCGGTTTTGTAGTTCCTGATTAAATCAATAAAATATATTTACGCATTCATTAATTTTTTTGAGTCACCCTGTATATGCAAATCCAAAAAATATGAATGGAGTGATAGATCACAAGTACAGACTCATCATATTTTGTACATTTTAGATATGATTTATTCCACAAACTTTTGAGCTGACGTCATCAAGTTTTTGGAGGGGATAAGCAAATATTTTTTGACTAAAGATTTATGATGCTCTTTATAGCCTTAAAACATCTGCAACATTTCAAAGCATTCTGGTTAGCAGATTAAAAATTAAATTTCAAAATGTTGTTTCATAATTTTGATTTTTTTTCCAAAAATCTGGACGTTTCGGGTGAAAAGTCGATTCAGAGTTGTAAACTACATGTGTAGGACTATGTTATTTTATACAATTGATAACCCATTTACTATGTACAATTTTGAAGTGACGTCATCGCATTAGTGGTGGGGATGATTAGACAAATTTTGGTTAGCGTTTTACCATCTACATGATATTCTTAATATAAGTACAAAATTTCACAACAATCGGTCGAGTACTTTCGGAGATTATCTGTCTAATAAAAATCCGGGACAACAGACGGACAGACGGACAGACGGACGGACAGACGGACAGACAGACGGAAATGGGAGACCTATTTCTTCGTCTTCTAGGGGTCATGAAAGATCGAGAAAACGTAAAAGTAGAGAGTCGGCCGACGGACTCGATTACAATACTTCCTTTGCTTACGCTCGGGAAGTAATAAATGCGTTGGGATTCTCAGAGCTGATTCTTACCCCAAAATTACGGATCAAATTTGCCGACTTCCCTACCTACATTTTTTGTTTTATTACCTACACGAACTCCTAGTAGTTTGACAATATCCTCATATGAAGATAAATCATTATTATAGATTAAAAAGAGTACTGGGTCTATGACTGAACCTTGTGTAAACATTTCATTGTTATTGTTATTACATATTATTAATTGAACCGTTCATTGTGAAATTCTAAGTGTAGATTAAGAATGTCATGTTGGTGATAAAAGGGTAATTAATCAAAATATCCCCCAGTAAAAATTTAATATTTAATAACAAATTAATATTTTAACCTCAAACAAACAGGTTATCGCAAAAAAAATGTAGGATGGAATTTTTACAGTTTGTCTTGGAACTTATACAAATTTATTTACCCCTCTTGGAAAGCTATGATGTAATTTAAAAATTTATTAAATAAGTGCATGTTAAAAATATACCCGGAGAAGAGTAATAAATGAAGCAATTTACATCAGTGATTAAACCAAATTATGTGTCTTATATAATTTTCTGCAATTCTGGAGACACAGTGTTATTAGTGTTACAGTGGATCTATTAAAATTAAGATATTTGTCCCTAATAAAAATCTGACGACATTACATTTTTTAGTGATTGAATAACTTAATTTTGTTTACTTATTTTACTTATCTTCCGCAAAAAACTGATTACGTCATCTCAAAAACTAGCCATTCATCGGATGGGCTCTATTACAACACTTCCTTCGCTGAATTCCTTTAAAATTTTGTAAGTTACCGGTATTTTTTTAGTTTATTAGACAACATTAATACAATAAACATTAATACAAAAATCGGCTTTGTGGTTGCCCTGAGATTCGCGAAACGTTAAATAATAAAATTGAAACATTATTTCAACAATTAAAAAAATATGTTATTTAAAAAAATAAAATGTGCAAAATCGAATTTCGTAATTTTCCTGAAAAAACTTAATTTATTTAAAATTTCGTAAATCACTACTACTTTATAGTGATAACAAAATGTCGGGTGACCATTAATAATTGAAGCAAATTTATATGTTGGCAATTCTGAATTATTGGCATCCATGCTAGTACGTCAGTTCACAGTTGTCAATTTTGACATGAGCACCACTAATAAATGTGTTAGTCGAGACGACAACACGATACTCAAAAATGTTTTTTATTTCTTGTAGAGAAATAAGGAGATAGGGCGGGTGGGCGGGGCTTATTTTTGCCTTTTTTGTCTAAATATACATATCCATCTTTTCACAACAAGAAACTTAAAACATGGTTAAATTGGTACATTTCTGCAATTATGGGGCGGAGCCTAATAGCTAGCGAAATCGATATTTCCTTATACAAATTTTCCATTTTGAACATGTTTTAAGTTTCTTGTTGTGAAAAAAGTCTACACACATTAAAACAAAAAAGCAAAGTGTAAGCCCGCCCACCCGCCCTATCTCAAATGTGATGATTTTTTTTATTCCAAGAACCAAGAGGGCGGAGCTTAACTGCACAATACCTATTTCTTTAGAAGAAATTAAAAACATGTTTTTCAGTATCGTGTTGTTCAAAGAATACTATGTATATTAAGAAAAAAAGGTAAAATATAAACCCCGCCCACCCACCCCGTCTCAATTGTGATGATTTTTTTTATTTTTGGAAACTTAAAACACGTTTAAAAGGGCAAATTTTTGTAAGAAAATATGGATTTTGCATTTAGGCTCTACTCTGAAAAAACAGTATGTCGAGAAATCGAAAATTTCAAAAATTAAAAAATCGTAAAAATGAAAAATTGAAAAATTCCAAAAATGAAATCTCGAAAAAATGGGAGATCAAAAAATTGAAAAATCTAAACTTACAAAAATCGTAAACCGAAAAATTGAAGCATTAAAAGATCGAGAAATCGAGATGGCCCAAAATCGAAAAATTTAAATGAAAAAAAAATCGATAAATCGAAAAATTAAAAATCCAAAGATCGAAACGTCGAAAAATGTAATTTTTCAAAATAGAAAAATTGAGAACTCGGAACACCAAAAAACGAAAAATAAAAAAAACGAAAAATCGAAAAAACGAAAGATTGAAAAATCCCCAAAATGAAATGTCAAAAAACGGGCAATCAAAAAATTGAAAAAACAAGAAATCGAAACATCAAAAGCTCGGGATATCGAAATGGTCCAAAATCGAAAAAGTAAAAATGAAAAGCTGAAAAATTAAAATTTAACAAAAAAAAAAAAAACAATAAATTGTAAAATCACAAAATTGGAAAATCGGAAAATATAAAAATTGAAAAGCCTAAACGTCGAACATTTGAAAACAACAAAACCGAGATTCTAAATATCAAACGGTCGAGAAATCGAAATATGTAGTTCAAAATCAAAAAATTAAAATTTAAAAAATAATCGATAAATCAAAAAATTGAAAATCGGGAAACTGAACAGTAAAAAAAATTGGTCTAAAGAGTTTAGACAGTACTTCCCTCGCTGTCGGAAACTTGACGACTGCATGCTTATTGTGTTTTTTTTCTCATTACATTTTTGTAGTGGGAATTTAAA